GAGACAAACATTTGAAAAACAGAAAATACTGAAACTCAGACCTGATGGATTCTTCCAAGTTCGTGACGAGATGCACCGATCCAATGTCTTTCGAGATTCCGACGATTCCTAAACTTTCGATGTTTTTTTAGACCGTGATGATCTTTCCAAAATAATTCTCGTCTAGTCTCGACGGCATCACTATGGGAAAAGTGTTTTTCGATCCCTGGAAGGGTAACACTCGCCTTCGGTGAGCGCTACACACCTCCCATGGGTCAAAAAACACTTTTTCATCACTTGTGCGTAAAGTGAAGTTTCACGGAAGCTCCGCGTGCGCAAAATCTTATTTTTCACACCAATTTTCTCATTTCACCATTTCATTCCGTAGGAGAATAAAAGAATTGAGTTGTTCTATACACCCACCCTATTCTCCTTTCAAACAAGTACTTTCGCGATGTATTCTCAATTTCCGCTTTTACAGCTCTATATTTCTTCCTCTCATCGCCATTAGAAACGAGACGAACCAACAGACTTAACAAAATTTATGGTGCGTCAGTAGGTGCTTGTTTGCTCGTTGAAATGAATCGCAAATTACCCCTCGACAGACGATCGTCATTGAGAGCTTTATTATTCCTCTCCACACCGAGACCAATCCATCAGAGAATTTTCTGGCTGATTAAAGAAAGTGTTCTTTCCTCCCTATCGTTGATAAATTGATTTATTAGCGCAAATGAAACTGGATCGATTTTTATTCATTCGTTATATCCCATTTCTCATTGTAAATGTCTCTTGAATATTCAGTCACTCGAAACCGGATCCGTAACTCGAAGCCCCGATGACCATACATGTCTCTTGATTCTCATTCCCGAAGAAAAAAGCACTTTGATTTTTTTTCCTTTCCTCTTTGAACTTCGCTGTTTTTATCTTCGTCAGTTTTGTCTCGGATAGTCGTATCGCTCACGAAGGTGGACTGCTGAAACAATGAAAATTCAAAGTCGGGTGGGATTCAAGAATGCCGGCGAGTCGACGAGTTGTGGCCCCGGGGGCGCGTCGTTCGCCTTTCAGACGATCCTCAAGGTAGTTTCTTGTCACGACTACCCCTGTAGTGGTAGAATGATCTACAGTGAGAATAAAATTAATGGAATATGGGCGCAAGTGAATAAATAAATGTGGCAAAACAATAAGATACTTTATTAAAATCTCTTTATTTGTGCGAGGACAGCTGTCCTGATAATAAAAGCAATAGCCAAGTGAAAACTCTCACTGGAAAACGGAAAGCAAAAATAATAAAGTTTTACGACTAAAGAGGACACAGTCCTTCAAATCTCAGCATGTGTTTAGGATTAAACCGCTCTCAAATGCAGAGCTCAACGGATCGTAAATTAGTCTCTTTCTAGAACTGTTTTTTCAGTATGTCATAAATTTTTGTCGAGCAGTTTTTGTATGGTAATGAAAAAGCTGTGCTCGAATATTCCAACAAGAAGCAATAACGATTCCTCTTTTAAAAAATAGGCGAAATATTTTCAGTCACAGTGTTAAAAATTTCAGACACAAAATGACATGAATTTTTAATTTTTCCCTGAATTTTCCTGATTTTTCTGAATTTTCACAGAATAATTGAACGGAAAAATCAAGTATTTTATTGATTTCCCGATCAGTTGAACAGAAAATCAATGGTATATTTGATTTTTCAAAGACAAGATTTCCTGAAATTTCAGTGGAACTTGAAACGATAAAAATTTCCGGAATTTTGCATGGAAAATTGAAACGAAAATTTGTAACAGTGCAGGAGATTTCACGATTCTAGAAATTGACAAGAGAATATTTCCCAGAGATCAAAACAATCATCAATTTTCAAATAAGTTAAATTTAGCTTCTGTTAACCGATAATATCACTCAACAATTAATTACCAAATTAATCATCAATCGAATATTTAAATTCCGAAATAATCTATTAACCATTAATCGGATCAGAAGTTAGACCATTACATGTATCATTGAAAAATCCTTTTATAAAATTTAGAATTATTTACTCAATGGTTAATAGAAAAATTTAAATTATGAATTATTTTAATATTTTCAAATTGCAAGTAAGATAATAAAACCATAGTAATAGAAACTTTCAGATTCCAATAATATTACAAGATATTACAAATGTAATGATTGTCGAGCGATCGCTGATATTTTCTTGTATCACGGAAATAATCATTGTCAAAAGTAATTTTTCTCTCAGTGTGGAGTTAAAATACCTAAAGTTCGAATAAATTCAGAGAAAAAAAAATGAAACGAAGTTTTTTGTCAAGGATTTCCAAATCGTCAAGAGAATTTTCAGGACGTTTCACTCTAAACTGGATGATATCTGAGATATAGTATCCTCACTATCTCGACTCCAAAATGTTCATACACACCTCTCAACCTGAAAGTTTCAGCAACAATTCTTATTTCAATTCCGCAAAAATGTTTTTTATATCTCCCACTTTCTACTCCGAGAATTATTCTCCACTCATCGACATAAACAATTGCGTGCCCTGTTAACCGGAATAAACAGGATGAACCTCTTGGTGTTGTTAAAAACAGTATTTAATGAAAAAAAAATCGCGTGTTCATTATCTCTCATTTCTCCACATCACCTCGACACCTGCATCAACGAGTTTCGCAATTCTGCGATTAGCCGCGAAATAAAAAAATTCAATTGCACTTTTTATATCAAGTGAACGTATCCTTTCCCTGCTTTTATTTTAACAGACTATAAAAGACGAAATAAAAATATTCCCCAGTCTTGTTGCCCTCGAAGGGACCATGCAAACGATTATGTCTGGGTTAACAGACGTCCAATGTTCCCTGAATCCGAAAGAAAGAGGGAAGACGAATCCTTTTCATCTTCGTAGGTCTCAATGTGAATTATTTCACGGACAAGTTTGACACAAAAGCCCAGTTTTCTCTTCCCTACACTTTCCTCTTTCGTTTGACTAATCTAGACTCTAGATTCTAGAGACACCGGGAGCGTGGTTTATCTACATACAAATAAGGGGACGAGGCATTAGTACGTGCTGATGGGTCTAGACTACTCTAGACTGATGTGAGTTATGACGATGGGATTTCCAGAGAACGAACACAAATTTCCGCTTGAATTGAGAGCACGACAATTTTTTCTATTCATTCGAGAAGAAGATGACATTGTCAGTGACGAGTAGTATACAACTATACATGGAATGATAGAGAAATTTAGTTGAAATGCGATGTTAACCAAGTCTTTCAGTATTTCCACACTGTATTATTGAGCGAAAGAATTTGTTGCTGGCACCGAGGCTGTTTAACTATTACCACGATTCGTTAACTATTAGCATTCGTTAATGGTTCGGCTTCTTAACTATTCCGAATCATGGTAATAGTTAGGAAGCCTCTAAGTAGTCTCCAAAAGCCGTCCAATAGTCTCTGAAATATGATTTTAAATTTTTTCGTAAATTGTGGATAGAATTCCCCTCTTTACCGGAAAAATATTAAAATTATTCTTGCATTAAAAACAGAACACTCTCGATTTGGTCATTTTTTTTACAAAAAAAAAAATTAAAAATAAGTTTTTCATCTGATTCTCTACCATATTCGGCTCTTGTTACCCTCCGAGTGATAATTTCCTTCCATTCTGCACACTCCATCAATAATTAAACTATATTCATCGGTATGTCACTTGCAAAATCGTTTTTTCCAACGCGGCTATACCCCCTCAGCCGTCAAGCCCGCATCCTCTCTCATTTATAAAAGCTAAAGTACAGCTGCGATTGATTCAACAGCTCTTGTTTACACAAGTGCCCTTTGACGAATTCATTACGACTCGTTAAATATATTTTATTCGTTGCGTAATGGACAGGAAATCATTGAAACGTATGAAGAGATCTCCAGCGAGTTCATTCTCACTGAAAAAAGAGTATCAATTGACTGCAATTATTCCGTGGCATACTGCAATTTAGAACGATGAAATGCACTTTGTTGATTTTTTTTATTGTAAGTAAAATATATTTGTTACGCAATCCAGGGGGAAATGGATTTTCTCTCTTATGGGATACGAATGAGATTTGTTACCATGTGGATGAACTTTTGGACTTATTCTTCGTTCAAATGCAAGTGAAGACTTTCATTTTTTAATAAAGAAAAATAAAGTTATTCTTCCTTCTTCCTCGAATTGTCGTTATTGTGAAAAATTGCACTTTCAAATGCAATCAATTACGTGAACTATGATTATGATTTCACGTATGAGAGGAATGCTGCTGGCGTATTACTCATGTAAGAGGCGTTGTAAAACCTGATCTACCGAGAAATTGGATAAATTTCAGGCATTAAAAATTGGCGGGGGTAAACGAATTTATTTATAATATAACATTGACTACTCTAAAATTGAAATGAAATGCATAAAAGTCGTAATGCACCTCTGGGGTGATTGAATTTTATGATGCGGAGTGAATTTGTAAATAACATTTCATTACATTAGCGTCAAAATGAACCGGGAAATTGGAGAATGATTACAGTTGGTACACTTACTGCTGAAGAATAAAACGAGTGAAAACCGTCAACATTAATCCGGGGGAAGTTCGAATGTATGCGATGAAGTACTCGTGCTTTACTCGCACGGGAGGTCGTAAATTATTTTCACGTGTATATGAAAGTCACTCGATTTCACTCGTCATACTTAGGTACACATACCTACTCACTTGTCATTTCGATGAAGGAAACATTAACAGGAGTTTTATTTGTTTATTAATTCTTGGAAACCACCTGAAATCAGGCCTTCATTACAATAAAATGATAGAGTAATCAGATTAAATTAAGTAGAAAAATTAACTGAGTACAAAATTTCGCACTTTTATTATTTTGCAAATATCTTGAGAATTGAAGGGTGAGAAATTGACAAAATATCTTTTTTATGAAGAATTTTATCGTTTCTCGATGAGTTGTACTTAGTCAAGTAAGAGCGTTGAACTGAATAAACCAAAATTCCTCACAGGCAACTTCTCTTCATGTTCTAGCAGTGCGGTGGCTCAACGGACGGCGTAGTGGTGAGCAACGACCCAGTGGGTATGGACTGCATGCCCCTCCGGCCAGGACCGTTTCACTACTTGATAAGTGAGCAGGCAAAGTCCCTGGTAGCCCTCCAGGAGCTGCAGAATGAGGTCGGTGCACTACTCGAGTTTCGGGACCTCGTTATCGAGACATTCCCAAACCTCAGGCACAAGATGGCAGCGTCGGCGACGGCCTCGGTGTCCGGCTCCGTGATGTCCTCCTCGAATCAGTCCTCCCACATACCATTGCCATTGTCATCTCCATCGTCCCGCAGGATCGGCGAGTGGGAGCCGGGAAAGGTGAGGAGGAGGATAGCACCCCGAGACGGTGACACATCAGCATCATCATTGCCAAGGAGTCGTAGTAATTCGCACAGCGGTGGCAGTAAGAACAGCGCAACAGTCCAGGACTCGGGATTCAGCACTGAAACGTCATCCAAGGACAGTGCATCGACGGCAATACCCCGTCCAGCATCACCAAAGCCAATTCTCGACGAAGCTGAGGATGAACTGTGGAATCTGTTGGACGTAATCCATAGAAAAGGAATAAGACTTCGAGAGGAGGTGGAATCCCTGCAGGGACGACTTGAAAGTGTTGCACCCGATGAATTGGGTCTTTCTGATGATGTTTTGGAGGCTGTGAAAAAGGTGACTGACGCTGGAGAAATATCCAGGGACGATCTCTACGAGAATGAGCACGAGGTGACGCTCCTCAGACGAGAGAAAGAACAATTGCTCGATAAAGTTGCGGAATTGGAAGCCGAGACGATCTCCAGCAGAGCAAGGGCGCAAGAACTGCAGTTGGAACTTGCTGCTCTGTCTGCTATCAAGAGTGGACTCGAGGACAGACTTCGTGCTGGTCTGGAAGGGGACTCGGAGATTGTTGTTCCCTCGGTGCAGAGGAAACCCGTGGGGATTGTGGCGTCTTCTCCGCTGGCCTCGCCCAAACATTCGGTTAATATTAGGAGTAAGTCTTCTGCGTTTGCCTCGGTGGGCTCCAAGGCGCATAAGAATCGGTTTAGGACGAGGACCATTGAGAAGAATGTTCTTGCGAATGGAGCTGTTCTGCCAGGGGGTGAGGACGTTGATCCTGAGGCTGCGGCTCAGGCCAGGAGGATCAGGCTGGGCGCCCTGGACTCGGTTCTGGTGTCCCCTACTAGAATAGCTCATGTTAAGAATGTCGATTCGGAGAAGATTGCTGCGATCCTCAGGGAACGGTCGCCTCTGGAGCTGCAGAGACATCTTATCACTACTACCGTCCATAATCAGGTACAGTGGCTACAACATGTCGTTGAATGCAATTAAATTTTTCAGTTTGGAACTTCGTTGGGAGTTGATTGTTGAAGACATTAGCAGATTCTTTTAGAGTTGTCTTTAGACGTTGAAGGAAAAGAATTCAGAGGAACTTATTTTCTGGAGAATTCAAGTTACAACAAGCAATACTCAATATTTTTTCAGTAAAACAAATTAAATGATTGCGCTGGACTCGCAGTCAACTTTTTTATGAATCTCTAGGAGAGTTAAATTTTCATGGGGACACGTATGAACAAATTGAATAGAAAAATCTAGCTTTTTCAAAGGAAGTTAATGAACAAAAAGTTTAATCGAAAAAAAGTTATACACTGAGAGTGAAAACTACTTTTGACAAAGAAGGTTTACTTAATACAAGAAAATATTCTCTTGTCAATTTAAAAAATCGTGAAATTTCCTGATAAATAATTTTGTTCTCAGACTGAGAGAAAAAAGGTTTCCAACAGGATGAGATTCTCTTGTCCCGAGAAAATTTTTAAACGTTTCCAAAACTAGAAATGATTTCCTTCCCACAAATTCATGTAATTTGCGTTATATCTAGAATTTTTTTTCGTCAGGACTTTGATTACATAAAAGCTTGCACAAAGAGCACAACACTTGAGATCAGTTTTCTATAGACTTGAATTGACAACGAAAGTGTTGGTCGTGCAATAGAAACAAGAATTCCTCAGTTGGAGATAATGACTGATCAAATCGGAAACGTGTGAATTCTCACAATCCATTACATTCTAGATATAACGCAAACTATATGAACTTATGGGAAGATTTATGCTAACACTTGAAAATTTTCTCGGGGCAAGAGCATCTTATCCTGTTGAAAGACTTCTTTCTCTCAGTGTGAGCGCAAAATTATTTACCAGGAGATTTCACGATTCTAACAATCGACAAGAGAATATTTTCTTCTATCAAGGAAATCACCTTTATCAAAAGTAATTTTCTCTCTCAGCGTAAAATCAAAATGTCCATCGTAATCCAAATAATGATAATAATGATCATTCGATGATGGTGCGGGCCTTTTCACCGCCCTCATCTTTCAAAAAATCATCAAACTCCTAATGAATTCTCCAATTTTCAGTGCCTGCAAAACCGACTAGACGAAGTGAAGAAGAGTACTGAGACGCTGTCAGATCGCCTGGACAAAGTCCGAGAGGAGAACGACGAGCTGCGCTACCAGGTACGTCCTCCCCAGCTCCCTGTGAAGCCCTGCCCCTGACTCTCTGAATTTTTCCAGCTGGAGGAGAGGAACATCGAGTTGGAGGGTACCCGAGCCCGCGTGCGAGTCCTGGAGAAGCAGCAGCAGCGTCCCTCCACCGAGCCGCTGAACGACCCCGAGTCCTCGGAAGTGGAGCCCAGATGCGAACAAAGCTGCCTAGAGCCAGGAAGCAGTACCGAGTCAGCTCGAGACCACCACCAGACCCTGGAAGTGAAGCCCTCCCCCAGACGACGTCCACCGAGTAGAATCCCCTTACCCGGTAGCAAGCCAACAGCACCAAGACCCCCCACCAAAAGTGACAGTCGTGAATCCCTAAAGACATCCCTCAAATCCTTAACAAAACCTCCGAGGGACTCTAGTCGTGAGAGTACCAATGACAGAACAAAGTCATCGCTCACAAAAAATCGAGACTCAAGTCGTGAATCACTGAGCAAGAGTCTCCCAAAGACTGGAAAGGACACGAGTAGAGAATCCCTCAATAAATCATTACCCAGGATTAATTCAAGTCGTGATTCACTCAACAAATCATCACTCTCACGTGCCAGAGACTCACTAGAAACGAATAATCATCATTATCAAGGGGTTAATCATAATTATCAGGGAATTAATCATCAGGGAATGATTATGAAAAGTGGTACTGTACCGAGAAGACCAGTTGCACCAGCAAGACGATCACACAGTTTAGCAAGGGCCTCGGTTGACACTGACACTACCGGCAAGGTACGACCAGCTAAACAACACTTTTGGACTGCCTGGATGAAGTAAAACATTCCTCGACCATTAATGATAGTATTCAGACAAATCCAAGTACAGTTGTCGATAATGGGGCTTGGGGATGAGGGATATGGTGCCGAGGGCATCCAGGGACCTAGGGCCTGACGCTGGACTGCATTCTCCTGTGTTCGATTCTACTTTAACATGTGGGGATTAACATTTGTTTAGGGGGTGATTCTCGATGACCAGGGGTTTCTACTTGTTTATTTCTTTCGATTAATATCATTAATTGGAGGGGGCGGATTGAGGGACAGCTAATTTTAATGAAACCCTTGAGAGCTATCTCGATGTTGCTCTGTGTAGATGTTTTTGTAGAGGTATTCAGGTTTGGAGGGTGAGGGTGGAGAAGGGGAAGGGGAAGGTGATAATTTAATTTCATGATGTAGTCAATAATCAATTTCTTGGGGTAATATCTTGAAGCAAATTGAGGTTTAAGAGAAGAATGTTGCTTGCAAAAATTTGTGTATTTCTGTTGGGTTAGAAGTTTTTTGTAAAATTGTTTTTTCTGCAGAACAAGTCGAGATTTACGAGGAAAGTTTGAAGGAAGATTCGTCCGTTTCTGTTGGATTTAAAGATATTCGTCAAGAAATTGACAGTGCTTTAGTCAATTTTATATTGGGATCAGTTTTCTGAAAATATCTTTGGATGCAAAAGGGTAGAAAAATTGATGTGCAGACTTTCTTGTAGAATCATCTGAAAATTTTTCTATCTCCACAAAAATCAAAGATATACATAAAAACTCATCTTTGAATGACTCATCTTGAAGTTATAATTAATCCGTTACCCTTTATCACTTCACTACACTATGCAATTTCTTTTGGAGTAATTTCTGAATAAATTCACTCAAAAAAAAGATAATGAAAAGAATAACATGGGTTTTGCTCATTTATCTATTTTTGTTGAGTGAAATTTTGAAAGGAATATCTCAATAATGAATAACTAAAAGCTCCATGGGTGAATCTTGCCTGGCTCCTTTAATTTAACGTAGCTACTCATTTTCACATTAAAAAATTAATCTCACCCCCCCACAGTGACTCTGACAACGGAATTTAATCCAACTGACTCGTCAATTAGATTAAATTTTGAGAAATTACGATGATTTTGTATTTAACAAAAATTAAAAATACCGACTGACCACTCAACCACTAGCGAAATGTCTGAACTGGAGCGCAGGCGAGCGTGCGTTCGACTCCAACCCCGGCTGTTCAAAACGCAAATGGCCCCTTCTCGCGTCCGTCAGTCTATCGTAAGTTATGCTTCTTTTATTATCATTTGCTTTGACGCTTCGTTTTTTAGCTTATTTAGTTGGAATGTAGTGAAGCTTCGCCTACGATACGATTACTCCCAGTAGTCCTCTTGAGTTTCCTGTAGTGAGGTAGTATCTTCTCTTGGTGATTTTGATCTTCTTTCTCGCAATTCAGTAGCGAAGCGGTAAAACTGTTCAAGTCGATTTTGACTATTCGTCACTTTTCAATTAATATCTCGGGATCTAAGGCAGATAGCAAATTTTCCGTCATGACCTTTTTTGTGGAGCGGATTAAGCTCTACAAAAAAGGTTATGACAAAAATTTATCTATCTCCCTTAGATTCGGAGATATTCCTCGAAAACTCAGCTACAAGCTAAACAGAGGTAAATTTTTTTACCGCTTCGCTACAGAATTTTAAGTAATGAAAATGTGAAATAAGAGGGGTTATTTAACTCTCAATTTTTAGAGGACTCTCTAGTGAGTCATGTTTTTATGGGGGCATGTATGAAAAATTTTAATAGAAACACTGGCCCTTTCTCTAAGAAATTTATTGCATTCATAATAGATAAATAATGGGATGTTGGAAGAGTTTAAACAATCCCTTTCCATGATTTTTATCTATGTAATAATATCTATGTAAATAATAAACTAACCATCTATTTTTTTGTCTTATCGGTTAGTTTATTATTTAGATTTCAAATAGCACCAACGTTTCGACCCGGATTGTGGATCCTCTTCAGGGTAATTTTAGAGAGATCTGTTGGAATCAATAATGATCTATATTAGTTTATGAGGATTAAAAAACAGTTTTTAAGAAATGCTGGGCATAAGTTTTCTAAATTGGATTTTCTCCATTTCTTATCACAAAATTTGAATTTTCCTGTGAATTTTGAGATCATCAGGAAAGAGTAGTTTCGAGGATTTAAAGAATCCCAACGTATTTCACAATTTCATTACTATTTTGGTTGACACTTTCTTGGAATGGGCACTTGTGAGAATATCGAATGAATTCTGAGGCGATGATTCAAGTAGAAAAAGACGAAATGTTATCAGACCGACAATTACATTAATTTCTTAGATCGTCAAACGGTAGATAATTTTGTTTGCATGCAGAATTATAAATTTTGAAAGAATTATAATTCACTTTGATTTCTAGAATTTAATCATTCCATTTGATATGAAAAATTCGGTCAGTAAATTTTTCAAATTTAAGGGTCGGTGAAATTTAAAAGTCTTTACTGGGCCTTGGGACCCATTAAACAGTTTGTTATATATAACGGAATATGAGAATAACTAGGGAAAGTCGCGGACCGATCGATTTTGCCCCGTATAACCACGAAAAACTTCATTTTTTCCTGTTCTCACCTTCAAAATGCTCCTTGTGCCGTAGTTTTCATACGATTATTCCCATAGTTCCCTAGTTATTCCCATATTCCGTCATATATCACACACTATTCAATGGGTCCCAAGGTCCAGTGAAGGCTTTTAAATTTCCCCGACGTAGCCCCTTAAATTATCTATACACATTCGTAGATGACTGTTGAGAACTAAGTGGATTTTCAAATTATTTAGCGAATATTTTCTACAATTTGTAAATTGTAAATTACATAAAGGAGTGTTTTGGCTTTTCCTGTAAGTTTATTAGTTCCAAAAATATCTGTCAAATAATATGTATAAAATCCTCAGACTCATTTCCTTCATTACAAAATGTTTTTTGTCGTCTGCATGATTTTTTTTTTATGACTTAACACTTTGTCTTCTTTGTCTGTTCATCCTCGCTGACCACAGCACGAAATTACTGGATATATCTGTCACTCCTCCCTCCTCAAAAATTCTTAACATCTCTGCCTCTGGTTTTTATTACCTTGCTGATTATTTTCGCGGAATTATGATTTGGTTTGCTGCATTTATCCCCAAGAATGCCTGACAATACGGACGTAGATAAGTGAGATAATTACAGATTTTTTTTGTGCACTTGAGGAAAAGGAAAATTGAGCAATGTATAACTCTCTTAATCGACCACACGCTTACCTGCTTGGCCTGCGGTTCGTCGACCAACTATGATTACAATTATTAGGGCTTGTCTATACCTCAGAAATTTTGCAGTAGAGTGAACTTATTTCATCAGCTATTCACTCCAATTTATTGTTCAGGATAACGCAAACTATTTTAAATGGAAATGGAGAAAGCCAAGTGAAGACAGAACTGTTCAACGAATTAGTGTACAAATGCCTTGAGAACAAGGAGTTTTATGAGAAATCATCGAGAGTTTTGCTAGAATTTATTGATAAACTCTAGATAATTCGTTGTTCCTAACTCTCATGGAAATTATTTGATGAAATTTCAGAAAAGAAGAGGTTTATGGAAATTTATTAGAAGTTCTCTTCAGTACCTCTTCGACTTCTCATATCCATTCAACAATTCATTGTTAAGATATTTTCAAAATTATAAGTAATTATCACACCATTTTGTAGTTTTAACTCGTCATCTGAATTGTTTTTTTGAATTTATTCGCAAAAGAAAGGTTTCGGAGAATTGATTAGAAGAATTTTTTTTTGCAGCTTTGTGAATTCTCGACAAAAATGTCTCGCAATGAATTTTTATGAATTTCCTCATTCCTGACTAAAATCCTCAAGTGATCAGGCAATGAATTTTACAAAATGCATTTTTCCTCACATGCAAATTATTTTAAAAATGTCCCAGAATCTGAGGGGTTCATCAAAATTTGTCAAGAGATATTTTTTTCTCTTAAACAATCTGTGTAAAATTTTTTATTCTCGAGATATTCACAGGCCTTCAAGATCAATCAAATATTATTTGTAGAAATTTTAAATTTTTATAAATTTCTTTGTCAATTTCTTCATTCGTGACTAAAATAATCAAGTGATCAGATAATAAATTCTGCAACATGTCCTTTTAATGACATGACAACTATTCTAAAAATCTCCCAGAATCTGAGGAATTCATAAAAACATTTCAAGAGGTCTTTTTGTAGCCTTTGCATTTCTCTGTAACGATATCTCTTAAACAATCTGCGTAAAAAATTTCATTCCTGAGATATTCCGAAAGACCTTCAAGATCAATCACCTGTTTCTGCCAAATGAGTCTTAATAAATGCATCTCAAGCTCTCCATTTTCAAGATATAAAAAAAGCAAAACTAATGAATCAATCCCTGAAAACAACGCCTCCCAACATAAAACTTCTGCAGGTATAGACAATAGAAAAATTGTGTGGTAAAACCATGAAGCCTCGAGCGTTTCACATTGCGCAAGAAGATAAAATGCATAAATTAAGTGACAAAAACACATAAAAATGGATAATTATGATCATAAATCATTGGCATTCCTGTAGATTCATCATCGAAGATTAACCGGGTGCAATAATTTTTCTAGGCCCTCACCGATCCCCCGACCTCCTGGTGTTCATCAACCAGTTTCCGTCACAGTGAGTCATCCCTCTATCCAGACTCATTGAATCAAGATACATCCCTGAACGACTCAACGAGAATCGAATTCATAATTGGCTCACCAACGAGGAGATTTCGTCCACCATCAGCCTGGCAAAATTCTTACTTCGATAGCATTGATTCATCAGCAATGGCAGCTGAGAGCCTTTCCACCGGTGAATTTCCACTGAGAGGCGGTGAGGCACTTGCCGAATGCGATTCGCTCGAGTGCCATCCAATTTCCAGCGAAGGATAAAACATCAAACTGTGAACGAAATTATCTGCAATTAACACTTCAACTCAAATACTTTTAAAATTGTTTCAACGAATTTGAGAGCTTCCAAGGACAGCCTTGAATTTACCAACGATAATTTCGACCATTATATAATTCGCGAGAATTTTAATGATATTAACAATTTGACACGTGAGAACACCCAAAATTCCCAACGAAGATCAATTTTCTTTTGCATTTTTATGAGATATTGGAGTGGAAGAGGAAGGAAATTTAATTAATTAATACGTGCAAATCTAGGGTTTGAAAAACATCTCGGAATTTTTTCACAAGAACAGTTCTTTGAATATTGTATTCTAATATCCTTTCGAAGATATTTGCGGAGTAGTCTGTGAATAATCAAGGGAAAGAATTAATATGAAGAGAAAATTCAATGTCAACTAATTTGTGAATATCTCCGCAATTCGTAGCTCTAGAGGTAAAACTGACAATTTCCCTGAACTATTGTCTTTCAGAGATGTTCTCACAAATCTGCTAATAATTTGAATTAAAAAAGAAAAAACTGGAACATTCAGAACTCACTAATTTGCAAATATCTCTGAAATTTCAAGTATCTTTTGACATTTTTTCCCCAATCACTTTCTTCTAAAGATATTTCTAAATATTTACAATGCATCGAAAATATAAACAGAAATAAATGAAAATTTGCATGCCAACTAAAACCACAAATAGTTCCAATTATTCGATTGAGAGAAAAAACTCGAAAAAACTTGTGTGTAGATTATGACAAAAATTATATTTCAACATTTTCCTCTAATTTCCTTGCTTTCAAAAATTTTACGAACTACTCTGGGAATAATTGCAGGAAGGAAAATGAACGGATACAAAATTAGATGAAAATTAATTTGGAAATATCTTTGAAATTAATGGGTTTAGTTAAAATAAAAAATTAAAGAGTGACTGAAATTATTAGGTCGAGATAAACAACTTGGAATTTTTTTTCTAACTCACAAAATTCTCCACGAAATATATCTTCATACATTTGTCATTAGCCTCTGCAAACAAATTATATTTTCTTCTTCTACCGCTTCAGCAACAACTGAAATGATAAGACTCATTCAAGAATCAGTTTGCCTCGCAAACTTTGAATTCCTTGACCCCTAAGTACCTAGAAATTACCTAAACTCATTCAGTCTGAATTCACGTGCATTTTGTATCCTAGCTGATAAAAAACCACGTAAAATCTTTTTCTATTTCAATCAGGCTGTGTCTGTCTGTGCTTAGTTAAACTTTTTATAATTCAATTAAATTATAAACTCCTAAGTAAGCGATACTTGTAATAACTTGTAAATAATATTTTCCTTCGATCTAAATGTGCGTAGAAACCGGTGGAGAGAGTAGGGAATTGTTGAATTGATTCCTTTCATTGATGCACATGTTTTGTCAGGAGATAATGCAATTTATTGCATTCCAATGAGCATTTGTGATTTATTATCTCATTATTATTTATTATTAATTTTTTGAGCTAGATGGATTGTTAGGATTGTGACACTTGAGTGCAATTATTTGTTACAATGAGTGAATTATGAATCAATTTTCGAGATTAATCGGTGGAGACTGGTGTGAATATTTCGAAGTGTCTTGTACATATCAGAGAAGTATACAAAGTCAGGATGAAGCGATAGATCAATAACTTCAAGCCCAATTATTATTATTTTATGAATTATTTTTCATCTCTGGCAGATAGAAATTATTTTCACGTGTAGGATCATTCCAGGGTCAAGATGGGATATTAAAAAGTTCCTTGCTTCAAGTAATGAGAAAAATATTTAGTAAAATTATGAAAATAAATGAGTGAATTACACCTCAACATCAGTTTTTGGAAAATATCTGGAAATCCGTGTGAGATAGCGAAATGTTCATAAGAGCCTTTTTTGTAGCTCTGTTTTTTCTCTGCAAAAAAGGTATCAACAGAAATTTTGCCATCTCCCTTAGATTCAGAGATATTTATCAAAGAATAAAAGAATGAATAAAAAATTAGAAATGTAAAATCTGACGATTCCTGAATTCACTCGAATATCACAGAGGATTCACCTGTGATCTAGTTTATAGTAAATTAAGACTGTGCATACAGTTTGATCAGATCTCATGACGACTCTCAATTTAAAACTAATCGAGAATCTCTTTAAGAAAATGTAAACATCACAAAAGACTTGTTAAGTATTTTTTTATTTTGAAATGATGAAATCAAGAGGATCATTAATTATGTGAACAGGGATTATGAATATTAATTGCAAAGACTCGTCTGAGATTTCGTCAAGCGTCGGTACGTGTACACATGGTCACTAACTTGTGATTAACATAGATAAGCTAATAGGACTGACAGGACATTACTTATTACGTTAGTGCCTGATGAATTTTTTTGTGAAGAGAAATTTTGCGAGAAGGAGATGAAATTGGGTGAAATTAAATAGAAAGAATGACAGATGAGGATTAAGTGATTAGAGGAATTAATAATTAATTCATAAATTCATGAGGCAGTTAACATAATTTATGATTATGTCATTCTCTTCTATTTTTATTCCACTCGGTTTTGTTTTGCTAGAGTTACACGTACTGATGACTCTAGTGTTTGTAAATAAAATTCTGTGTTGAAGTGGTAGAAAAGAGATGTGTCAAACATTTTTATTAATTTATTTCATAAATATCTTGAGGATTAGCAGATGCAGAGGAAAACATCACGAAAATTTTCTTTTCTGAAGTAAAGGAAAGAAAAAAAAATTGAAACATTTTCACTGAATTCTTTTGTAAATATCTGTGAAATGTCTGTTTCCACGAAAATTGACAGTGATATTCTCAAAATAATACAAACAACAAATAAATTCATATTCATCTCTTGCTCTTCACCCCTTCAAAACTGAATCCCCAAAAAACAGATTTCGTTTATGTTTTTTATCATCATGTGATGATTAAAACGAACGGAGAAATAAAAAATATGCTCAGATATTGTAATTACGACGCCTGTCACTGGAGACTATTATTTTTATACGAATATAATTGCGACGAAATGGAGAAAGAAATTATCCAAAACTTTTTATGAGATTTTTTTTCAACTGAAAACGTTCCCCTCTTTTTGATTTAATATTCTAGGGTTTTGAGGAATGCACTCCAGGGACTTGTTATTGAGTGCACGATGAGAAAACAATGTTAAGATAGTACCGTTACATTTCATTGAAATGAAAGGATTGTTAGGTAATACTTGTAAATAGTTAACGAATGAATTGTGAGAGTTTTATTTATAAAACTAGAATAATCCGTGTACATAAATGATGAAAATACAGAGGAGTACGTGTAAAATGTGCGATAACGTGATAAGCATATTAATAAAAATGAATAAAAAGGAAATTACGTAAATCAAGTGAAAAAAACTGCTTTTGACATTTATTTTAGCTATTCGTCTTCTCATGCAAATGGTCTGTATTTTACAGTGCGTTATTATTCTCACTGCGGTTTGAACTCTCTCAGGGTCTTCCCCAGAAGTGTCCTTAAACTATACACCAAGGATTCGTTTTATTCACAGGGACAAGAATAAAAAAAATTATTTTGTGGGATGCTAAGTGAATGACGATGACGAGGGCAGTATCAGGTGTTCTATTTATCATTTTTTATTGCTCCAAACGTATAATCAGTCATCGACGGGATTTCCGCATTGTTCAGATATCATGTGGTGTTCGTGGTCACACGTGCACTGATAATAATTAAAAGAGGAATTTAGATTTTTTTCTATTATGAATTCATAGTGGTGTTGGGATTCTTGGAAGGGTTTTGAATTTTCATGGTTTCTTTTGTTAAACTTACGGAAAATTGTTGGAGGTAAGATATGTCTTTGAGGAATTTATTGCTGACAGTTTTGGAATGAAAAAAATTCCATTTTTTTTTCATCTGTGGCGGAACGAGAGGTAGATCGATAACGCAAGTTTATAACATTTCATTGAACTTATCGTTAATGTAGTGTAAAGTGGTGACGAGATGTCGGGACCAGAACAAATAAGTCTTCAAGTATTTCATGAATTTCTTCGGAAGAAAGAGAATTACAGAAATTCGTCGAAAGGAAATCTTTGGTCGCTTATGAAGTAGGGAAAAAAATATCTTTTCATCACTTGTGCGTAAATTGGAATTTTACGTACGTTCCGCGTGCGCAGAATCCCATTTTTTACACATTGTGATAAAAAATAGTTTGACAGTAGTTGGAAAGGTTCACACTTCCCACGAGTCAAAAAACACTTTTTTATCACTTGTGCGTGAAGTGAAATTTCTACACATCATGACGGAAAAGAGGATTCGACACTCATGGAAAAGTGTCCTTTAACCCTTGAAAGGATAGCACTCGCCTTCGGCGAGCGTTGCACACTTCCCACGGGCTAAAAAACACTTTTTCGCCACGGCGGACGCAAAGTGCACATTTCCGTTCATTTTTTTTAAATAAAATTTAACTTTGCGCCTACGCTGTGACGGAAAATAACGTCCTGACCGCGGGAGGATGAATAAAGGACCGTTACCCACGTGCTTATCACTCCCGCCTTTGGCTCGGATGCTAATTTTGCACGTGGGCCCGACTTCTTTATTGTCCCTTCCTAGGTAGAGAATATATCAGTAGCGAAGTGGTAAAACGGTTTAACTCAATTTTGACTATTGGCCAGTTCTCAATGAATATCTCGGAATTTAAGGGAGATAGTAAAATTTTTATTATAAACTTCTTTGTAGAGCCGATTGAGTGCTACAGCAAATATAATTACGATAATTTCGCTATCTCCCTTAGATTCGGAAATATTCCTCCAAAACGCAAGTGGGAGATAAGTCGACTTAAACCGTTTTATCACTTCGCTACTGATATTATTACGCACTCGTGTTGAAATATGCTATTTAAGGTTTTTCTCTAAACTTTTTGTTGAACCTAAAATTAGAACTTTAATTATAGGTCATTATAATTACCTACAAGAATAAAAATAAGTGTGTAGTTGCTTTTGTCTCGGTCGCAGTATGGCTATTTTGCCGCAATTTCGATAAATTGGCAAAATGTTTCTGAATGAACAATTTTACAAATTAGTAGCGAAGTGGTGTAAAACGGTACAAGTCAATTTTCACAATTGACCCATTTTCAACGAATATCTCGGAATCTATGGGAGATAGCAAAATTTTTGTTATAACATTTTTTGTAGAGCCGATTGAGAGCTACAACAAATGTAATTACGATAATTTCGCTATCTCCCTTAGATTCGGAAATTACTGAAATCATTTTCTCATGTCTATCTTTCTTCATTTTTATATTAAATTAAATTGAGTTATATTTCTTTTTTAAGCCGTTGGGTCAAATTCTCAAATCATTTAAAGCTACTAGAGAAAATTGCATTGTAAAAAATGTTTTCATGCATAATTGAATTGATTTGAAAAGTCGCATTAGAACGAATATTTTTATTTGCGATTGAATCAATTTGATTTTTAAAAAACAGTGAAAATTCAGAGTGAATTTCGACTCGGAGTTCACACTATAGAGTAGCCTCACGTATTGTTTGCGCGCCACGCTTGCTCCTACGGCGGGTGAATATTATTTGTCGCTCGCTTCCAAAATTGGGTATATTGGTGTCAATGCGTTGAAGGCAATGTGACACACTGGAGCCGCACCAAGAGCTTCCCGATTCCTCTATTCCACGTAGAAAATTCCTCTTTTCACACTCTTCTACCGTAAGAAACTAATCGCTCGATCGATATCGATCAATATCTAATCAGCACAAAATCACGTGAAGCAATTCTCTGTAAACGTCACCAATCGCGACATCGAGCAATCCTCGGTGAACGACGGTTCGCGAGATATCGTGAACGATAAATTTTGAGACATATTACACAACACAGACACACACATGCACAGATTTTTCTCAAAATGACTGGAAATGAGTATAGAGACCTTGAAATTCCAACATTTGGTGAAAAATCGAAATTCGATTTTCGGGGTGATTACAATAAATGACTTCCCTGATCGGGAAGCTGAAAGCATATCTTTAAAGATTTATTTTTGTTAATTTTTTTAATCTCTGGTCCTGCTAGTTTTACAGATAGTCGCAAACAGGTTCTTCAGAATTTGATAGCGATTCGAATTTATCTCTCGCAATAATCTCTGGCATTACTAAACTCAGAGAAATATGTCGGAAGATCTTTTTCGTAGCCTATGCGCTGAAAAAAAATTCATCAAATTTCTTTGAGACAAACAAATGCCCAAAATTTCGATACAAAATTTCACTATAAATTCTTGTCTGACATAAATTTGTCTGACTTATTTTTCTGTACCTACTAGCTTCGGAGATATTCGTAGTTTCTTTGAGGCACTACCGGGGTTGAAAATGAATGGGAAACCCATTCCGCAATTTTTTCCGCAATCGTTGGATTCTGAGAAAAATTTCAAAAGAAGATTCTCTGTGGTACATAAAATTGCATATGAAAAAAGTCAAGCGTAGAAGTTACAGGAATATTCGACAGTCTCTGCGAAGAGTGAATGAATCCAAAGATGTCAGTTGCATTATTTTTCATAGATTTCTCCAATTATTGGGCTTCGAAAAAAAATATAAAAAGAACTTTTTTCTGAAAAAACACATTTTTTTTATAAAAGTTAAAATGTGATATCGTTCAAACTTATTAGTGTTTTAATGATAAATATTTTAAGAATAACTGACTCCCCCAAAATAATAATATTGATTGTTGTCTCTCATTTGTTCAAAGATAAATGTGTTAAATTCAATAAAGACAGCCAAATTAAGAAGATGAGAAGCATAATCATGATGTACAACAAAAATCCTTCAACAATTCACTTGGAATGAGTCCACGACGCATAAGTGAGAGTTGCAATTGCGGTTAAAAATTGCGATGAATTTATGAAATTAAAAGAGAAGAGTGCGGAAAAATTCATCGAAAAATTTCCTTGATGCTCATGAAATTCAAAACATCTTCAACAATTTTTCTCGGAATATGTTAGTTGCAAAGATGATTCTTAAATCGATCCTTGGGAATTTAATAAAGATTCTAATTGAAAATGAAGATCATTTCTCAAGAATCTCTGATACTATTACGTTCAGGTAAATATGCCAAAGAGCCTTTTCCATAGATCGCGGAATTCCCTTCGAGGGAGCTTGTCTGACTTCTTTTTCTGTATCTACTAGTTTCAGAATTATTAGACAAACAGTCTCTTCGTAAGGTCACTGAATCCAAATATGTCGTATACATTATTTTCCAATGGTCTCCACATCAACTGGGCTTCGAAAAAAAATGTGGGAAAAACTTTTAAAAAAAAATAAAACAGAGATGTCTTTTAAACTGCCCCAAAATAGTAATATCGATCGTTACCTCTCATTTGTTCAAAGCTAAACGACCTAAATTGAACGAGGACAACCAATTTAATACGATGAAAAGCATAATCACGATTTACAATAAAAGTCCCTCGACAATCCAATTGAAATGATTCAATGACGCGTAAACGAGAGTTGCAATCGCGTGGAAAGAATCCAGTGAATTTGTCCTTGCGGAGGAAGAGATATTCTGCCAATATTGACTTTCTCAATTCCTGTGAAAAAAGAGAAACAAATGACAGGCAAGAGATGAGTGGAATTTTTCCACCTTTTCCTCTCGTGTTCGCCTAACTCGAAACTATTCATTTGAACATCGGGAGTTAATTGACTTCCGGGACATTCTCCGGTCATCAGCACTGTATCACTTGTTTTATCATCGTTGTCACTCTGGTCTCAAGAGAATTAAAGTAAACAAGAAACTTTCTGGTACGACCGTGGCCACTTATACGTGTCATATCGATCAAGGCGCCTCGGTAAGTTTGAGGTCAAGTACGATTTCGTAATTTTATTTCACTCCGGCATACAACATGCATTATACCATATTCAGTATCCTAGCGTCTCCAGGTTTCATTGGCACTTCGTGTTCAGAATTAAATACCAAAACCACAAACTATTTTTTTTTCCGCAATGCCGACGTCATTAAGAGGATTTACCACAAGGAAGTATGGTTTTTACGATCGCAATCAGAGCTGTTGATGGTGAATAATTCATGGGTTAAAGGCAGGAATGTGTAAACGGTGGACGAGTTAGAACATTTCAGGGATATTTTCCGGAATTTCTCTGGAAATGATCGGTTGAGAGGAAAATGTCAAAAGAACTTCTTAGTAGAAAATTCACTTTCCTGCAAAACAATTTCGTAAATCCTTTTAATAAGAGTCTATTGTAGAGATATTCGCATTCTTCTATGATTGATATTGGAAATTGCATATGAGGTATTGCCAAATGAGTCAACGGTTGCCTCTCACCCTTTTGGAAATTGATTTTCTTCTGCGATTGGGGGGCTAGAAAAAGCTATCTCTCAATTTTTTTCAGATTACTTCGACTGCCCATTTCGGAGATACGATTTTTTCTTCGTTTTTTCGTTTTGTTTCAATAACTCGGGTCCCATGCAGCCGATTTTAATATATGACGGCTCAAAATTTTCCATTTTCTACAATCTATAAGAAGATTTTGGGTAATATCATGTTCAACCCCTCGGCGCTCATAATACCAAATTATAAAAAAAAAAAATTTGAAAAACTTGAATTTTCAAAATTATGTCAGCTTTTATTTTTCTCATCTTTTTTTCAGTAACTCTTATAATCAAAACAAGTATTTTGAGCTGTCATACAAGTTGGGTTCTGTCCTGGATTTATTTTATTATTAATAATTTTTTCTTCTCGAAATTCCGCGAATTTGGTCGAAACACCCGAAAACCACTTCGATTATGTATCAAAAAAATATGTAACATATAAGAATACATTTAAATTTACTTCATACTGTTTATAATCAAAGTAAATCAACGCCATTTTGAAGTATTTTGACTAAATTTGTGGAATTTCCACAAGAAAAAATTAAAAATAAAATGGATCTTTACGAAATAAAGTTCACGAAATTTTCCCAGCATGTTGTATTCCTCTGACAAGTCCTGAGCAAGATCTTTTAAAAAACCTCATGATGCTCTTCCTCCCAGAAATAGTCAGAAATAAATTCAAATGAATGTTTTAATGCAGTTATTTCCTGCAATTATTTCATGATGCTCTTCCCCCCAGAAATAATCGGAAATAAATTCAAACAAATGTTTTAATGCAATTATTTCCATTAACTCATTCCACAGTGTCTCCTGCTGACGATAAATAATCCATACGTAGAGCGAAAAATCCACAAACGTCACTTGATAATTAATACCATTTTCGTCTCGAGGTGAAATAAAAATATCAGCGAAGAATAAAAGAGATAAATTACGCATCCAGCGAGGTAGACTCTCAATTACACACAACGGATATTGGATGAGGCTAGAAAGTGACTCTCAGTGGCATTAAAAAAGCATCAAGCAGAATTAATTGTCTTCTGAAATATCCGATGGTATTTGCATCGCAAGATCTTGATAAAAAGGTTCATGTTCCCAGGATACTCGACACCAATACCGGAATGTAATTCCTCTTCATTTCTGTTAGCGAAATATTACATACTTGGGACTTTGGAATTGAGATGAGTGTTTTGAACGGGCGTACAGTGACACCGGAGCTTACATCTTCCTCGGAGTGAGACTTTATTTTAAACAATAGATTGGACAATCCAACTAAGATTCCTAAATCAATTTGTAAATTTTTCTGATTATTGAGATTATTGTCAGGAAAAGTAATTACAGACTAGAATGACAAGAGAGGTTTTCTGGGAATAATAGTTTTATTTGGAAAATGTCTCTCGAGAATTCTTCCTGAAGATTGAAAGGACACTGGTTTACTTTATCTTTCAGTCTATCCATATCAATAAAACGTGAAAAAGTTGAATGATTGAAGACTTTTTTCGATTACTTCTCTGAAGACAAATATCCTACTTTCATGCATTTGCAAGTGAAGGCTCGTTTTAATGTTGAATGTCCAAATACATTTTCATTCATTTTTTGCCTTTGTTTTTTTTAAGATAATTCAATTTTTCATAAAAAATGTTTCTTAACATTTCCTCCTGATTTCCTCTCCAAGTCTTCAAATCTTACTGCCATTCGCTTGAACTCATTTATGAAATGAGCAATCCACCGTAAAGCAGAAATTCAAAAGACATTTTTTTGAGATAAACAAATTTTCTTGAAAAAAAGTCTCGAAAACTTGTTCTGACTACTGAGGTAATTTAATGAATTAAACATTTGTTAATTAATGATTTATCCCAGTGAAGATTAATTTTCATGCTGAATATCAGAAAATATTTTTAATAAATAATTTCTCATCAAAAATGTTTTTCAATTTTTCCTAAAATCGCTCATCACCGAAAAAAATCTNCCCCCCCCCCCCCCCCCCCCGCCAAATGCTTAAATTTCTCATTCAAATATTTCTCCAATCTCCAGCACAATTAATCACAAAAATGACGCAGCAGAGGACTCATTAGTGGATGAGCCTGGCGAAATTCCGAAGGCTGACACCGAGGCCGCTAATTACGATCCATTCGCAGCACGATTATTGACTCAACGAAACTCGTACGAGGAAAAAATAACAATTCATACCTAAACGTCACTCAACCCACTGCAATAGTTCAAGTAAACTCCCCCATTTTCCCCATGATCATTGTCCTTGAAACCGGTGGATTGCGTCCAAAAGCCTGCGAAATTGGGGTGACAATAAGTAAGAGGTGAATTATCCGAGTAATTCCTTCGATTACAGTGACACCGCAGTGTTTATGCACCTGCTGAAGGCCTCGATCGGTAGCGGCATACTTTTTCTCCCACATGCATTCAGAAAGACTGGCTACGCTACGGCCCTTATATGCGCGGTGGTTACAGGCCTGATAAGCTGCCACACCGCAGTAATCACAGTGAGTTGCCGATGTTCCAATGATTCTTTTATCAAAACCAATTATCCCCTCTTTCATTCCACTCTCACTTTGTTCGATAATCTCAAGGATATTGGCGTCACGGAACTGGGTTTAATCGCTATCTGCGGGTTTTTTAATTGAGTCACGAGATTTTTCTTCATTGTATGAATAAAAAGGTGATGAAGAAAGGAATTGCAATATTGGAAATCTGGGGTGAAGGAGACTAGGAAAAATACGAAAGAACACTGAGAGAAAAATTGACATAGACTGTTGAAAGTTTTCGACTGAAGTTTTCCTTCTCAAAGTCCGGAAATTTTTATCGTATTCGAGCTTCACACTGAGAGAAAAACAAACACATTGTCAAACAAGTCTTGTTTGGGCCAACAAAATCGCTAGTTGAAAATTGCCAAAAAAGAATTTGTTTGTTTCGAATTTGAAAGTCTCAAACATGAATAATTGTTCTGCTTGTGATAGCAACGAAATATTTGGCTCAAGAGGCGGATAATTCACACCAGACGGTGCCTTTTCAGGAGGAAAATATCTCATATAGAGGAAAATTTATCAACAAATATTTTATCCCTAAGTTACAACATTGCTATTATATCATTATTATTGTTTTATTTAAGGGTCCATTCCTTGTCTGTGATTATTAGACAGCCGAAACGAAAAACTACTATCCCTTGTTTCGCATAAAACAACGATTTTTCGGGAGCAAAATACCTATGGGAGTATCGAATAACGAAGGAGTAGTGCTGGAAATGAAATTCGTCAAATGCTGCTTTCTGATCGTCGTGTTCCGTTCTCAGAGAACAATCATTGAAAAAATTCCACCTAAATAAGTCACATACAACTATCAAGCAAACAATTCCTATTGAAAAGTGCACGGCGAAGTTGCGTAATTTTCTCTAGAAATCGGCCTGATAAAAAACACATAGATTCCTTCACAGAATTAAAATAATTGAATTCCGACGAAAGTCCAACGAAATTTCTTATGTTGGAAAGCTCTAGATTATTCTATTAAAATTTTCGCGCGAGACCGCAAAACTCTCCCCAAAAAATTGTTGACCCTTAGAGAAAAAAGAGGGGGAAGCAATTTATTTTTCCTAAATGCCTTCTCCCCCCAGATATCCCCACACAACCTTCAGAACAATTTCCATTCGTCTCCCACCACCATGTAGCAACAAAAATAATTGTATTCATATCCCCATATGTACGGAGCTCCCCGACTACAAAATATCAAGGTAATGTCACGTGAGTCGTTGCATGAGACTCGATTTTATTGTGTATTTCAATCTCGTATGACTTTACGCAACGCCATCCTTTCTTTCCCCCTTTTTTCCCATTCTCCGTCTCCTTTTTATCTCCAACTACTCATGATCAGCTGTCTCCCTCCCTTTCCCATTCTCTGCATCGTTAACTCGTTTTGTCCGCAGGTGCAGTGCACCCAGAACCTATGCACAAGATCACGAAAATCATCGCTGAGTTTCGCCGAAACAGCTCGTGTGTCATTCGAGCATGGCCCCAACTGCATTCGAAAGTACTCAACAGCATTCGGTGTATTTGTTAATGTACTCGTCTGCTTCGTCCAGTACCAGACGAGCGTTGTGTACACTCTGTACATTGCCACCTCGAGCCAACAGGTGCGTGCACTGAGAGAAAAACAAACACATTGTCAAACAAGTGTTGCTTGGCCCAACAAAATCGCTAGTTGAAAATTACCAAAAAAGAATTTGTTTGGTTCGCATTTGAAAGTTTCAAGCATGAATACTCGCTCTGCTTTCGACAGCAACGAAATATTTGGCTCAAGAGGCGGATAATTCACACCAGACGGTGCCTTTTCAGCATGAAAATCGAGATACGCGGTAGCGTATCGGCCAAGTAAACGTTTTGAAATCTCAAAACAGGCCGAGAGCTACTGCGTAGCTATACACGACAATCCTACCCCCTCCACTACCACTTGATTCAATTATGTTAATATCTCATATAGAGGAAAATTTATCAATAAATATTTTATCCCTAAGCTACAAGATTTCTTGTCTGTGATTATTAAACAGTCGAAATGAAAAACTACTATCTCTTGTTTCCCATAAAACAAAGATTTTTCGGGAGCAAAATACGTATGGGAGTATCGAATAACGAAGGAGTAGTGCTAGAAATGACATTTCTTGCGTGTACAGAGTAGTTTTGTTTAAACTACTAAATCTATTTTTGCGACAAAAATTTTTCATTCCGACGCACTCTCTGCATGTTTAGCACAAAATAATCCTTTTTTGATAATTTTCAAAAAACTATTCTCTTCGCACAAGTAAGACTTGTTTGAGGACTTTGTCGTTTTTTTGTCCCAGTGTGGGGTAATTACTCGGGACACTGAAAAATGACCGGATTGCGTCAGGCACATGGCTTGGGGTCTCCGGAGAGACAGTGGTCAACTAGTTTGAATTTTTCTATCTTTAGTATTAAAAAAAGTGCCTGATGAAGTTTATCCGGGAATGAGTTATTTTTAGGGAACTGTTTTCCCGGCGACCGAATAGTATCAATACAGGGAATATACTGATTAAGGGGGGGGGGAGAGGTCAAAGTTGTCGAAAAATTTGCTCACGTAATCCTTGAACGACCCCTAATTAACGAGTACCCTTAATTTCCCGAAATTAAATGACCGAATTTTCGATTTCCAACTGCCTAAATATCCTGGCAACGAGTGCTTTTGAGCAACATAATCATTGAAATCTGTTCTTACCATTACCTCTTTATTATGTTCCCAACCGCAAAAGGGCAATGGTCTCGATTCTGACCTTCATTTTTAAAATCACTCGTTTTAGAGATAATTACAGATTTCACAAATCACAAACAGTTTATAGTGGAATTCGTCATATCTCGATCGTTATCTTGAATTATGTAACTATCTCACTAATGATTGATCTTGAAAAAGACTGTCAGATTGGTTTTGACGGAAATTTACGCATCTACAAAGGGAGTTTCTTAGTTTTTCGGTTTAAAATGATTCCTTCTAGACACGTATACACTGAGAGAAAAATATAATTCTTTTGACTATATTCCATCACCATCGTATTATAGTCAAAAAGTCCTCAACAATTTTTCATGGGTTACGGTAACTATGGCCGGAGAAGTAATTACTACAATGGAATGTAGTCTTTGCAACTATTTTATAGTTCTCCTCACGATAGATTTGTCGTGGTTACTTTTGAACTTTGGTCAGTTTAACTGCATTTTGATTTGCAAAAATTACGCTTGTGAAGTTACTATAATGTTATGTGCTGCATACAAAAAAAATCGTATCGTTCACCAAAATGCCTCAACTATTTTCTTATTGTAAATCGAACTTCAGATTTTTCTCTCAGTGTATATAATCAAGGAATAATGACTAAAATAAAACATCAAATGTGTAACTATGTTGGCCATTTTTTTGCAGAGTAAAAATTATCAAAATCCATGTTTCATATTAATTATAATGAATGGAACATGGATTTTGATAAATGAATGAAAAATGAATAGTTCCACTAATTATACAATTATTTCTAACGCGAGTCATTTTAGACAAAAATATCTAGAAAATTTTCGTGACTAAAACAATTGCATTCAAAATTATGACTAGAAATATAAATAAATAATATTTATCAGTGAATTATTATAATTTGAATAATTTATACATAAAATTACGATAATAATTGAATTATAGATATACTTAATTTATATTTCCGATCATAATTTCAAATGTAATTGCTTCAGTACCGAAAAAGTTTTCCAGATATTTTTGTCTAGAACGACTCGTGATGCAGATAATTATAAAATTAATTGAAGTATTCATTTTTTCGATTACGTTCCACCACTTCAATACAAAATGATGGAAGTCTGCAGACGTGCGAACATAACATGACTTATTATCATTATCCTTAAGCAGATTTTTATCGCGGAAAAATAGCAAATCACCTCCCACCGTCATTAAATCCTGAATTATTCATAAAATTCTCAATATCCGGAGTGAAGCAGATAGATTTTTTTCTACTTGAAGGCAACACCACTCCCGCTACATTTCCTCACAAATTGATCCGCTCAATGTTACACCAATGATTCACACTAACAACCTGAGGATTAGGTCGAAAATGTCAAATTACCTCTCTTCTCTTTTCAAAACTCTGATTCACTAATTCCACACTCTTGACATCATCACAAAAAAATGTAGCGCGTTTATGAAAACAGCATTAACCCAACATTTCAAGCGTGAATTGCGATAAGAAAATACGTGATTTAAGAATTCACCGAAAATGACATCAATGTTATCTGTTTGAAAATAAATTTCTGGGCCTGTAAAAGAATTCGAGAGAAACGACAATAGGAAATTCTAGTACATTTCCTGGAAATTCTATTGCATTGGTGACAAATTTTCACACTATAGCGTAAACTGCCCAGTAGATGGACGTTTGTTTTTTAGCAATTGAAAAAAAAATTGATCGAAAAAAATCGTCGTGGAATTTCATTGAAACATTATTATTTCAACAATCGCGGAAAAAAGTTGCGACGTTTTTCGATAGAATTTGCAAACGGAATAGCAACTTTTCAATAGAAATCCTAACGAACCTACTAAATTGTTCTATTAATTTTTATTGAACGTTCCATGTTTATAAAATCTCCAACGACGCGGAGAAAAATATTCAGTAAAAATTACGGAACTCACAACTCGCTCACCGATTACGGAATCGACTCAGAAAATTTAAGTGACGGCATCAGTAAAAATTACGGAGCTCACAACTCGCTCACCGATTACGGAATCGACTCAGAAAATTTAAGTGACGGCATGGTAATTTTTCACAGGAGATTCAGATAAAAATTACCGAACGCTCTGGAAAAATTCCGTGACAGTTCGGTAAAATTTCCTACAACCACATTTCGCTCCGGAATCGCGGAAAAGATACGTCATTTTTATTAAATATTTCTCTCCGTGGATGGGTGCATACGTCAAAATGAAAGAAAAAAAAGACAAGTCATTTCCTGTGTCCGAGTCCCATTGTACGAGATACATCACCGGAAATTAAGTCCACGTGCCGGGGTAATTGTTATCTTAATCAATTCTTCTATTTACAGATTATCGAGCACTTCACAGGAATCAATTTCGACGTTAGAGTGTACGTCGCGACGATATTTCCGATTTTATGTGGCCTTGCAATGGTCCCAAACTTCAAGTATTTAATACCTGTTTCCGTCATCGGGACTGTCTTGTTGTTCCTGGGGATAATCGGGTCTTTGATTTATTTCATCGAAGATTTTCCCGAAGTCGGGAGACTCGAGCCTTTCACCGGTATCAAGGGAATCCCAATGTTCTCCAGCATTTTTCTCTTCGCCATTTACAATATGTCGATTGTTTTACCACTGGAGAACACGATGAAGAATCCCAAGAGGATGGGAAAGATTCTGGCGACCAGTATGATAATAAACATGTTTATTTATGCGATCTTCGGGTTTCTGGGGTACAACAAATACGAAAATTCTTGTGACACTGTCATCAAGAATTTACCTGTTGGGGAACGGTACGTTATCGGTTATTTTATTGGTCAAGGGGTGAACAGTGGAAGATAAGAAATTGAATTCTACACGGAGAAAAAATGTTGAGATAAAATTTATGAAAATCTCAGGCAATTGTGAACGAAATTCCGTTCTAGGTTTTTCTTTACTGTATGTTAAGGGGAAAGATACGAAAGAATACACGGAGAAAAAAGTTGGAGAAAAATTAGCGAACGAGCCAAGTAATCGTGGAACGAACTCGATTTTCCACTGAAATTTCCGGTAAGGGTCTTGGAAATTTCTAACACGTAACATTTCCACTGAAATTTCAAGGAATTTTGTCATTGAGAATTCATAATTTCATGGGAAAATCCGTGCGAACTGTAAATTTCAGTTTTATTTTTCGGGGAAAATGAATGAAAAGTCAGGAAAATTCAGAGGAATCGCTCCTTAAATTCCACACTCCTCTGAATTTTGAGGGAATTCCTTCAAAAATTCCTGGAATTCCAAGAATTTTAAAGAAATTCCCTAAAAATTCAAGGGAGTTTTGCAGTGAAAATTCATTTTCACTTAAAAATTCATATAAATTGTGACGTCTCAGTCTTCCAGCCACTAAAAATTGGGACTTGACCTGAATTTTTATCGAAACATAACAGTGATCGATTTTTTTCGGATACAGTAGCGCGGATTTTTAGTCGTAATGTTTTTACCTATCGAAACGTAAATTCTCCATCACATAATGTATTTTTTTATACAATTCAATTTCTGTCCACCATTGCGACTCGGACAGTAAATTTTTTTTTGATTTTTCAGATAATTTTTTCTTGCCTTTTCTCTCCGTGTATCCGAAATATCTCAGAAACGTGCGTTTCGAGAAAAAAATGGGATAACCGTATTTTGTGAAAAAATTTCAGAGCTACAAAAAAGGTCTTTTTGTGTTTTCTCGTAAACCTAATGAGTTCTGAGATATTTCAGAAATAATAGAGATGTAATTTTTGTAATTATCAGCATTTACTGCACCACTTTGTGGCAGATTTGAGTATCTAATCCAGTGCTGAGTACTCTGGCGATAATACGTCAGAGCAATCACTTGAAATTTGTTACGCGGGAATTTTTTATTCGATCCATTCACTGATTGCCGGGGCACCGGCGATAGAATCTGCGATTTTGTTCCCCGAAGGATCGAGTAGTGGAGTGTTGGAGTAGATAATTGCCAACCATTTCTATTATTTTGAAGTTATCTCTGGAAGGAGAAGGTTTATCGAATTCTATCAAAATGCTTTCTTTGAGTGTAATGAATGTCACGTTCTATAAACATGACATTCACTACGAAACTAATAACTTTACGTGAATTCATAATTGTATCGAAAATTTTCTCTATAATTCCCTCGGCATAAAGTTCTCATTTTTTTATTCCCTCGTTCGAAAAATTAGAGCAAAAAACGTAGAAAATTCAGGTCCAGGAATTTCCATAACAATTGTAGAAGAATGAAATGTATAGAAATATCAGACCTATTTATTTTTTTTACAAGAAATTAGTTACTGAATATTTTTATTTGTTCCCAGAAGGATCGAGTAGTGGAGTGGTTGGGGTAGATAATTGCCAACCATTCTGTTATTTCAAAGTTACCTCTGAAAGGAGAAGGCTTATTTAACTCTATCAAAAGAATTTTTTTGAATGTATTGAATAATCAAATCAATTCAGTAAAGAAATGAAATGCATTAACTAGGAAATTCTATAGAGAATTTTCTCTATAATTCCCTCGGCATAAAGTTCCCAATTTTTTACTGCATTTTTTTTATTCCCTCACTTGAAAAATTCGAGCCAAAAAAAACGTAGAAAATTCAAGTCGAGGAATTTCCATAATAACCATTTTAGAAGAAAGATCTGATCTATTTATTTTTCGCCACAAATTTGCTATTGAACTTTGTTATCTGTTCCTAGAAGGATCGAGTAGTGGAGTAGGGGAATTAGATAATTGCCGACCATTTCTATTATTTCAAAGTTACCTCTGAAAGGAGAAGGTTTATTGAACTTTATCCGATTAATTTCTTTGAATGTAATAAATGTCATGTTCTACAAACATGATATTCACTACAAAACTAATAATTTCACGTGCATACAAAAATTCAATAAAGAAATCGAATGCATTAGCTAACAAATTCATTTGAGAATTATTCCTACACTTCCCTCCGCATAATGTTCCCAATTTTTTTACTGCATTTTTTTATCCCTTCACTTGAAAAATTCGAGCCAAAAAAAGGAAAAAATTCTAGTCCCGGAATTTCCATAAAAACAATTTGAGGAGAATGAATTTCGTAGAAATATCAAACCTACTTATTTATTTGTTTTACATAAAATTTGCTATTGAACATTTTAATTTGTTCCCAGAAGGATCGAGTAGTGAAGTGGTTAGAGTAGATAATTACCAACCATTTCTATTATTTCAAAGTTACCTTTAAAAGGAGAAGGTTTATCGAACTTTATCAAAATACTTCTTTTGAGTGCAATGAATACAAACCGCAATACAAATGAATTAAAGAATTAGTTTAGTAGTGTCTTCTCAGTGTAAAATTCGATAATCCTTTGGAATTCTTCAGTTCGCATGAACTCCTCTGAAGTTCTCCTCTCCAAAGACATTTTGAAACGAGAATGAAACCAAACGTCTGACTTGTCTCGAGTCCCCCAATACCACTAAACCACAGACCTCCAATAATAAAAACACACCCAGTAATATCTCTTTCTTGTCTCTCGATCCTCACCTTTTAGCACAGCGCAAATCGTTAAAATCATGGTAACACTGTCAGTGGTATGTACATACGGCCTTCAATATTATGTGCCAGTTACCATTCTCTGGCCGATAATTGCGAGAAAAATCGGAAGAAATCATCAGACCCATGAGATCATTTTCCGTCTTCTCGGCGTTATTCTTTCATGTAATGTAACAATAACATAATCATAATCGGCATTGAAAACATCTGCACTAATTATGCAAATAGCCACCGTGATATTCTACATTTGCCACTCATAATAAAGTTTAATTTATGATTTCTAATTGCAGCCCTTCTGGCAGCAGCTGTACCACAAATGACGTCATTACTCGGTTTATTTACAGCAGTAAGTATGACAACCGTTATGCTTCTGATTCCTGCGGCAATCGAAACATCAACAATGTGGAATTACAACGATAATCGAAAGTCCTTCTGCTGTCTACTCATCAAAGACGTATTAATTTTTATCGTCTGGCTGCTAATGCTCGTGAGTTTATCATTTCCCACCTGCATTCATTTATTCTCCCAATGATGAATATTTTGTTTCATAATAATTTCGTATTATTCATCGCAATCAATGTGCGTCAGGCTATGTATTCATCATTCATTTCTGTTTATTTATTCGTCATTGAACGAGAGAAATTGCGGCCTTTGTCGCATTTTCATTTTTACATTTTTCTACGGTGACTTGGGGTTATTAATTGAGAGAGATAAGTGTATTCTGCATTCGATGATGAGCCGTTGGGCGATTAATGCTCTGATTCATGGGTTTCAGGTATTTGGAGTGGCGCAGAATCTGGAAGAAATTATTCAAAGCTATGGAGTTGATGAGGAGAATATTGCCTTTTGTTGAGATCCTTCAGTTGTTGTCATGAGATTGATTGTAGTTCTTATTGTTATTCGGTTTGGATTGGGGGAATGGGGAAGTTAAATAGAATATGATGCACTAAAAAAAGCTTTGTTTTGGGAGTTATGATCTCAATTGAAATTAGTGAAAGTCTCGAATGAGTTTTTTCAAGTTGAGAGAAGTGAATTGTTTTCAATGGCTTAAATCTGAGAAGGTTTGCGCTCACGGAACTCGGATAAATTCTCAGCTACCATTATCGTTCCGCGTTACATCGTGAATATATTACATATTGAAACATTAGAAGTGCATAAAAATCGTGAAAACAAGAAATCATGGAAGATTGACGATTCTTCTAAGTGATTTTTGTGCGTTCATTTGCGACAAAATTATACTTGAGTACAAGAATATTTTAAGGCATGACACATTTCTCGGGCCACGTCTGTTGCGATGCCTGGGAGAATTATGGGATTGGAGAAAAATTATTCGTCCCAAGTAAATTTGTTTCAGATATTAGAATTTTTTCTCAGCGCAGTCTTAACTTGAGGCTTTCTAAAGTCTCAACTTGAGAGTTTCAGAAGGCTTAAATTGAGATCGCGACTTAAGATGGTCAGGGTACAACTTAAGACTCTTGAAAATTTTAAACTCGAAACTCCACTTAAGGTGTTTCGGTTGAAAAGTCAAAATGATGAAAAAAAATTGGAAAATTCGTGGGAGAAATTTCTAAGTATGCTGCATCATTGAGAATTCTATCAATTTTCTTCAGATCTCAGTTTCAAGAAAAAAAAAGACATTTGGATGTTTTTGTAACCCCTCCAGCTATAATCTCTCTGAGGTTACCCCACTCTCAATTAGGAAAATTTCAATGGCATCCAAAAAAATAATGAACTATTGAGGAAAACCTAGTGGGTGATAAATCAAATCTGTCTTGAGAAGACGTATAAGGTTCAGATTTTTTTCAGATTTCATAAGAAAGTTATTTGAACAAATGATTCGGAAAATTATGAGTTTCGGGGCAATTACGCCCTCACCCACAGGCGCGTGATTCGAATGTCAGCGAGCATCGTGAAATGCTCTTCTACTTTTGTAGTCGAATATCAAACCTTTCATTTGAGCCCCATTTGACCCTAATTTTCCGGACATTTTGCAATGATTTTATTATTTAATTTTTGCAGGTCTGAATTTGAATTTCGATATTGAACCGTTAGAAAAGGTTTTAAAAATCTGAAAAAAATAGAAACTTTACTTTTGGAGAAAAATTGATGAAATAATTAAATAATTGTAATTTTTTACCATTACGAGCATTTTCTATTACAAATTTGTAAATAATAAATTTTCCACCGTAAAAATCATTTGTTCGGAATCGTAAGAAATTTATTCATGATCAGAATTTTGTCAGAAACCTATTTTATGCCTAAAACAATAAGGTTTTCGAAAGTTTAAACAATTTACACCATTTATTTATAATCACCGATTGTAAAAAAAATAATACTTGAGTATAGTAAATAATACTTGAGTAATAATTCTGGGCCAAATGGAATTTTAATGACGATGACATTCATGTTTTTTTCCAATTTTTCTCACGCAATCCAATTGACAAATTTCATGATTGAAAATGGTTCAATCTAAATTTATTCCTTGGAATTCATTGTCGATAATGGGAAACCTTGACTGTAATTGAAGAATAATTAATTATCAAGGTGTATTATCACCATCTTTACGATGACATTTGTGTTGACTTGATAATGACGTCGAACGTGACTAAACGATAGGTTGGAATTGAGTGGTTTCACAGAGAAAGATCTCTTGACCTCCCATCGTTAAAATAATTTCAATTTTCATCAGTTGATTTATTAGTATCAATTAATTGATGTAATTTATTGTCACTGAATTATTGATTATTACTATTAAACTGGGCCTGGCGGGGTAATTAATTGTGCTGATTCATTAACCTCATTATCATTATTTCTACATCGTCGTGGTAATGATGAAGGATATGACAACTTAATCAATCACGCGAAATCTCGGAGTTCATTGGTTTAGGGCGTAATATTTTCAACGTCGTTTTCTAGGAGAAATGTATCCAGATTAGAATTTTTTCCGAAATCTGTAGAGACTAACTTTTGGGTGGTATTGTCTTGGAATATACATTGTTAGAAAAAAAATGGAATTTCATGAATACGATTTAGGGGAAAAAATCATGAAATTTCAGGTTTCACTGAAAATTCAGTAAAATTTCAGAATTTTAAGCAGCATAAAGACGAGAATTCCTCAATTTATTTGAATTTCAAATCTCATATGAACATTCAGTATCAAATTACATTAACTTTTCAATGAAATCTGAAATTTCATGATTTATTTTCAGAGAAAAATAGAACTGAAATTTACAGTTCTCTTTGATTTTTCCCCGGAATTCTCAATTTTCAATGACGAAATTCCTTGAAATTTCCGTGTTAATGAAATTCGAAAAAAATTTCCAAAAACTGTACCGGAAATTTCAGACAAAAATTTTCAACAGTGCGCCTTAAATACCCGATTTCCCTGGCTACACCTAAAACATTGAAAATTTATAGTCGTTTCCCCCCGAATCGAATCCACCGCCACTTCTCCGAAAATTCCACCTAGACTATTCCTCAAATTCCACTGCTTTCCAAACAGCACAGAAGTTTCGTCGTGATATCACCATCTGTGAGAATGATTTCATCCATAATACAATCCAGACAAGATGAGTTCATCAGATCAATTGAATTCCGAGCGATCCCCCATTGATTCCCAATGAATTATCCTCCCGGTCCCCAACTCCACGTACTTTGACCCCATCCACCACCACAACTCCCTCATCAATGGTCCTCCCAATCCACCGATCTATCCACAATGATAAACTACAAAATCCCCAACACCGAGAGAGGGAGAAAAAAAAGTGAAAGGAAGAGATAGAGTGGGGCACACTCTACCTCCCCACACACCTCGCCCGTCTCCTTCTGCATCAAAGTGCAACAAGGAGAGTGGCATTGATATCTCCCAGCCCAAGACGAGACCCGCCGTCGCTGAACAAACCATTGAGCCACTGGTGGCGGGAAAAACGAGGACAAGAAAAAGTTATTGTATACTAATGAGAACGAGCAAGACAGAGTCAGGGAAAAAAAATAAAAAGCTACCAGGACTGTTTCTGTTTTGTTCTGTTCTGCTCTGTTCTGTTCTGTTGTGTCCCGTGGAGGTGGGGAACTTTGAGACACATGGATGAGGAGTGGCGGCTTTTAGTTTGACGAGAGAAAGGGAAATACGGAGTGCAAACTGTAAGGTAACCGGAGTTAATCGTGGTTAACGGCTTCGGGGGCACGGACACAAACTGTACGGAGGAAAATCACATGTGCCCCTTGTTTATATCACTCCACATTTGTTATTGTCGGTCTAGCGAGTGGAGGTTGATCCTTGGTATCGGAAAATACCGCTCCCCTCGCTCTACCGGGAAGAACACGAGTAAAAAATTACTTTTTTCCCACCACTCGAATTCACTTTTTCCTGTCATCTCTCATCCTCGGAGTTACTCATGACTTACGAACACTCACGTGCGTACTTATCGGTATATAAACTCCCGTGAGTCGCGGGGAGTCCACAAATCGTCTTCAATCCGTCGCGGTTATCACGAATAGCCCCGCCCCCTAAATTTGTTTATTTACCTCGATTGATTTTGAGAAAAAAATCAATCGCCCGTTCAACTCAGTGGAGATTTAATCAATGATTACGGAATTACGACGAAGTATCGATAAGTGAATGATAGTTATCTAATAAATGGGAGCAGTGCGAGACTGATTGATTTTTGTATCCTTTATCGATCAGTACAATTGCCGATGTGATAAGAATTGTTATTTATTTGGTGGACATTCACGTGGAGACTTCAATCGTCGATCTACTCACGGTTGCATTTGGCTAGTGGAGCCGACACTGGTTCGTCGTACTCGGTCTTTTGAGGTGTTTTTATTGTCATCGAGAGGAGATTTTCCATCCGTCGAGGACACCTGTGATTTATTGAACACGAGCCGACGACGTTTCAGTTCTACTGGAGTTACAGGTACGTACGATTTATTTATTGCTGGTCGATGCGGGATTGTTGGGAATGAGAACAGAGGATTTATCCTTTTTCTCAGGAATTTTCTCTTTTTTGTGTCGGTTATTCTTTGCGTTGTATGTTGTCGGGGGGATTGTGTCTTCGCTGACAGCTTAGGAGTAAATGTAATGTTCCGTAATGTCAAATTTTACGGAAGATTGCATGGAATTCCACATTTTTTAGAAGCAGGAAAATGGAAATTCTGGAGGTCATCGCATCGTTCCGACTAAATATTTGTGAACAACTTGTAGCCAATATACGGTCATCTAAATCGACAAAAAATTGCCATAAATTTTTTTTTTCAAAGCAATAATTGATTTTAGGTGGCAATTATTTTTTTATTGCGTTTGAATGATATATTGGATTGAAGGATTTGAATAGAAGTGGAATTCTCGACCGTAAATCACTGTCAGGAGGATTGAATTGTCACCGACAGTTTAAGAGTAATTTTCTGGAGAGTGCCATTAATTTCGATTTATGAGGAAAAATTATGAAATTTTCAATTGTAGGGAAAATTCTATGGAATTCCAAATATTTTAGAAGCAGGAAAATGGAAATCCTGAAAGTTATCGGATTCTTCCGACTAAATATTTGTGAACAACTTGTAGCCAACATACGGTCGTCTAAATTGACAAAAAATCGACATAAATTTTTTTTTCTAAGCAAAAATTGATTTTTTGTGTAAATTATGTTTTATTGCGTTTGAATGATGATATATTGAGTTGAAGAAGTTGAAGGGAAGTTGAATTTTCGATCGTAAATCACTGTCAGGAGGATTGGATCTTCACCGACAGTTTAAGAGTAATTTTCTGGAGAGTGGCATTAAATTCGATTTATGGGGAAAAGTTATGAAATTTTTAATTGTAGGGAAAATTCTGTGGAATTCCAAATTTTTTTGAAGCAGGAAAATGGAAATTCTTGAAGTTATCGAGCTGTTCCGCTAGAATATTTATGAACAACTCCTTGCAGCTGACATACGGACATCTAAATTGACAAAAAATCAACATAATTCAATGAAATTTCGATTATTTGAGCAGCAGAAAGGCGAGAATTCCCCAAAATACCTGGATTTCCCCGATCCCTATTCATTTTCATTGTATTAATAAAATTAAATCTGCAATTTCCATCGATTTTTCCTTAAAATGCGAATTTTAAATCCCAAAAATCTCTCAAATTACAGTGGAACTGTCATTCAATAGAAATTTCCGAAGAGTGTTCCGGGAATTCCAGTCGAAAATGTTTCAAAATTCAGTGAAGAAAATAGTATTAGAAATATTTTTCAAGAGTTCATCCTTGAAATTGCCTCGCTTTAGTTCCAAGCGATTTCCATTAATTTATGATAAAGGAGAGATTAAAATGGAAATTAAACTCGTTCGGTTAATCAGCTGATTAGACTGCATTTCCGGTCTCTTTCCGTTATTTCTGTTTATTATTTTTGTTTATATTTGGGAAGTCGAGTTACGCAATGTTTACTGTTTATCTTTCACCCACGTGGCGTAAAATCCGAGTGGTGGTTGGTAGTGGAGAGAGAAAAAATCGCAGGAATTAATGAAAGTGAATAGGTTTATCCACCTGTGACACATATTTGAGTGGAAAATTTATCATCGCAATAATTTCATAATCTCAAAATATATGATAAGACAAATACTGTAATTATTGCGTCGTATCGGGCGATATTTTTCTGTCAACCTCGTTCATCGGGGGTAATTTATGCACATATGAGGCGCGAGTGGAGGTACAGGATCATTGGAAATCTATTATCGCGTGACAATTATTCGCGAGAGGCAATGAATCGATGTAAACGCAATGTTTCAACTGCAACGTCGCGGAAATTATGTAATTACGGGGTATTGCTTCCGTTCTATTTGATTTTTTCAAACCACTATTTTGATTTGCTTATGAGGAGGAATAGTTTGGAGAACGGTCCGACAATTATGGAGATTTGTGATTGATTTTTGTGGGCATGACATGCGCGAGTGTGTGGGTGGGTTGAGAAATTGTTATTTCGTGACAGTATTGCACGACGAAAAACATCTTCGACATTAAAAACATGTTGAGCGGACTGATTTGTCTGTTATTGTCAGTAACTCGAAATCATTAGGTATACTGTCAGGAAAACATTTGAATTTCATTGATAATCTGGCAGTCATTTCCGTGAGAGTGACTATAATTTCTATTTGAGGATGTAAAAGTAGCTTTTATAGTTTGGCACAGACCACACTATAGACCAATCGTTTTCAATCATCAAACACGGAAAAAAATATACTTGAATTGAGTCTAAAATGTACTTGAATCAAAAAATCAAAAAATCCTAATCGTATCATTTCAGGTTTCAAAATGAGACCGGAAGATATTTTAAGTAGGTCCATCCTAATCAACCTTCCCCTTTCTCCTTCCACGTGGACACACGTCATGAAGTTGATTGATTCTTCATGATCTGTTCTCATTTCCTGAGCGCTTACAGCTGAAGTTGTTCTTTATAAAAAAAAAGCTTGTAGACTCGCTGAATTGAATCACATCCAAGCTATGACATGGTTGAAGTTGGCAATAAGTAGAATAAGTTGGATACTTCCTTAACTGAGAATAAGCGACGTTTGCAAAAAACAAAAAATAAAAATAGTTTCATGGAATAATTGAACGAAAATTCACAGTTTCCATTCATTGGTCCATAGAATTTAGAATTTCTAATGACGAAATTCCTTGAATTTAAGTTTCCATTGATTTTTTTTCTCAAATTGTGAATTTTCAATTACGAAATCCCTCAGAAGTTCAGTACAACCGCCACTTCTCACTCTAATTTTTAATGACCAAATTCCTTGAATTTTCAGTGGAACTATGAGATAAAAATTTCCAAAAAATGTACCGATTACGGAATCGACTCAGAAAATTTAAGTGATCGTATCGTGATTTTTCACAGGAAATTCAGCTAAAAATTACGGAATGCTCCGGAAAAATTCCGTGACAGTTCTGTAAAATTTCCTACAACCACATTTCGCTCCGGAATTGCGGAAAAGATACGTAATTTTTATTGAATATTTCTCCCCGTGCGGTGGATTGTGATTTTTTTCTAGTACTCGTACTAGAATTTTTCTAGAAAATTTCTCTCCGTGCAGGCAGAAATATTTAACAGTGCATATTCAATCATTCTGGTTGATTCATTCTCTGCCAGAACTTGCAATATTTCACTACCGTTCTGATAATCATCCCAAACAGGTATCTCCGTCGTTGTATTCCGCATCGTGGATTTTTCAGTTATCAAGTTAATGCGTCTTCACGAGACCCACCGATAATCTCAGATTCCAATCTCGATGATCTCAAAATAGTATACCTATGTACATGATGCGCAAACTTGACGCGCAAATATTTGACGATCTCACCGATTTATTCTTGAGTTGTCATAGACGAGGTGCCTCCCCGAGAAAGTACAAACGGAACTCATCCGTGCAGGCGCTAACTCGAATAATATTTGAACTAGATTACAGCACGTGAATCATATCACTTTTTTTACGTAATTTTTAAGTTTTTTCAATGAAGGATTGTTTTACTGATTCCTTTTGTTTTTAATTCCGGGGAATATATTCAGCGTAATCATAAGTTTTAAATAAAATTAAATTTTGAATTAATTAATTAGTCAATTGGTTAATATTACTTAACAATTTTAAACCTATTAAATTAATGATTAACTGAATATTCAAAATGCGATTTTTTTTTTCAATTAATAATTGAGTTCGGAAGATTAATCATTTGGCTAGTCGAAAATCATTTTTATGAAATTTAGAATTATTTACTCAATAGTCAATTGGCAATTCCATCTTGTCAATAATTTTATTATTTTCCAATTAAGTATTATGAGGTTTTAAATTTATTAAATATTATACAGTTAATCAATTATAATATTTACATTTGGTATACAGTGCACAGACGTCGATTTTTGAAAAAGTAAATAAATACAGATTTATGAACTTTCATAGAAAAACCTAACGAACGCGTTGGAAAATTCTATTCGATTCCCGTTTTTTACTGAAAATTCGGAGGCTTTCGCCGATTCTATTAAAAAAATTCTGCATTTCCCCTGCATTTTTTTTCAATTGAAATGTTAAATGTAAAATATCTTAGAGAGATAATTCAAAGAATTATTTGATTTTTCTGCACAAGTCATTCCTTTGCCATATTTTTTATAAAAAATGTTCGGCCAGAATTTTCCAAGCTTTTTTTTTAATTTTTCATTAAGGGGGAAAATTTCCTGTGAATTTTTCTATAGGAGAATCTCTCATAGAAAATGTCTATACAGAAAAGATTATATAGGAAGAGCGAATTCCCCTGAAAAACGCGCAATAAAGCTGCAGAATTTTTCAATAGAATCGAAAAGAAAACAGTTGGAATTTCAACAGGAATGCAATAGAATTGTCTAGTAAATTTTCTTTGCGGCCGAAAGGTCGACAAACTACATTGACTTAATTTTTTTGACAATTTGATATTATTCCCATGACCGAAAAAACAAATTAACTCTTTCTAATTTGTATCTCACGATCGAATACCCAACATTTACAAATCACATCGCTCAATATTCACAATAAACACAAAATACACACTTGAACTAGATGTTCCAATTCCGAAACGATTTACAAATGAGATTTGATGACTCTCACATGACATACCAAATGAGTAGATTCAAATGTGTGTTTAATGTCGCCATTGATAAGGCCAACTCAGCGGGTACTTTGAATAGCGAAGCTTGTCATAACACAGAATCGATATCTATCACTCAATTAAATTAAAGTCAAGGAAATTGTGTTTATCGAACACTTTTTGGTGATCGGTTGATCTGTAATCACTGGATCTTCGGATATCGACAAAATTGAATATTCGCTGGGTGGAAGTAAACGGTGAGTTTGAGTATATATACTGATAACATTTTTCGACTGAAATTTCCGGTATACTGTACTATATTCCGGGGAATATATTTTTGAATTTTCAATTAATTGAAAATTCGAATACGTTCAAGAATTATCGTCTTAGGGATATCCAAGTATTTTTGACAGTTTGCTCCAGACAACACTATAGATTCAATGATTTTCAATCATCAAAAATTTTTCAGTTGAAAAAAATTATGAATATTCAGTGTTATTCAAACAACATTTTGAACCGAATTATAATTTTTTTTAAACATTCGTTGTTTATAAATGAATGATTGAAGTGGGTTAAATTTTCGGAAACCTTATTTTTTAGGCATGAAACGTTTAAGAGAACTTTCGATTCAACAATAGAAATTTTTTCAAAAAAATTGCACTTACCCTAGTTTACCACTTCGCTATAGAAATTATTTATAGAAAATGGTGGTAATTTTAAAAAATTGCAATTTTTCAATTACTTCATCAATCTTCCTCCAAAAGTGAACTTTTTAATTTTTCCTCAGAATTTTAACCTGTTTTCTAATGGTTCAATATCGAGATTCAAATTCAGGCTTGTAAAGTCGGAATAGTAAAATCATTATAAAATATCCGGAAACTTGGGGTGAAATGGGGCTCACATGAAAGCTCTCGTGTTCAAATACAAAAGTAGAAAAGCATTTCACTGGAGAAAAACTACACGGAGAGAAATATTCAATAAAAATGACGTATATTTTCCGTAATTCCGGAGCGAAATGTGGTTATAGGAAATTTTACGGAACTGTCACGGAATTTTTCCGGAGCGTTCCGTAATTTTTATCTGAATCTCCGGTGAAAAATTCCGATGCCGTCACTTAAATTTTCTGAGTCGATTCCGTAATCGGTGAGTGAATTTCCAGTTCCGTAATTTTTACTGAACATTTCTCACCGTGTAGCCAAAGTACTTCGATATCCTCAATGCTACTCAAAATTTTGGCATTTCATTGAATTTTCAGTGAAATCTGAAATCTCATAATTTTTTCCCGTAAATCGCATGCAATGTCACTCTCCTGAAAATTGCCAGTCGACCATTCATGAAATTTCCATTTTTTTCTAACTGTAGTGTATACTTATCGTGTACAGGTGATACGACTTGACGTAACAATGTCACTTATTTTTCTTCGTTGCCTATTATTAGAGTTGTTAGGGCTGAAGTTGAAGTGTTGTGCTGTTAAAACCTTGCGGTTTTAATCTAAGGGGTTCATATAAGATGTCTTCGACAAGTCTTAGACGAACTTACGGAGTTAAAAAGTCATTAGGAACGCCCGCCCGAATCAAATAGTATCAATATTATTCTGAAAAATCCTGACATCAACTTAGAAAACAGCATTTTCTTATGTTATGCACCGATAGGGAATCATTTTTCATATTCAAAGTGGACATTTTTGATATATTCAACAACAACTGTCATGTGGAATTTTCGGAGAATCCACTACCGAAGGATCGGGCGGGGTGAATGGTTCAGATTTCGAAGGTATCGAGTGATACGACTAATTGACATATTTATTTGTTAATAACCGGGGGAGGGGGGGGAGGTGATGAAGAAATATGATTTGCATGCTACTTATCATTGTCAGACAGAAGCAATTTTTTTCTTCGTGTTTTCAGTCACTTCTGACGTAATGAAACACGTTTATTTTTTTTCCTGTAAAATTGATCACAAATGCCAGCGTAAAATATCTTCATTTCATCTAACTTCATATTTATTCATTCTTTCTCAGTGCATAAACTTGCTGATTGTGTCAAGCTTTCAGTATTTCAAGCATTTTACTGTGTTTAACCACGAGGATATAAATTTTTATTGAAAATTAGTAGAGCATTACTGAAAAATCTGTTGTGAATTGGTAAATTAGGATAAGTACATTAATAAAAAATTGTTTTCTCAAATCGCTTCCACAAATTATTGGGAAGCTATTTAACCAAACAAATGCATTACTACATTTATTATAGAAATGTAGTAATTTCAGCGAAAATTTCAATTTTTTTCTGGACTATTATAATTTTTACACGTCCCAAATTTTCATGATGTAACAGTTCCATTAAAATTTCAATAAATTTTTTCATTGAAAATTCAGTTTGATGAAAAAATCAATGGAAACTGTGAATTTCAGTTGAATTATTCCATGAAAAATCATAAATCAGAATAATTCAGGTTAATGTATTCTTGATTTTTCAACCGATCGATAAATCAATGATCTTGAGTTACGTATTTCTTGTCTTGTCTTGTAATTTTAGGGTTTTTCTCTTATCTCGTCTTGTTCCAGTTGGCAAGAGAAAATTCGTCTCTCGTCTTGCTGGATATGAGCAAGAGAAAAAAAATTCTCGTCTTGTCTTGCGTTCTCTTGCGCACCTAGACGATTTTATTTTTCAATTCCGTGAGATTAATAAATTTAGTTTTCCTCGTTTGGCTCGTATGGCTCGTGATTAGTTGAGAATTTGTGCATCCAGCGTTCCTTCAGAACGGTTGTTTTCAAAAGCTGGTCTCATCATCAGAAAACACCGGAGTCGATTGAGTAACAAAAATCTTGAGTGCTTGCTGTGTGAGAATTCATGGTTCTCATCTCCACTAGCTCCAATAATGAAAGATGCGCTATTCAAGAAGAAAGATTAATATAATCGAGGAATACATAATCCTCCATAATATCCAGGGATAGATAAAGTGTTATTCAACAAAATGTCCTTATATTATTGATGACTTAAGGGTTTTTGACGAATTTTTTAATTAATTATTTTTCTCTTGTTCCATATCTCTTATTTCTCTTGCGCTCTTGCGACATCACTAATAATTTGGTACTGAATATGCATCTTTTGTATAGTAAATTCGAGCAAGTTCAGGGTCTTTCGTCTTCCTGCTACTCAGAAATTTTTAAATCAATCAATTTTTAGGATTTTTTTACAACTCAGGGATAAATTATAACACAAATTGATCTCCATTTATGAAGAAACTTGTCAACATTCGGACCAAGGGCTCTCGAAGTACTAGTTTCCGGTCAATTCAATCACGTCTGTCCTCCAAACTCTTTCAACTCGACCTCGCCAATACAAATACTCGTCACGGATGGTTTAATCGAGTTAGATCGCAGTTCCGCGTTCGATTTGGTGCCAATGACGAAGAGTTTCACTGACGCCTTCGAGGAAAGATTCTCGACCTTATGTTGTCCTCAACTACGATTGATGAATAGTCTCTCGAATTCAATACTTGTCTTTCGTTCTGGTATTTTTCCGGGAGCATTTATCGGCATTCATGCATGTTACTGCTTATCACGTTACTTTGAAATTATGAACAGCAATTCCCTGGTCGATGCCTGTCGCTTTCGACTCTAGGCACTTTTTGAAATTTTCAACTTTAATTACCGGAAAAACTTTTGATAATTTTTACCATTTATGTGTATGAAAAAATCAATGGAAATTGCACATTTCAGTTCTATTATTCCATAAAAATTAATAGAAATCAAAATTATTCAGGTAAATATATGCTTGAATTCTCTATTGATTGAACATTCCGTGCGATTTGGTACCGAAATTTCATGTTTTGATTGAGAATGTAAATAAGTCGAAGAATTCTTGTTCCCTTGCTGCTCAAAACTTTTTAATTCCATTCAATTCTCAGTGACACATCAAATTTCAACATGTTTAGCCCCTGAATCTATTTCAATATTGTTCTTTAATAGTGTACATGTTTACCATCCACGTCAAGGTGATGTTCACTAAATTTTTTACTCCGTGTGTTATGAAAAAATGGGATTCCCCGAATAGCTTAGTCATGATTCTCATTAGAGTGGCATTGAATTCGATTTAGGGGGAATAAGGCCCATTAAATTCGAAGTTTCAAGTAGAATTCGAAGAAGTTCGAAGACACTGTTGAAGACGTTCGGTTAAAATTCTTGCAAATTTTGATTAAGTTACAGTTGAAAATTCACAATTTGATGAAAAAATCAATGAAAAAAAAATCAATGAGGAGAATTGATGTAAATATATTTTTGAATATTCAATTAATTGAACATTCAGCATAATTTGGTACAGAATATTCATGTTTCTATTGAGAACTCAATTAAGTTCAGGAGTTCTCGTCTCCTTGTTGCTCAACAATATTGAATTCTAGTGAACCTCCAGTAAAATTATAAATTTCATCATTCCACCACCCTTCAAATCTATTGCATGGAGAAAATTATTTGGTGAAATTCAACAACTAGTTGTTAAAATTCAATAACCGGTGGGTAATTCACTTTTATAAATTAAAAATTCACCAAATAATTTGTTCCGTGATGCAATTCCTACTAAACTAATTATGATTTTTTTTCTCGAAAAGTGGGGGAATAATCGTCAGTTTTGCTCATTATTTATCAAAACTGGCTACGTATCAGATTGGTCACTGAAGAATTTTAATCTAATTTAATCTACTAATCTGTTAAAAAATTTTATCCGTTGGTTTTTTCCAGAAATTGGAAATTTAAAATGTGGAAAAAAACTACAGAGAAGGAAAATCCCGGGAATCAGATGAAGGAGTTCAGCAGCACGTAAGTAATTTTTTCGAGATAATCGTTACAATAATAGTGTTTTAAGTACCTCGAACAATGTAAACATTAAGTTGCACTTGGAAAAATAGTATCGCGATGATTATTCCCCGATTGTCCCTGAATCTGTTGATTCGATAAATAAAAATCGTCAAATTTTTTTTTACGTTGAAATCGAATTCCTTTGTCGATACCATCGTGTGACGTTTCGTCATTGACATAGTCTCGGGAAGATAAAAATTTAATCATCGATTCGTTCTCGAAATGATGGGATCAGACAAGTTGTGATTGATCCATATAAAATTGCGAGGGTAACGAATTACTTATTCAAGCATTCGTATTCTCTCAATAATGAAATCTCCGATTGGGGGGAATTCCAAGGAACGTGAATCTATATAATTAATTGATTATCTTGTCATTCTAGAACAAAGATTGCACCGGGACAAATTGGGGAATACCACGAGAAGGATGAACTTTATGACCCCTTTGAGAATCGCGATAAGAAGGATGCGAATTCGTAAGTATAATATATAATCTTCAGTGATATATCAACGCACGGAAAAAATATAAAATTATTTTTTACTGTGGGAACATAGTAATCGAGGATCATACACTGTTAGAAATTTTTTGAAATTTCATGGAAGGTATTACAGTAAATCTCATGAGAGTGACATTGAACCAAATTTAGGGAAAAAATGGCTATGAAATTTCAAGTTTTAAGTAGAATTCCCGGAAATTCATGAGTTTTCAGTGGGAGTGAGATGGAGATTTCACAACTTGATTGAATTTTCAGTGGAACATGAATATTCAAAAAGAAAAAGATTTTCATTTTTACCCGAAAATTTCCTCACTAACTGTCTCTTCACATTGTCCTTGCAAATAATTTACGTTTCGATTCCCCCGTTCCGTTTTCATCTGACCCAATTAGACATAAACAAAGGGCGGCCAAAGAAAGTATTATCAATGTCACTTTCACACTTCCCAACGATAATCTTCATTCATAATTTTGTATTCAAACAGTGACTTGGGCTCGCTAGCGCACATGATAAAATCGTCCCTGGGTACGGGCATACTTGCTATGCCAAATGCTGTGAGAAATGGTGGTCTTCTTTTTGGTGGAATTGGTACTATCATCATCGGTATCGTTTGCGCCCACTGTGTTCACATACTCGTGAAATCGTCCCATGTTTTATGCAGGCGAACTAAGACACCGAAGATGACGTATGCCGAGACAGCGCAGGCGGCTTTTGCCTCGGGGCCCAAACGTCTCAGGGGTTTTGCGCCTTCTATGAAAGTACTTGTCGATGCGGCACTTTGTGCCACTTACATCGGAGGCTCTTGTGTCTATGTGGTTTTTATAGCAACGTCCGTTAAACAGGTAATTCATTCAATTGTTTGTATATGATTCAATGGTTCATCTAATTGTTTTCATTACGCCATTTTCCACAATCTTAGATGTGATCACATATGAACAAATCGTATAGAAAATTTCTATAGGATTTTCGTATATGATATTCGGATATTTCTATACGGATATGTTTTGTACAAACAAGATTAGTCCGCGCGCTGCGCGCGTATTTCCTACGCCATGGGGCTTAATGTACGTCAATTGTAGTGAATAATCTTATATTAGATTTCTGAACTTAATATCAAAGTTTCCGAAGGAAAAGTTTCAGGAATGTATTCTATTTTTTTATGTATAATACATCCAGTGTGACTTTTTGAAGCCAATCTATTCGGCGTATGGTGTCATTAGATTTTTTATCAAGGATGGCAGCAAATATTAAAGATATTATGATAATACTATACTGTATTATATGTGGACGTCCGCATGAAAAGGGACCACTTTGGCACTATTGGAGTTATGTATATTCCTATAATCTTGATCTGATTCTGATCATTTCGAGCCCAGAATGAACTTGATAGCGTAAAGAGTGACGACGCTAAAGAAGATCGAAAAAATAATTTAACATGGGTTTAAATGGGAGTTGGCAAGAGAAAAACGTGAATATCTCGGAAACTAGTATCGACAAAGTGGTCCCTTTTCATGCAGACGTCCACGTATAATATACAATGTATAATAGAGTACTATATGTATCATAAAATATAATGTGCATAATAAAAAAAATGAAGTAATAAACTGATAATAATAATATGTATAATGTATTATAATATAGTATAGTATAGAATATAATATAATAAAGTATTATCATAATATCTTTAATGTATACTATCATTATTTATGAAAAATATAATGACACAATACGCCGAATAGATTGGCTTCAAAAAACGTTACACTGGATTTTTTATTAAAGGATTATTTCCATACGATTTCTATAGGTTTGATCCTATACGAGCCACTGCCACATGTATAGAAATAATTCGTATAGAAGATATTCATGTAGAAATATCCGAATATCATATCATATACGGAAATTCTATAAAATTTCTATACGTAATGAACATCACATTCAAGTGAAAATCTTCTTGAAGTTCAAACGAACTACAAATTTATCTCAATTTTGTATTGAATATTCATGTTCATCTGGAAATTCAAGTAAGTTGTGACATTTCCGTTCGATTTCTCCTTAAAACTTTTCAATTCACATGAATTTCCAATTGAACCTTGAAATTTTACGATAATTATGCCGGGAAATCGAATACAATTTTTCTCTCAAATCGAATTCAATGTCACTCGCCTGAAAGTTGTTTCCAGGCTGTGCATGACATTTTTTTCCTAATAACGTGTTGCTGTCTTTTCTTGATTTTCTGTCTATTTCACGGCCAATTTATTTCTAAAATTTTCAGGTGGTTGACTTCCACGCAGGTATGGACATAAACATAAGGCTCTACATAATAGCGCTGACCCCGGCAGTAATTCTCCTCGTGCAGATTAGAAATTTGAAGTACTTGGTGCCCTTCTCAATCCTCGCGAATCTCTTCATAATGGCAGGCCTCGCAATGAGCCTTTACTACGTCTTCAGTGACCTCCAACCCATCAGCAGTGTCAAATACTTCTCCTCGGTTGAGCAGTTGCCCAAGTTCTTTGCCACCGTGATCTTCGCCATTGAAGGAATCGGTGTTGTAAGTCTCAATGATAATTACGCAATTCCATGTTGCAACTGCATTTTAATCAGAATAGTTATAAATATGCATGGATATAACTGTCGTGTTTATTTATTTACGCAGGTAATGCCCGTGGAGAATAGTATGCAGAAACCACAACATTTCCTGGGATGCCCAAGTGTTTTGAATATCACTATGAGCATTGTTATATTCCTTTATGCTACTATGGGCATCTTCGGGTACTTGAGATATGGAGAGGCGACTGAGTCAATAATCACACTCAATTTGGATATTAAAGAAGTGTGAGTACAATTTGAATACTTGTACAAATAGAGATACAAATATTGGGATGGCGGGTGCCTGTACCGCCCAGCGGGTAATACCGCCCACCCGTATTTCTCAAGATTGGCTAGGAAAAACATTTTTTCCTTGCTTTATTATGCAAATATTTGATAACAAGTAATTTCAGCAGAAATTTTCAATTTTCTACCATCGACACATCGTTAAAAAAAATCCAAATCATTTCCTACCGAATTCTTCCAATAGTTCGACCACAGAATTTAAAGTGTTTCGTGTGTAGATCACCGGGGGGTGAAACGGAAGGGGAGGCTTATTGTTCTCGAGCCCTGATTCAATCGCTGAGCACGAAATTTTTCAATTTTCAAGTAACTTTTTAAGTGTGCATTTGAACATTTTTTGAATATTGATTTTATTTATCAGATTGATTGATTTTTTTCTCACCAACTACGGGTGTCAAATAATTTTTATTGAATGTTATTCTAATTATTGAAATAATATTGAAATGCGTCTCTAGTTGGTAAACCTGTCGAGTGTTTTCTCTCTCTCAGTTCCATGGTCCAACCCATACCTTTCCCATGATGCTCACTGCGATTCGAATCAGGCGCCTGCGCGTAAGGGTGTAATTGCCCCGAAACTCATAATTTTCCGAATCATTTGTTCAAATAACTTTCTTATGAAATCTGAAAAAAATTTGAAACTTATACGTGTTCTCAAGAAAGATTTGATTTATCACCCACTAGTTTTTCCTCAATAGTTGACTATTTTTTTGGGTGCCACGGAAATTTTCCTAATTGAGAGTGGGGTAATATAGTATTTTTGTCATCCTCAGCTGTCTTTGCACTCGAGATGCATTAAAAATGATTGAAATGAATTAATTGAATCTCCTCGAAATTTCAGAATGGCTCAAGTAGTAAAGATCCTCATCGCGCTGGCGATTCTCTTCACTTACGCTCTCCAATACTTCGTGCCACTCGAGATCATGTGTGCGTCAGTGAGGCCAAGGTTCAGCCACAGATTCGCCACCGTCGGAGAATCCTGCTTCCGAACTTTCATGGGTTTAGTCACAAGTAATTATTCCCCTTTTATCACCAATTATGACATCATTTTGGAAGTATCTTTCCCGCAAAGGTTTCGAGACAAATGTTAAAAGCTTTTTTTTTGTAATGTCCAACATTTGCTGTAAAATTTTTTTAACGAATTCCTTCCAACCGGTAGACAGAAAAAATCACCGAAAACGACCGGTTATTTTATCGCCTAGCACACACAACTTCAACTTTTTTCGGATTTTTCCGCTCAGTCAGTCAGTCAGTGGCAAAAAAACGACTCGCGGCAACGTTTTCTTGCTATCGTGATCTATCTGGGGTTAAGGCGAGACACTACTGAGTTTAAAAAATTCTGCAATTAACAAGAGGTCTTAGTGAGGCTTTCCCCATATGTGTAGTCACTTGAGAAAATATCTATTGACCCATATAAAACCATCAAAGATGACCGGAATTTTTTAAAACCTCAGAAACCGGTTTTCACTTTGCAATATCCCAAGTGATTATCGGTCGTCGGTTCGAGACCAATTTTTTACACAATATTTAGAACGCTGGAATAAACTCAATTGACGATGACAATTTGAATTGAATGATTTGTAGATTGTACATCACTCACAAATCTGCAAAATCACACAATGGGAAGATGATGACAACCTTCTGATGCGTAATTTAACAATTCTCCGATCCAAATTTACATGTCCAATTCTGTTTTTAATGTTTTGCACATAGAGTAAAATCATCGGTAGTCACATTGAGTTGAGTCTCTTTAAACTAGCGCCACCCCGGCCGCAAGCGATTGTTTATAATCTTTCTCATTATAAAAAGAAATACGATCGATGAGAATTTACATTCCCTTATCCTTAACGTCAAAAATGTGAGATAATCTCATAATTTTAGCTATTAATTCTAATCAACTTTGTTCAAAGAAAACCTTAGGAAACGCAGTATTCGGAAAGTGGAATTACTCAATTTTCCTCGGAGCTCAATGATTTGGACAACTATGATTCGTTTATTCATGTTTCATAGAATGATATTCAGTTCTTTTTTGTTCGTTGGGCGCGCTTCATGAAAATTCGACGCAAGACTATTGTATTCATGAAAACCACTTTCCTTTCTCTCATTTCTTGTCATTTTCGATTCGAAATATTACCAGGGTTGCCAAACTTTGGCCATATATAGCCAACCCCTGTACAATTTTAAATGAGGTGGCGTCACGATCTGGTAACACCGAATATTGCCCATGTTTTTCTTTACAAAGGAGTCACGCCACATTTCATGATCCTATATCGCTCAATCGCTATCTTCTCAAGTGACTAGACATGTGGGAAACCCCTTACAGAAGCCACTTTTCAATTACAGAAACGTAAAAACCCAGAAATGCATCGCCCCAAAAAATCTGAAAATTTATTGTATCACAAGACACCTAATGAACTAATTATGTTCCCCTTCCGCAGTTGCTGTGGCCCTAGCAGTCCCCAACCTAGAGCCCTTCATCTCCCTAGTCGGTGCAATATTCTTCTCCTTCCTGGGGATATCCATCCCCGCAGTAGTCGAAACGATCTCCTGCTGGGAGAACCACCTGGGCACCTTCTACTGGAGGTTAATCAAGAACATTTTCCTCCTCGCATTCTCCATCTTCGCTCTCTTCACCGGTACCTGGGTGTCCCTCGTCGACATAATCAAAAGTTACTCTGGTAACTCAACAGCACACGCGTAAAGCCTATTCGCATCACTCGAGTGACGCGGAAACCAGTGAATTGCCACCAGTGTCAACCCCGAGAACACTTTCAGCTTGAGCCATTCAAAGTCTCGGGCGCAATTGCAACTGGTCGACAACTGGTCGATCTGGTTCCCTGGGGGATAATCTCACTGGAATGCCACACCACGTGGATAACGTGGGTAAGTGATCTGGTAATACATTTGGTTGTCAATGAGGCAGGCTTTCATGATCAGCCAGATTCCCATGAAAAGGGGTGGCCAACTGAGAAACGAACAGATATTGAGAAGACGATGAGAGTTTATCACGCTTTTCATTTGTTCTATTGTTGAAACACTCGCCTGGAAACAATGGAAATTCATTCAGAATGTTATGATGAAAGAAGACAAGGAAGGAATCTTGATGCTGATGATTTGTTCATTTATTCATGATTGACGTGAGGATGAACGTTGCGTCGATCTTCGCAGTTTTATCAGAAAATATATTATGTTAATTCAATGCAAGGAAAAACCACAGTGATTCTAATCTTAGGTATGATTGAGGAATGCGAGATGAGCTAGTTTGCACTGAGACGTGGGAAATCGGGGAATTTCCACTTGGATTTTGTTTTGGATCTGATAAGAGTGATGGACTCACCTCTTCGGCCCAGAGAATCGGGAAATAACCGTCGGTTACGTTGGTGAGCCATGGGACAGTTGGTATGCTGGACATCTTCATGTTGAGCTGGATTTTCTTGGAGCCTGACAAGGGGACTCCTGTGAAGGGCTCAATCACTACGAAGGTTGCGTGCTTTTCATGGATGGGATGGAGGCCTTGAGCGTAGTCCAGAAGTTCCGATGATGCGTGGAGGAAGTGGGGCTCGGAGAAGATTATCGGGACTTCCTGGAGAGGTCAACGGGAAACTCTTGATGATGTTGATAATGATTCTTTGGGAGTAGACATCGAAAGTAATTTGATTCTCGATCAAAAGGATTATATGTTGTAAATCCAGACAAGTTCCTCAACTTCTGAACCCTCACGGAGAAAAAATTTGAGAAAAATTACGTGAGAGATTGTAAAAGAGATGCGAAATGCTCTTTCGGGAATTTTCACGTAAAAACTCGGAAAAAAATAAGCAAAAAATACATTTTCACTCGTGAGTTCTCGAAATTTTATGGATCGAAACGTAATTTTTACGGGTTGATATGTAATTATTATATGACACTGCATAAAAACTCGTGGAGAACAGTGATTTCTGCGAATCTGCAGCGATACATCGCAATTACGCTCAACAACGTAATTTTTACGTTATTTCCATGGTACTTTGTCCACAACATTCTTCTCCGTGGTGAGGCTACTAATTTTTAGAAGTAGGAGTTGGAGTGATTAACAGTGACAGAAGTATGTGTCGGTCTCAGTCGCTGAGAAGTTGGAGAGTAGAGAAGGTAAAGAGAAGTGATGGTATAGGGGGAGCCGGGGGATAATGGAGATAGCTAGATTTTAAAAAAAAGGTGATTGACCAGTGGGTGTGTCATTAAGGTGTTTCAGTTGAAAAGTCAAAGTAATGAACAAAAATTGTAAAATTCGTGGGAGAAATTTCTAAGTATGCGGCATCATTGAGAATTCTTGCTGTTTTTTCAGATCTCAGTTTCAAGAAAAAAATCATGAAATTTGGATGTTTTTGTAACCCGTCCAGCTACAACCTCCGAGGTTACTCCACTCTCAATTAGAGAATTTTCCATGGCAGACAACAAAAATAATGAACTATTGAGGAAAAACTAGTGGGTGATCAATCAAATCTTTCTTGAGAACACGTATAAGTTTCAGATGTTTTTCAGATTTCATAAGAAAGTTATTTGAACAAATGATTTGGAAAATTATGAGTTTCCGGGCAATTACGCCCTCATGCGCAGGCGCATGATTTGAATATCAGTGAGAATCATGGGAAAGTTATGGGTTGGACCATGGAACTGAGAGAGAGAGAGAAAACGCTCGATAGGTTTACCAACTCGAGGCGTATTTTAATATTATTTCAATAATTAGAATAACATCCAATAAAAATTATTTGACACCCGTAGGTAATGAGAAAAAAATCAATCAGTCTGATAAATAAAATCAATACTCAACAAATGCTCAAATGCACACTTAAATAGTGACTTGAAAATTGGAAAATTTCGTGCTCAGTGATTGATTCAAGGCTCGGGAACAATAAGACTACCCCTTCCGTTTCACTCCCCGGTGATCTACAGACGAAACACCTTAATAGAACTTTGATGGAAATACTTTATGGCGAGATGAAAATTACTTTTTGTGATACCTGCCTGAAAAGTGCACTTTTCGAAACGATTTAATGTGCTTAAAGCGATTGTTTTCCGCACGGCGTACGTCAAGTTCACGAGCATGCGTAAAGTACATTCTCGTGCGTAAGCTGCGCTTTACGCACTCGAAATTCACGTTTTGTCACTCAGTTCGTGAAGCCTCGTTTCACGCACGCTACGCATGCCAAAACGTCGGTCACGAACGTCTTGACGACAAATATACCATAGATCAGCATCAATCATTGGTTTTTTGTAATATTTTCGTTGGAATTTTAAAATGATAAAATAATTGATAATTTCAATTTTCAATTGACTATGAGTTGAAAAATTAAAAATATGGAATTGTAAGTTGACTATTGAGCAAATATTTCTCAATTTCGTAAGAGGGATTTTCGATTAGCCAAATAATCGTTAATCCTCCAAACTCAATTATTGATTGATAAAATAATTTGGAATTTGGATATTTAATTGATGATTGACTTAATAATTTAAAATTGATGAGTACTATTAACTTCTTCCTGACTTCAAAATTTATCGATAGTGATTTTCTTTTTTTCATTTTTTTTATCTCAGTGACCCCAAATTAAGGTGTTTTGAGATGAGTTTTAGAGAGCGCACTCTCCAAACTGTAAGATTTCTTTGCCTTGTGTATCCATTTTGATCCGGTCCCTATGATAAATGAGCTATGAGAAACGAGTAGGTGCAGGACGCAATGTTACAAATGTTACTACAAATGTCAAGACCTCTTTGTACTGGTCTTTTCATAAATTTTCATAAAACTAATGCTTTCTTTTTCAACTCACAAATGACCTACTCATACCTGACACTTTTCGATGTCCATCAGACCCAAGGGTAAACACTCCATTACTTTCTTTTTATTTCTCGGACAGTAGCACTCCATTTCCTCCTGATTCCAAGTATCCGCAGTCAATTCATATCGATACCCCGCCAAAGTATTCAGCACTACTTCTCTCGTGAAGGAAGGGGATAAAGATCTAAGAAATTCAATTCCAACCATGATGTTCCGAAAGAGATGTTCATCTCGGAAATGAGTGGCTTCCGCACCAAATGCTCTCGCGATGAACTCCTCTAAAGCCACTCATCGCCGAGATGATATTGCGTAATTGTAACTAGCAGATGTGATAAGTAGACATAGATTGTTGCAAATCTTCACTAATTTCATTATTGGTGACTGTTCGCATAGCCACCAGAATAATAATTTAAAATGGTCAAAAGTTACTCTATCTCCGGCAACAGTTTTATATTGACACTGTAATTTTGGGTATTTTTAATTCTCAAATTTTCCAACTGCAATTTTTCCCATTGTATGAAAAACATTCAAAAGGACTGATAGTTTATCAGTATTATCGAAATTACATTCCATAAATAAACAATGGAACTTAATTGGAAAATAATCAATCATCTCCTAACCCGTGTCACAAAATTATTCAATTTTTTGCATTTAATAAGAAGCAAAACAGATCAATCTTTATTCACAGTGAAAATTAGCATTTTTTTAGCATAAAATTATGATTAAAAAATCTAATCATATTTTTCATCACTTTCCAACAGTATTGAATATTCTTTAAATCCTTGGCACTATAGAGTTATTTTAAATAGAAATCGTCGACAGAAAGAGGTTTCTATTCCCGTTTGTAATCGTGTTGTCATATTTGATCACTCATCGAGGGAAAAATCGAGAGTTCGTATAACAACAAAATTATTGATGAGGTCTTTTATGTGACAATCATTATAATTATGCCATAGGGTACAGGGAAATTTTCCCAATTGATTATTGAGGTCAATACCGTCAACGAAATTATAATTTTCTCTCATTGTTGTATTTTAATTATGCTTACCGACATAACTGTGCCTCGTAGCTTTGTACCTTTGGTAATTTTTTAGACATTGGTGGCCAAGTAATCGCATTAGTGCCACTCACAGCATTGCAAGTGTCAGTGGCCCAGAAGTTAGTTACCTTCATGTTCTTGAACGAAGTCGTGTTACCTAAGCTGTATATATTTTTAACCCCTCGATTGACAGTGAACGGACCCTGGTGTGTCCCATTCACCTGTAATATATTTTATAATTGTTAGGTTTATGTGAATAAGTCGATAAGAAATTTCTATTTATTACGGATTGTACATTGACGAAATAAATACCCGGTAGAAGAGACTGTACTTGAAGAGACCTGGTGTGTCGGTTTTTTTCAACAGAGCTGGGGGATTCCCCTTCAAGACATTGCAGATCATGTTGAGAGCTTTGTCGACATTGACGCAGTCTAGGGGCAGACCGGAGAAGATGATGTCGCCTGCTTTACCGGTTAGGAATGGGTTCACTGCGCCCGGGAATATTTGGTGGATGATTGGACCAATTTTCTTGAGGAATGTGGCGGCCAAGCTTATTATCTGTTCATGAAGTTCATTTGGATTAATTTGATGAAGGAAAATTCCGCATTACTCTAAATATAGTATTCCTCGCTTGGGAATTGGTACTGCATATTTCATTATTTGCCCAACTCGGAAACTTGAAAATAACTACAAAACAATGTTGCACTGAGAGAAAAAATTTGTTTCACCGAAAAATTATATGTTCCGCTGGAGACATGTTTTGTCGTGTTGAATCAATTAACTTATGGCTAAAAAAAAAGTTTCCACCAGAACATGATAATTTTCGTAGTAGTACACGGAAAAGTATACCTGAATTGAGTTGCACTTCACCTTTACATTCAGGCCCTCAATTTTTGACTCTAATATTCCGACCCCCATTTTTTAACCTCCACTTTTTGACCCTTACATTCTCACACTTAGTGTCTGACCCTTCTATTACACTTGAGAGCGCTTGAGACTACCCGGGCTGATACGAAATATTCATTCTAAAATGGAAACACCCATTCCCCATTCGAGTATAAAATATACTTGAATCAAGTATATTAGGAGGAGATAGCGACGTCACCCCTTCCGTCGCTTCGTTATTGGCCCCCATTATTAAAATAATTGAAGAATTAACAACGAATTACGGTGAATCTCACGATGTCGAAATGGGGAATCGTTTTCCGGCAATTTTTATAAGAACAAAGTACGAAATTGTCATGTAATTTTTCCCGAAGAAGTAAAATTTTACAGAAACTTCCCGACTTATTATGCCTCCAAAATCATAAATTCTTAAACGTTCAACATTCTTTCTGCAGCTGGTGAGTTATTTCTACGTTCCATTCCGTAAAATTTTTCAATCGTTGGGGAAAAATTAAGGAACGACTTGTTGCCCCCACAACGGTGAATCATCAGACGGGTGGTTAATTTTTACGGAGCAAATCGTAGAATTTACGTGGGGATTCGTACAATTTCAGTTCCGACTCACACTTTTTATTGAATTTATTTCGCTCGCGGATTACGCTTCGAAAAGTAATTTTTGCATTTTTTTTCTGATAATTTTTATTGAATTTTTCTCTCCGTGCAATTTAGTTGAGGCAGTTCAAATAATTACCTTCTTTATCGTTCCCAAATACGCGAAATTCAGAACTGTGACGACGGTATCTTCGCTCAAATCCCCAGACTCTTGCTGATTGAAGTAGTAAGTTTTAGTGACTGTGAAATTAATCTCGTCTGAGGCCTCGTCAATACGATTGATATGATTTTTTATGTGTAAGCTACAAATTGGATGAAACTAGTTTAATGTCTCGAATTCAGTATGCAGATAGTTTTCCAAAGTTAGTTTTCATACTCATAAACAAAGGGTCCAACTTCTTTCAACAACGGATTCTCGCCGGCCATCACAGCCTCAGGATTAGTCACCTCGAAGAGCCAAACTCGAAAAAAAACCTTGATTTTGAGAAACGCGATGTAATTATCAGTTCCTTCTCGCAGCTCAATATCCTGATTAGAAAAAAAAGAAATGTGTGAACACAAAAATGCGTTTATTCCCTGCAATTTTCTCAAATTACCGAAGAACTCCATGAGAATAATTTAGTACTCTCAACCCAACAGTTTGCTATGATAATTGACCCACCTCGTGTATTCGATTGATTATGAAACCAACATGTAGCCGGTCAATCACGAGATATATGCCGAGCGACAGCAACAAGAGGCCTGGAAGACATGCCAGTGGCTTGCGGAACTTGCTCAAACCGTTAATTTTCCCCATTCGATTTATTATCGATTTCATGGAGTTATCCTGACTTTATAAAACCATGTAATTTAATTTGATATTATAAAGAATTTTTATTACGACCGGTTTGTTAGGATAATGGAAAACTTTTAGCTCAAGGATTGCGATATTTTATGATACCAGGGAGGGAATGCAATCTTTTTTTTCGGTCGCACTTTCGTGATAGCTGTTACATTCTTCATGGAATATTTATGAGGATCAATCGATAATTGTTGCTTTCCATGACTAGTGAGTTTCATCGTTAAATATTCATGTCGTTAATTATAAATGATGTGGTGATGAAAGAATCGCATGCTAAGTTGCACAGTATTGAGGTAGATCAATAATCTTGAACAGTTTTTTCAAAAAATTGGAATTTCATCGACTCTTTGGTAGTAGCTTTTTGTTTCGCAGCGCGTTCGTAAATTCCAGCCTACGGACTCTATGACGTAGTAGTATATTTCTGTACAAGTGCGACGGGTTTTTCATGAGTATGAAGTTGGAGGCCTGAGGCGAAGCCGAGGGCTGCCAATCACACGAGCTGAAAATTCATGAAATTCCAGTCGAACTTGAATGTAATAAAAATTTCCGAAAAGTGTACTGAAAATTTTAGTTGAAAATTGCCAACAATGTGGAAATCGCTGGCCTGGTACAGTAAACTCTCCAACATGGAATATCCTAGGGAACATAAAATTCCAACAAGAAATATCTCCCCACCAACCCCTCCATACCCGCGGCCCAAAAAAAAAATTCCAAGTGAGAGGAGAAAAATATTCCTAATTGTAAAATTTTCCAAGTGAGAGTATTCTATCTTGGTGAGTTTACTGTGCTCGAAAATTGAAGGTCACCTATACAGATGAAAATTGACGGTGAAAATTTATTCTGTCATTTCATGCTTATGTCGAGTCGTCATTTTTTCTGACCATATGGTCAGATTCTCCGGTAATTACCGGTCCTGACAGTAGTAATTGACGGTCATATTGTCACTCCCATCTCTAGTTGGCGCTAGTTCTCCCAAAAAACCGAAATTTGAATTTTCTGGAGTGAAACCGCGTGCGATTTCCAGTAGTAAACAGTGGCTGATAAGACAGGGTCTTATTTTACTGACCGAGTGGTGAAAAATTCTGGCCCTAGTTTCCCCTGCCACCGCCAGAGCCTCCCAACGACCGTGAAAATTCGTCCGTTCCGAAACACACACACGTATCACAAACAAAACAAATTCGTTGCGTCCGGTAAATGGGGGTTGGCCCGAAGAGAGACTCTAAAAATGGCGACGCTCAACTCTTCCGGTTCAAAACTGTAGCGTTTTTTTACCTCCCCACGAGTTTCGCATTGTTGTCATAATGAGTGTAAATATTTAACCCATGAAACACAATTGTACACCATCCAATGTAGCAAACAAACGTTCGAATGACCTTAATAATTTTGTGCTGTGCATAAATCGAGGAATATATGCAGTGTTACACAGACCTGGGGGGTATCGGTTCATAACCTCTCATCTCCAGGCGTTTTCTGTTTTGTGATTATTCTCGTTGGGGTGGACGTTATAATTATTTAATCCCAGTACTTTGGACAATGGCAATGAACGAAGATTTCAATTTTTCCGAATTGTGCAGATTGTGTTCATTGAAGAGTAATCATCAGTTGCAAATATTCGATAAAGAGGGCGAACAGAGACAATTACTTTTTAAAATACGCTCCTGCCTACCTTCTGTGGTAAGTGTTCATAATTATAATATTACCCCAAACCCAAACAGATAAACACCAAAAAACATTCATTCTCAATTCAAATAATAAACCGTGAAAATAGCCCGATTGTTGTGATACTCCAAACTCACTACCACCTCCAGAACAAATAAATAAATCAGCTAAATCCTCTATTCAACCAATCAACGCACACTGCTATTCAACAACAATTAATAATTTAACCCAAAAGTTTCCTGATTCGCAGATAACTAAAGAGGACGCACTGCCAAAAAACATATGCCAGAAATGTGTATACAAATTGGACATGTTCTACGAGTTTCGTGTCAGTTGTATGACAACTGAGTCCGTATTAAAGAATTACGCCGAGAGTATAAAGCATCTAGCGCAAACAGTCAATAATCAGGTAAGAAAACCCCTCTATTTTCAAAAAACTCAAACGTATGATAATGCTCTTGTACGTCGAACTAGAAAATTCCCAGTTCCCCATCAACTCCTCCAAAAAAATCGACATTGAAGAAAAATAAATAAATCCCTTTTTTCCAAAACTTCAAAAACTCAGTACACCTCCCCTCCCCCGCCCTTCCCCCTCCCCTTGCTCTCCTGCCTCTTTTATTCTGACCTTGCAATCCCTTTAAATACACGAAACATGAAAAAAAGCCTCCACGTGTTCTCCAACTCCCTCAGAACAAAAAAAATCCATCAATAGGTTTGAATAAACCCTCTGACTCTGCTTCCAAGTTAAATCAAATGAAGATTCATTATGAAGTGCAAAAAAATGATTAAATCCTCACCCCCTGTTCCCCCCTCCCTCCCCCATAATTCCACCCTCACACAGCGCAAATGCACGAGGGGCGCGAGAACAGGGTGGAGGGGAGGGGGGCATCGTAATCGGTGCGTCAGGACGTTTATTGATCGGCGCGTCGTTTCCCCTGCGTCGTCGCATGCAGAAAGCGAAAGTCAGTTGAGCTCTCCTTTCTTTTTCCAACGTCTAGCCGAACAGCATCCTCCTCTAGTCCGCTCTCCCAGACGTCTTCCTTCTCTCTTTTTCGTCGTGAATGCGCTCGTAAGTCTCACGGATACTGTGAGGATATATCCCTTGAAAACATGTTTTTCTCAAGATTGTCTGCTTTTTTAGGCCCCGGTTTATTGGAATAAATGATAACTAGGTGTACTGCACAGTTTTAGAGATGATACATAATGAAATGCGGGCTTGGAACTCCCGAAGCACGGGCCAAATAAAACGGGGCTGTGGGTCCCACGAACTCGATTTTTCCGGCTTGAGACAACGGTTCGTACTGTGTTAAGGGGAAACGCAACCCCTGCGTTTATATTAATCTTTAGAATTGTGTTTTCTCCTGCAATTATTATTTTTTATTCATTAAGCTACTTCATTGACTCAACAATGCGATAATTGAGTCGATAAAGTAATTTCATGGGTAGAAAATAATTGTAGGAGAAAACACAATTCTAAGATTTGATATAGACAAAGGGGTTCCGTCTGCACTTATGTGAGGGGAGACGGGTGAAGAGGCCAATTGCTAGACGGTTAAGGGAAATTCGAGTTTCACGGTACAATGTTAAAAATTTGCGTCTGAATTTTTCGTGACGAATCCCGGAAATATTTGTCATGTGTAATTTCCGCTGAAATTGCAGGTAATCTTGTCATTGATATGTCAAATATTTCATTGATTGATTGTTCGAATTATCTGGAAATCAATAGACTACTTGGTTTTTCAGTTAAATTATTTCGCGAAAATTCGAAAAAATCAGGAAAATTTTGGAAAAATTGAGAATTTATCTCATTTTTGTTTCTGAATATTTGTTTCATTGGAAATTCAGTCAAGTGGTGAAATTTACGTCTCATTGCCACTGAAAACTCATGAATTTTCTTGAAGTTTACCTAAATTTTTGAGATTTCATCAACATTTTTCCCCTAAATCGAATTCAATGTCACTCTCATGAAAATTACTACCGTATGTTCCATGATATTTCTAAAAATTTCTAACAATGTAGGATCTAAAATAAAAGAATTGCCTAAATGGGATTATGATGGCTTCCACACCTATCAGAATGTTTTAATCAGCAGAAAAAATTATTTGAAGTGAATATAACAAAACAAAGAATAATTAAATTGAGAAATAGTTGAATGCAGCCGAAACCCCTAATTTCTGGATGACGGCCATATTTTTTTATTTATTCAATGTCGATCAACAAAGTTTTTCGCAAAATTTTTACAGAAACGTACACAGTTTTTTTTGCTAAATTTTTGAAAAAATGTGTATAATAACAATTACGAATTAGTTTGTTGGAATTCGACTCCTACACGGCTAATTTCATTTTGTTTAATGTAAAAGTTTGCGCCATTAATGTAAAATAGGCAGAAAAATTATCCTTAAAATATTTAAAATATACTCTCGATTCTTTCAGAACCATTTTTCGGGTTATTTTACATGAATGGTGCAATTTTTTATTTAAAAAATACCGAAATTAGCTCTTTAGGAGCTGAATTTCAAAAAACAAATTCGTAATTATTGTTGCACATGTTTTGTCAAAAATTTTCCAAAGAAACGCCTCTGTAGCTCAAAAATTGGAGGCCCTGGACTATTTTTAATATTTTAAGAGTCTGCGAGGTAAACGAAAACTAAACAATTATTTTTTTCCACTCGCTCGCGACTTTTACAACTCATAGTAGTCTCCCCTTAAAAAACTAATCCGTGATACATTGATAAATTCCGAATACGATGAATTTTTGTAAAATTTTGTACTACATAGTTTCTGTGATATTCAACTCTAAAGAATGTAAATTTCGTGAAAACATTCTTCATTTGATGCAAAAAAATAATTAGCCAATAATTTCTTATTTGATTCAAACAGTTATTGTGGCCTGCATCAACACCATAGGAGAATAAAAAAACTCAATAACTTATGAGAATGCGATAAATTGAGTTATTTAGAATTTTTTCCGGAAATCTATAGAGACTAACTTTTGGGTTCGATTGTCTGGGGATATACCTTAAGGATACATGGATGTAGCCGAAATCCCTCTTGCATCCTTATTCCTCTTCAAAGACACCCAATCGCTCGATCCCTTTCTGGCGCACAGGTGCGCTAGTGACGTAGGAAACAACGAGGTTTTTTCAACTGTCGCCGTCTCTCTCGGTCTCGCTTGCTCCAGAGAAAACCAGTTTGTGGAGATTTTTCCTTTTCGAAATGAGAGCAATAAGGGCGGGTAAAAATAAGCGGTTGGGGTGGGGCGAGAAGTCAATATTTTTGTTGGAAATAAGGGACGTTGTGGGCTGTTTTTATTGATGAGGGGCCATTAGGAGAAGTTGTGGGCATGCGAGAATTGATGTTGGGGTGAGGGAGGGGGGGTATTGATAGGGAATCGCTTCTGCTCATTATGTGCGTTGTCGCGGAGGAATAAATGAGTGAAGGGGTAAAACATTTCAAGTCGATTTTGACTATTTGTCAGTTTTTGATGAATATCTCGGAATCTAAGGCGGATAGCAAAATTTTTGGTATTACCTTTTTTGTAGATCTCATTGAGAGCTACGAAAAATGTTATTACGAAAATTTCGCTATCTCCCTTAGATTCGGAGATACTGGTAAACTCAGCTAAGAGCTAAGTTGACTGCAATCGTTTTACCGCTTTGCTACTGAAATCATTTTAGTCATTTCGAGAATTGGAAAATCGTCTTCATTTTACGAAACGTTCATACAAATGTATCGAAACTTTAATGAAACAATCCCTTCAAATTTTTTTGACATATTCAGTGCCTTTTCTGCATTATTGCATTGTTACAAATTTATTCTTGAAATTTCAAGTAGAAAATCTGTAAATTGTTAACAACGATTAATTAACAACTCAGGAATACCAATTAAAAAATCGAATAGAGGAAAATTAGGAAAATAACAAAATTAAGTCCCTAATTAAAGTATTAATTATCTTGTCAACTGAGTTAAAATTCCCAACATTGAAATTCCCTCAGCTGTTGGAGGAAATTGGGACAACGTGAAACGTTTTATCCCCTCGAAATCCCAATATCTGTTTATAGACAGAGGTACCATATAAAACGATCACGAACGTCCGTTTGCCCCCGCTCCTACGAATAAAAAAATTACAAACAGTGCATCGTAATTCCGAAATGACTCAACCCGCTCCAAAATCCTCCCCCAAACAATCTCCCCACTCCCCCCTCCGCAAAACCCGAAATCTCCCGCCCCAATTTTTCCCTCCCTGCCTCGCAGATCCCCAAAGGGCCGAAGGGCGCATCCCAATGTCAGTGTCAAGGTCATGGGGCCGTGACTCCATGATCCACGACATTCCCAGCGGCCGCAGACACCCCCGGAAAAGTGCTCGAAAATCGACTGTTCGACCAATCGCGCACTAGAGTCTATTTTTTTTTTACTCAAGTTCGTAATATTCAGAGATGGTAAAAATGTAATTTTGAGTCAATTATAGAGGGCGCAATGGTTCCAAAAGGCGCGGATACTAGTGAAAATAGATCGAAATGGATCTCGCCATATTTGATGTCCTTGAATATTTATTCATGCAGGGCAGAGTGGGGCAAAATGGAACAGACGAAAAACGACTATCCGACGCAATTCAATCAACAAAAAAATTGTTTTTATTAAATTTTGGTTAACTTTTTTTATTATTGGGAGAATGAGATGATGAGAATAATAATTTTCTATTCGTCTTATAATTCAATTGATTAGATTAGGCCGATTACAATTTCTTTTTTCATTTGATTGAAATTCAGCGTCACATTTTCCTTTTTCCCCGTCTGGATTTCCCGGTGGCCCTTGCTCTGGACTTTGGATTTTGCTGTTTAATTTTCTTTTCAATTAATCCATTGACAAAATCTTCCACCGTCAAAACGTCTCAATACTTTTCCATTCTACTGAATGGAAAATTATTATTCTCATCAGTACTCCCAAGAATTAAAAAAAATTAATAAAAAAATATATTTAATACACAAAATTTTTTTTGCTTGAATTGCGTCAATCGTTTTTGACTGTTAAATTTTGCGCCACTCTCCTCTATTGTGACATTTTTTCTTGCAGAAATTACAAATACTGTTAGAAAAAAAAAATTTCATGGACATTTGACTACTAATTGTCAGGATAGTAACACTAAATGCGATTTAGAGGGAAAAATCATGCAATTTCATCATTGAAAATTCAGTAAAATTTCAGAATTTTAAGTAGCATCCAATTCAATTTATTTATTTATTTATTTTATTTCAATTTATTTGATTTTACAATCTAATATGAATATTCAGTGCCAAATTACATTGACTTTTCAGTGAAATCTGAACTTTCATGATTTTTTCCCCCTAAATCGCATTTAGTGTCACCGCCCTGAAAATTCAAAAATATATTTCTGAATTTTCAATGACGAAATACCTTGGAATTTCAGTGGTAATTAAATTCGATAAAAATTTCCAAAAAGTGTACCGGAAATTTCAGACAAAAATTTTTAACAGTGTATCATATCCCTTTTAAATATATCGCGTCATTATTATTGAATGTTAATGAGAATTTCGCGGAATTCACCCCATAGTCGTACTGCGAGGGTTCCGGGCCTTTAAATTGAGTATAAAATGCATTTTCCATACATCTTGATAACATTCAACGGATGAAAGAAAAAATGACGCACTAGTACGCGATTGGTGGGTGCCTGCTTCAAACCCCCGGGTGTCCCGCAGTTCTACCCGAAAAAGTCGTCACCGTGTCCTCGCATCTCAAAACTCTTCGAATTTCCTGATCATACCCCGCACACACACAATCCCGCGGTGAATGCCGCGACGTTACCCCAGACGTCGGTGGTTTGTAGTATCGAGGTGAGGTCCACAGTGGCAGGACCTTCACGCGGCCCTCGCGAGTGAGACAGCCACATCTGCCCCCAAACACTCCGTCACTCCGTCCTCCACTCTCCCACTGTCCATTCCCATATTCCCTCATCTCTCCCTCTCCCTCATCTCCTTCTTCTCCATCTACTATTCGTTTTAGTCGTGTCTCTTCCTCCTCCCTCTACAGACCCTCACGTTCGTGTTCCGTCGTTTCGGCCAGTCGAAACGCGCCTCTCCGGACTCCGCCACGCTGCATTCCGCGTGTCCTCCTTGTGTATACTGTGTATTTTCGAGTGCACATCCGTGTCACTCCGAGAAAAAAAAATCCCCCCCCCCCCAACACTCATTCCACTTAAACATCAGTTCGACCATTCGAGTGGATTATCTGTCTCATCCACTGATAATTCACTAAACTCCAACCGCTCCAAGTGCTCGCGAGACATTTTTTCCTTTCCACAAAACTTCAGTTTCTCCTTTTTTACGCTCTTTTTGTGCTCCCCTTTGTCCCACGTTTCGCTGTATCGCCCATTCCGTGCACCTCCGGGTAACATCGACTCCCTTTATTAGTCATTTTCACAAATTTTATTGTCCACACTGGTCAAACACAAAATCCAAATTCAATTATTCCCTCAAAATTTCCTCAAACATAATTAACATAATATTCCTTCACCGGTTAAATTTCCCCCGAATTAATTCACAACTCGTGAATTTGTGCAAAATGTGAGGATAAAATTCAATGTGTGAGAATAATCGTGTGACCCGTACACTGGAATCCAGACAGCATTGATCGAAGGCCAAGTATGTTGTTTTATTTGTATCCCAGGGACACTTGTACCCCCTGAAATTGTATATAATAGTAAGTGGCTCGAATGTTTAAAAATCGTTTGCCTCTTGTTGGAGACGCCGATGGGTTTTTATGATTCCTCTTTTTTTTTTACACCACCACCACCTTCTCTTCCACCTTCTCCCTTCCCTTTCCCTCCCGCCCCCTCCTCCTCGCCCTCCCCCTCCTCCCCCCCTTGAGACGACCATTTCCGGCCGGCTTGATTCGAGACATCGATCGCCCGTAGTCACTTTCGCAGACTCTCAACACTGCGGGGCTTTTGTGCAAGGCAGGGTGGGAGGAAAATTGAGGGAGAGAGGGAGGGAGAGCAGTACTGCTGCAAGTGAACCCCGTAATGGGACATGAAATAGCTTGTGGTGTCACGCGTGATGCAACTCTCTCCTCTAAAATGTACAGATGTATTTTTCATGATAAATTGTTAGTTATTGTTTTGCTATTATCTTATCGGAATGGATGGTGAGGATTAATGGGAATGTAAACACGATTGGTGATTTCGTAATTGGTGACGTGAGAGTGGAGATTAGCGGTGGAAAACCATTGCTATTTTGATAGTTGTGGTTTTACTGGGGTTCTTTGTTGTTGGGTAGAGTGAGAAGGACAAGATGTCGAGCAGTGGACAACAGCAGCAGCAGCAGCAGCGGTCTGCGTACGTGGAGGCACATGCAGTGGCGCATGCGGCAGTTCAGCAGCACATGGCACAGCAGGCTGCCCAGGCGAGACTTGCGGGCCCTGGACCACCTTCAGCACCACCACCTAATCCCACGTTTACTCTGCCAGACGATGGGCTGGGGTATGATGACGGGGTCAGGGTGCTGCGGTCTATTGGAACATGGTAATCATTGGGGGTTTTTCTCGGTGTTTCGGGGGTGTGCGGGCGCGGGGGAAGATTTCGAGAGCTGTAGTATCGTTTTTTTTATTTGAGGTGAATTACGGTCGAAGGATATCCTAGTATTTTGGATATTTTTTATCCTGTGCAATGATTTTTTTTACTTTTGTAGTCGAACATCAGAGCTTTCATTTGACCCCTTTGACCCTATGCTTCCGGACATTTGACAATGATTTTATTATTTAAACTTTGCAGGTCTGAATTTGAATCTCGATATTGGATTTTTAGGAAACATTTTAAAAATGTGAAAAAATAGAAAGCTTATTTTTGCAAGAAGATTGATGAAATAATTGAAAAATTGCAATTTTTGAAAATTACGAGCATTTTCTATGAATCATTTATAAACAATCAATTTTCCACTATTCAAATCGTAACAAATTTATTAATATTCAGAATCTCACCAAAAATTGGTTTCATGTCTAAAACAATAAACAATAATCTTAATAATTAATCTTAATATTGTCGATTGCATTTCCTTCTGAGGGTTCAAGGGAAAATGGCGAGAGACCTTTAATGCGTCGTTTTGACAGCTGTATCTCTTGTCCCAAACTGCTAATATTAGAAATAGTTACGCAATAAGAATGTCATCTCGATTCTTTTTATTCTGTTCATTTCTTCAAGTGGAAGAGATTGAAATAGAAATGTCTAAGATTTCCTCTCCGAAATTTTAACAGATACGCAATCTCCTCATTCCGGATACAATTAAAACATAATCGAAGATTATATATCTGAATTTAGATTCTTCATTTATTGTTCGATTATCCGGAAAGATTGTCACCTTCCACTGAGCATAATGCATTCTAATTTTTCGTCTCCTGTCTCTTGAGAGAGAGTTTTTTTCTAATTATTACTTACATTTTTATGCTGCTATACTATTTGTACTACAAGGTTACTCCTTTTAAAGCTGTGGAATGACTAAAGAATAAATAATAGTTAAACCAAATGTGACTTTAGTGTTTCTAATTGAGCGATTGCACTAAATACCGACCTAAAATAATGCCTCTACATTTTTGGTATTATTTGTATTTCCTCATCGTACAATATAAGTGAAAAGGAGAAGAATGAGCGCTGTTGGAACTCTATAACTCAATAATAACTCAATTTTTTTGCTCCTTCAAAACTAAATTTTTCATTTCGAATGATGCAGAATTTTTTTTTCACCCGTTACAAAATTAAATTGAATTGAAACATTGAATAAAATGTGCGGATTACCATGAAATGGACGATTTAAACTTTCTTTTCGTGATTTTCACGATGAAATTCATTGAAACATAAAAGACAATATTTTTTCGAAAAATTGAGAAAATTTACTATCAAATCTATACTTCCGCTAATTCTGTAGATTTCCGGATATTTTTTTTTGTGAATTATGGTACTGCATCATTCGAATTGAAAAATTTAATTTTGAAGGAGAAAAAAATTGAATCGGCTGTATATCTCAATTATTGAGTTATAGAACTCGGGCAGCATTGCTTTTTTTTCATTGTACTTATATTTTACGATGAGGAACTAAGAATAGTACTTTTGTAATAATCTGAGGTAATATTTTAGGTCGGTATTTGGTGCAATCGTTCAATTATTTACGATCTTGTACTGATGTTTTCGAATATCTCCTCAGGTCTCCCGATTATTCAGCAGCTATGGCTCGACCCGGCGGTGTGATGCCAGTATTTCCAGGCACAACCGAGCAACAATTCCCAAATAATCGTCCCCCAACGATAAATCAGCCCCTGCGAACAACAAATAACACAAGCTCACGACCAGGATCAGTATCAAAAGCAACAAATACTGGTGAGCCAACGACAAAGGCCTTCGCTTGTACAGTTTGTGGTAAAGGTCTGGCACGCAAAGACAAACTTGTCATACACATGCGTATACACACTGGGGAAAAGCCCTACTCGTGTGAAGTATGTGGAAAGGCATTTGCTCGGAGGGACAAATTAGTCATTCACATGAACAAACTTCGACATAGACCGGGGGTGACGCCACTCTCGACACCCTCAGCGCCTAGTAATGATCAGGCTAATCAGCAGCAACAGCAGCAGCAGCAACAGTCTCAGCCACCGCAACCATCTCAACAACCGAGACAAGAGGTTCATCATAAGTTGAAGGAGGAACCTGTTAGTTGGACGTGCGAACTCTGCGGTCGGGTGCTGCTCACGAGAGAGGAATGGGCTCTTCATGCAAAGTGAATATTAAACTATCTTCTTTAACTGGTTATCAATTAATTCATACGATTTTTGGGAGATTTACATTCTCGTGTGCATTTTTGGAGTCGAACATATCTTCTGATGGACGAAGAGTCAATCTCTTAGTTATTTATTTAGTTATTATTCATTTATTTCATTTTGACATGTGATTAAGATGACATTAAAATTTCTCCTCCCTTAAACAATCTCTCGTACGTTTGTGTAGAATTTTTTTGCATCCATTTTGAAGATGAATTTCGTACAGATGCACGGAGAGAAAAATTGGATAACAATTATCTGGGGCATTGTGGAAAATTTCACTATACAAAAGGTAATAATCGTGGAGCGAAATTGCAATTCAATGAGAAATTCTTTTTCGAGAGGATATCTTACGATTCGTTCAGTAATAACATACATCTGTTGTTGAATTATGTAGTTTCATTTCGCTGAATTGTTTCAATGAGACCAGGGATATCTATATTCATAAATTATAATTACCGTTAAATTATTGAGTCGTCAGTTCGTTAATATCCCTCTCCAATTTTAGTTATTGAAGTAATCATCAAATTAAATATTCAAAGAGGTCGAGATGTTGCAATCAATTTTATGATCGAACTCAGTCAAGATGGCATTGAGAGGAATATTTAAATCGCAATAGGCTTTATTTAAACAATTATTTTTCCAATTGATGTCGAAAAATATTAATAATATAAATAATATAGTCAAACTCTTGAGGCCAAAATTAATTAACCTGACCCAAAAAATTGGAAATTTCGGATTTAACAAGTACAGTGCTTTCATTCAGAAGCAAAATTAATTTCTCAAATTCATTCTCTCCAGATCTCACTTGGTGGAGTCCCCAGGACCCCCTCAGCACGCAGCAGCCTACTTCCCTGGCTCCGTACCTCCACCCCAGCCGTACGCATCAGAACGACACTTTTGCCTAATGTGTCGCACCGACTTCACCGACAAAGCTGAATTCATGTTCCACGTACGTTCACACTTCGATGTACCTCAGAGCCAACAGGGACCTCAACACTCGAAACAGGATCCAGCGACCGCCGAATTAATTGCCCGAGGTTTGGTAGATCCCTCGGGTCTGTGCAGCTAGAATTTTCCCTACTATCATCATCTGCCATCGATTCGTGTCTTACCATAATACAAGTAGAATGTATTTTCTACTAAGGATGATGAATATTAAACACGACCATTCTATCTCGCATTGCAACATGATGCACCTTGTGATCGATCTTAAGACAATGACTTACGGGTAAATGGATACACAGTGCTGGCACAAAGTTCACTCAGGGAAAGTTGAACTGGTAATTCCACAATTTTAAAGAATTTTATGGTTTAGTTTCTCATTAAAATCCAATGCGAATGTGACTGTGTCTGTACTGTGTATCTCTTGTCTCAAATCGAAAGTTATTGAATGAATAAATGACTAATGAACAAATTTTAGATACTCTCTTGACAATAAACATGACATTCCTACAGTGTCAAATCAGTATCTAATTATTGTATGAAATGGAATAGATAGACTAACGTTCCTAACGATAAATAAGCTTCTCTCACTCATTGATTTATGCGATGTTTGTTCAGTCGTGGACATCATGAGAGCGAATGCAATTTGCTTGACATCGCTTACTTCCTTCTGTCTTCGTAAATTAAGAAAAATCAAGAGATTAGGGATAAGAGGAAACAAAAAACATTTTAAAAATTGACAAAAAAATATCTAGATGTAAGGTTCAAGTCTAATGGATAATGTAAGAGCTACTGGTGGCCTCCTGAGTTACGCAGGTTTTGGTTGGACTGGCCAAATTGAAAGGACTGAATATGATTAGAACTTTTAGTTTCTTAAATTCATTTTTAGTTGTGGAAAGGATTTTTCGTTTCTGTTTTAAGTTTCATTTGAGCTAAAAATCTCGTATTGAGGGGATCATCTCGTGTATATAAAATTTCACATAATAGTGATCTCTGTTAGGATCTAAAAATGATATTTTTGATAAGAATTGAGAGTTTTCTTCTCTTTATTTCGTTTAGCAAGAGTATAAAAGTGAGATTTTTGGGATGATTTATTCGAAATTCATGGACATATGAGAAAGGGAAAATTGACGTTTGGATGTGCAATCAAATAAATTTTACGCTGAATTCTCAATTCCTTGGAAAGGAAAAATGAAAAGGGCGAAATTATTTAGACGCATAGTGCCTTCTCTTCTACAAATACTTAAAAATCATACTTTTTTTTTTCTCCCGATAGATTTTACGTTACTCAGCGGACGCAGGAGGCACAGCTGGCACAAAATATGAGTAAGATAGTGTCTAAGTTCAATATTTGTTTTTTTATAGTTCTTTTATATTGATTTTTTTATTTGTTGAAGCTTGTGATTGATCCACAGCTATCACAAAATACCACTGTTTATTTCAAATTAGTGACGATACTTTTTATACTGTTAATATCAAATATTCAGAGTCAGTATGTTACTGCCATAATCATGAACAAAAAACTATGAACTTTAAAAAAAATTCTGTATACTCAACCTATACCTTTATAAATAAAGATAATAGTAAAATGTATATTCAATTTCAGTCATTTTAATCACTCACTTGAAGGTTGATTAATTGATTTTTTCAGATTAAAAATTAAGGTGGGATGTCGGTGAGGTTTGAAAGTCTTCGGAAAAATACTATTTCACGGTAAATCCAGGTAGTGCATGGTAGAAATTCCGATGCTGACACGGGAATTTTCCCGGGTCCGTCCAAATGAACTCATTTTACCGTGCTACCTCGGTACTTTTTCTGGAATTTTTTCCTCCACTTAGAAAGAAATGAATCGCCTCCACAATTGAAGATTTTTCTTTAAAAAATGATCAATCGTCTTCCTTTCACGTGAAAAAAAAACTGCTTTTTTCACGTTATTGTTATCTAGCGACAATAATCGTAACACTTCAATTCAATCCGAGTAATACTCAAAAGCATCGCATCAACTCACCTCAATTTCAAATGTAACCACAGAGGATATGCAATAGTTTTAAATCCAACGGTTGCGTCACTGAGGTGAGCCTGAAAGGTTGCGAGATGAAAGTAAAGGTGCACTTTGATTCTAACTGAAAATATACGCCATATCAGGAAGTATGCATTGTATTCCAGGGTGGAGTTCATCATTAATTCAATATCCACATACTTGAAATAATTATGATAATACTTTCATTGTTAATTCCCTTCCTCTCATAATTACCGATGCGAGATTTAAAAATTTATGAATAAATTACAGGGAAAATTGATTTAAGGCCAAGGTGGACGAGAAATTGCTTGCATTTTATTCAAAGAAATTGTGCGTTACACCTGCGCGAAGGCCAGTAATATAATCTAATCAGGGATCAAGAGTTTAATTAGAATTTTATTTAGCTCATGCTCACAGGAGGATTCTCGACTCAATAAATCGTTTAACTTAATTACAGTATTTATCGTAAAGTTATTTCACACGATGACGATGGGATTAATTCTTGGTGAATGAGTAGGCGAAGCCATCGGGAGTCCTCGTGAAGTCCAATTTACCTGGTGGGTAGAATCTCCGAGGAGATGGAGTGGTGATTTCGTTGTATTGGGGTCGAGGGCTTGGACTCTGAGGAGAACTGAAGGAATATTTGAAAGAGTCTGGTTTAACCTGAGGCTCAGGTCGGTATTGGGGGTCAGGCTTGTACTGAAGTGCTGGCCTGTAATGAGGTTCCGGTCTGTATTGAGGTGTCGGTCTGTACTGGGGCTCAGGTTGGTACTCGGGGAATTGAATTCTCGGACGAAACACCGGCTCCGGTTGGTATAGACGCTCGTATCTTTGCTCGTAGTCTTGACGGAAGAAGGATGGAGGGGGTGTTGGCCGCGGTTGATACGCCGGCTGTTGAGAATGGTATTGCGGATATGCTCGCGCTGGCGGCCGGTAATCCGGGGGATTGTACTCGGGCAGCGGCTCGTATTCCGGTTGGGGAGGAATTTGCGGGGGTGCTTTCGGAATTCCGTCACCTGATGCCTGGTTTATAAAATTAGTTTATCAGTTCCAATGCGTTGCACTGTAAAAAATTCGGAGTCCATGTCGACTCTGAATCCACACAAAAAAAATGCAAACGGGCCCACACTGTTTGCGGTGTGGATGGGCGGAGTGTATTAATGCCGGAGTTAAGGATGTTTGACACCCTTTTAGCCAAAATTGACGCTGTTTTCATTTCTCTGGCAAATTATCGATGGGAGTGACGTGAAAAAATATAACGATTTTGTGGTTTGTCATTTTTCAATGGCTCACGAAGTTGCGTAGTGATGCGATAATTTTCATGCGTTTTTTCTAGTTTTGTGATTCTTTTTAAAAGTTTAGAGAAAACGCAGGAAAATGTTCGCACCACCTTAAAATTTCGTCAGTCATTAAATAATGACAAAACGCAAAAACGTTATATTTTTTCACGTCAATTCCATCATAAGTTTGCCAGAAAAATTAAAAAAACGTGAATTTTGGCAGAAAGAGTGTGGAACATCCTTAAGGTGTTTTGGTTGAAAAGTCAAAATAATGATGAAAGATTGGAAAATTCATGGGAGAAATTTCTAAGTATGCTGCATCATTGAGAATTCTTGCACATTTTCTTCAGATCTCAGTTTCAAGAAAAAAATTATGAAATTTGGATGTCTTTGTAACGCTTTCAGCTATAACTTCCGAGGTTACTCCACTCTCAATTAAGAAAATTTTCATGGCAGCCAAAAAAATAATAAACTATTGAGGAAAAATTCGTGGATGATAAATCAAATCTTTCTTGAGAACACGTATAAGTTTCAGATTTTTTTCAGATTTCATAAGAAAGTTATTTGAACAAATGATTCGGAAAATTATGAGTTTCGGGGCAATCACGCCCTCACGCGCAGGCGCGTGATTCGAACGTTTGAAAAAATATCAATATTTTTTTTTACCGGGTGAGTGCGTTCGTTCTCATGCAATAACAATATGAATTGAATTAATGGAGAATACCGTCAGTGACGCAGTTGCGGAACCCTTAAGAAACGAGATCTAGTTATGGAACCGTATTGTTTTCAGTATTTTTTAAGTCCGTTGGACCTACTATACATAGTAAGTATTATATACTATATATAGTACACATATATGTTTTGTACTCTAATTTTTTTAACAATAAAAACAATTAATGCATTTCGGTACTCAAAAAAATACATATATAAGATGGCATATATGTATATATTATATAATATATACTATATGGATATAGATGTCTTATACTTTAATATTTTTCAATTGCAAAAAATTAATATAGTCATGTAAAAAAAAATATGTAGGATGGCATGTATGTATATAGTTCATAATACATCCCCAAAAATAAAAAAAGAACGCAAGAAGCAGAAAAGAAACGAAGAAGAAGACGAAGCGGATTATGACGATTCCGAATAAATTATTCAACAATTAAATTCTCACTGCGAAAAACTTGGTTGAAACCACTCATTTTTCCTGCATTAGTATCGAGATAAAAATTAATGAAAAAGAGAAACGATAAGGTTTTACTATTCTGGCACCCATGGAAAACAATACGCGCCCGAAGCTCGCTGTTCTAGTTTATCAAAAAGAGAGAACCCTAACAAAGCAATTCTCTCTGTGCCGACAAAAATTAGAATAAATTAGAATTAGAGAACTATTTTGTTATGGTTCTTTCTTTTTATAAATTCGTTTAAACTGCTGTGATGACCGTTATGGCTGGGAGAAGTTGAGGAGTAAAGAAGAATTAAAAACGGTTGAATTGTTATTAACGAGAATCGTCCTGGTTCCCCTCTTACCTACTCCAAAATCCTATCCAACAATATCCTGTGACGTCACAAGATGTGGAACGCTGTATGTCCTGTCTTTAGTGAAATTATTCATGTGAAATAATAGTGAAATATTCATTAGATTTGATAGCTAGGAAATTTACAACAGATTAGTACGGAAAATGACAATGACCTTTAGTTCATCACGAACCTGGAATCCATTTTTCCCAGCAGTGTATGTAACAGTCCTGCGAACCCCATTGGGATCTACGTAAGAATAGGATCCTTTTCGATCTCCATTGGCATCGCTCTCCTCCTTGAACTCTACCCCATCTTCCTGCTTGTAAGAAGCACCGAAGGTCCCATCCCCAGACAGATATCTCGTGTCCGAGAGAATCGCAGCCTCGTGAGACCGCTGAGCGACTGACAGAGACACCAGGGACAATGAGATCTAAAAGACAAGGTCATCACTCCACTTGTCACACAATTCAGCGGATTTTCGTGGAATTATAATACTCAACTTACAATCACAAACCGCATTTTGACGATCCCGATCTCGGGATGGTATACGACTAAGTGGAATCGAATGGATGAGTGGGGCATTTTATAGTCGCGAGACAGAGTTCTCGAGTTTCTCAGGATCTTTAATGCTGGGGGCCAAGGGGCCTTGGATATTGCACAGCCCCCGCGCGCACGATTCACTCGCGGAATCTCGACGGATTGCTATACGCCTTCCTGTTCTTCTTGCTGGTGACTATGACCACGCCTTGGAGCTGATAATAGGTGTTTGGGACAGGGCGATTTAGAAATCTATGGGCAGGAGACTGACGGCTGGCATGGGGGGATTACAATGCAGTTGGACTCCTACGTTGGTTACTTACAGGTCATATCCCGAGGCGAAAATTGGGTCTTGGGTCAAGTTAGCGACTTGATCTGAAGGGTTTTGTCCTGCGCTTTTTTACCTAAAGTGGGAAAAAGTGAAAAACATTTTTTTTTACACTGCTGCTACGTTCACCTCGTGTCGAAAAGTGCCTTTTCGTTTACTCGTAAACGAAAAGTCTTGTCGTTTACTAGTAAACGAAAAAAGGCACAGTTCCCCACTCGCTGAACGTAACATCACTGTCAAAATAGTATATCTCGTAACGAGTGCAAAAAAGTGTTTTTTGACGAGTGGGAGGTTTATATCACGAGCCGAAGGCGAGTGATATAATCCCACGAGCTAAAAAACATTTTTTCACGAGTTACGAACAATATTTTTCATCACAATGTGGCGGAAATTGGACTTTTAGGCACGCAGAGCGTGCCGAAAAGTTCACTTTTCGTCACAGCGTGATGAAAACTATTGTTCGAAACATGTGAGACAGGAAATTCTGTCTCACTCGTATCGAAATATACTAATTTGGACATAGACAAAGTATTCATCCGGGCTAGAGTCTTTCGTGGTTTCTTCCATGGAATGCATCCCTTCTCTTGCACAGTGCAAGGGGTGAAAGAAAACCCTGGGGTGGAAAATCGGCTCTTACAAGTGCGTTAGAAAAAGTGCGCTTTACGCACTAGTACTACAATATACTAGTCCTACGTGTACAGAGAATGCAATTTTTTTTTAACTACTAAATCTATACAGATGCATCTTTGGCACAAAAAATCCTTTTTTGATCATTTTCAAAAAACTATTTCTTGGCACAAGTAAGACTTGTGCGAGAGCCTTGTCGTTTTTATCTCAGTGTACTGTTTCAGAAATCTAGTATACCATCGAAAGATATTTCCTTACTCAATCCTTTACCTTCAGTCGATCGTGAAGGACTTTCTCTCCTCAATTCGATCGAAATAATTATTCACAACATTCAATCCTCCCTCTCTCATCCATAAAATCAGTTATTCTTTCCCTCCGAGAATATTGAACCACCACGGAAAAACTGTGGCACAATGAAAACCATAACAGGTCCTCTCATGCAAATTATCTAATTACATAATAACCATGAAATTATAAATTAGCGTTTTTCCAGGAAGCGGCTGTAATTCCTCTACCGGATTTGGAGGGATAAGTGATCAATTACCCACTTTAACTGATTCTTGTAACAAATAACCAAGAACTAGAGAAATTGGAAGGATTTACCCGATACTCTATGGAACTAAATTGCAGGAATAAAGAAAACATTGTTCTATAATGATCACATTTTCATTATTCGAATGTAAATTCCCAATACAAATTACATGCGGTGATTACTCTAAGCGTTGTTATTGCTTCGTTCATTTTTTATTTGTACCGATTTTCCATTGGTAACATAGTTCCGAATGGATTTTAAATTACTCGTGACTGACACACGTCCTGTCGATATCCCGGCGAGTGGTGGGAAAAACACCCAGAGAAAATATTTTAGAATAGCCACGGAAAAATTTCTATAGAAAATATTTAAATGGAATAATTTATCTAGAAAGATCACATTCTGTTGATTTTTTCTATAAAATACTTTTTATGAGTAAAAAAGTGCAGAAGAACTGCGGAATTTTTGAATGGATTCGGTGAAAAAATAATGCAATTTCCAATAGAAATCCATAATTTCCCTAGCCAATGCACTAACTGCTTCCCTCAAACCTTGTTTATGTGTCATATTTTGTTATTAAGGTATATCCATCCTCGCTTCGCTCGGTTAGATCGCGGTTTACGGGCCTTCTGACAAAAAATTACATTCATCACAAGGTCCACAAAGTATTTTCTGACGAATGTGATTATAGGCCTCGCCTTCGGCTCGGCCAATAAAGCCACATTCGTCAGAAAATACTTTGTGGACCTTGTGATGAAAATAACTATTCAGTGTTTCTCGATGTTTTATTCAGTCGGTATAACAAGCGGCAATTATTAATGACGTTATCACTTGTTTTACCGACTGAACGAAAAATCAAGAAACGCTACAAAATTTTTTCCAGTTCCTGAGAAACGCGGCGAGCTTACTGCGGCAGTAAGTGGTGCAAGAAAAACGCTATAACTGGCTGTACTACACAGTTTAGGAGATAATAAATAATAAAATGTTGGCTTCTACCACGCGAGGCATAGGTCAACCGGCGGTTATGAGTCCCTCCGCACTCGATTTTTACATCTCATGAGAAATCGGTTCTTACGATGTTCTTAAAAAACGAATCCGTGGTAAATTGATAAATTCCGAATACGGTGAATGTTTTGTAAAATTTTATATTACGCAGTTTCTGCGATATTCAACTCTAAGAAATGGAGATTTCGTGGAATCATTTCTTATTTGATTGAACCAATTAATTAGTGATGCCGTCGAGACTAGTCGAGAATTATTTTGAAGAGAAAAACATCGAAAGTTTTTGAATCGTCGCAATCTCGAAAGACATTGGATCGGTGCATCTCGTCACAATTCCGGGACGATTTATCTTGCCTGGATCTCGAGATTTTCGGTTTTTTAAGTTCACGAGACGAGACGAGACAGATATCGAGGGAAACATTTGAAAAACAGAAAATACTGAAACTCAGACGTGATGGATTCTTCCAAGTTAGTGACGAGACGCACCGATCCAATGTCACCGACTCAAGATTACGCCGATTCCTAAATTTTCGTTTTTTTTAGACCGTGATGATCTTTCCAAAATAATTCTCGTCTAGTCTCGACGGCATCACTGCAATTAATTAACAAATAATTTCTTATTTGATTCAAACAGTTATCGTTGCCTTTGTGAACAACATATGAGGATAGAAAAACTCAATAACTTATGAGAATGCAATAAATTAAGCCATTTAGAATTTTTTCACTCGTGTGATTGCATTCGTCGGCTTCGGCCTCACACTCGTCAGTGTGTTCAGGGAATGACTAGCCTGAAGGAATCCGCTTAAATAAAAAGTAATTTCTTTTCACAAGTAAATGTTTTCTTGAGAACAAAAATTTGTTTCCCCGCTGTATTTCCTAAAATCGTACTGTTTCCCCGTTTCATGGCATTCCACATAATTGCAGAACGAGAAAATGTGATGATTTCATATACGACGGTTCCGTTCAAACGTAAAAAATTATCCTATTGTTACGGACGAGTGTGCTACACTCACTAAAATCAAAATATGAGAGTTACGAGATTGCAGCAGTGAAGCGAATGCATTTCTGAGAAGAAAAAAGATTGTAGAGAACGAGGCACTAAATATCCAGGCGAGGCATTGACTCTGTTTCACTTGTTACCTCTTGAAATTGCAACAAAAATGGGTTGTGCCAACCCCTTTCGCATGTTGTCTCGACTTACCATTTCTCGTTCTCCTGGACATTGCTATGAGCGATGGAGAGTTACGAAAACCCATGCATTCTTGGACGGTGTAGCTGATAATACCTCGGAGGCATAAACTCCGGGTCTGACTTGTTACCTCAGGGCACTTTAAAAACGGCCGCCGAGACGCCAACGGTAGTCAATTACAAAGAGACCTGCACAGGGGGTTCATGCGGAACTCTTCGGTCTGCCTAAAACGTCAGGCTTTGGCTAAAAATCACTCGTTCGTGGAGATTATTACGGTTAAAATGATCATCATCGTGAGTTAATTCGATTTATCAAATTGCCATTTTACGGTTTATTAATTTAGTGAAGTTGTAATCATGAATTTCTTCATTGAAGGTTTGAGTGAATTTGTAATTGAGTGGAATTTTACATTTGTGAAAGTGGTTTCTAGTTGATTCACATGAAAAAATTTTTTTTTATTAATTCGTACCTTCGGGGCAGAATGCGTCCTCCCGGTTCAGGGAAATACCGATTTTTTCAGTTTTTTAATGAAGTAAAATTTGAGCAGTTCTCTTCACCAGGTTTAAGGGTGCCAATTGTGTTTGATAAAGAACGTTTTTTTTTAATTTTTTCAACAACTGGAACTAGATATCGAGAAAATAAATAAGGAAAATGCTTTGTGCCCCGACGAACCTCGGGAAAGAATGGGATTCAGTGGGTGCGGGGTGTTGAAATATTTAAATTATTCACCCCGGTGCCCCATTATTTTTCACCGCCATGAGATTCGGCACATCTTTCCTCATATCTCCAATTTTTGTCAATTTTTTTACAACTCCTACATTGAGAAAAAAATCCTGATATCTCAAACATATTTACTTGAGAGAAGTAATTTTTCTTCTATTGCTTACAATTCTCTCAAGTGACTTAACACGCGTGGACAGTAGAGATTATGTACGATTTTGTCGTACATTAACTCACTCAAAGCGCGTAGAACAATCGTCAATCTTCAAGTATTTATTGTTTTCATGATTTTTTAATGTGAGAAATCATAAATTCTCATTCTTCTGAATATTAGGATACATATTAGGAAATACATATTAGAAAATTTTTCTCTCAATATAGAGGGCATCTTCTCGTTCAAGTGAATGTACACTGATAGAAATGGTGGAACGATTCAGTTGCACCAAACGAGGCTTCTTAACTCTTACCGCGATTCGTTAATAGTTAACAAATTGTGGTAGTAGTTAAAAAGTCTCGTTTGGTTCGACTAAACCGTCCTATCGTGTAAGCTCTGTCAGAACCTGTGTAGAAAGCTCATTTTGTTGATTTAATTTCTCGATACCCATAAGTTCTAAAATCGTGAAGTTGCCATCAATGTTTACCATAGGTCTGTTGGTATTAATGAAAAAAGAAACTTTCTATTGAATATTGAAAATGACATTTTTTACAGACATACACGACAGCCTTAAATATACCAAGTGTGGAAAAAAGTATTTTATTCCGTTTATTACAAAACTAATCAAATTTTTCAAAAAATGAGAATAAAAAACGTGTAATTACGCATGAGGATTTATTCGTGAATTTGTGTATTACAACCCTTCGCTCAGGAAAGTTGGAAAAATAGACTAGTGGGGTAGAATGGGTTCCTCGTTATTGAAAAACGAAGAATCCTTTCGGTTTTTTTCTGTCAGTTTCGGCAATATTCAACAGACCCGTTTGGCTTTTGACACGAGACTTTATGTAATTACCTGCAATAATAATAATTTTCGATTGAACTGAAAAAAAAATGGAGTCTGAAGAATCACTTATTTGAAACAAGGATAATGATTTTCAGTAATATCTAATAATAGTTTTGGAATATTATTAATGAAGCACGGGAATACTCCTGAATATCACATTGTCAATTTACGGATTATGACGAAAAGTAAATTTTTACCTGTGGAACAGAATAGATTTTTACAATTGAGAAAAAAAAATTTATAAAACAAATGAAAATAAAAATTTAAAAAATGGAAATAAAAACTAATGAAACACTTCCAAATCTCTTCGTTAATCCCGGAAACATTGCTAGAACCCATATTGCCCCTCTCGTTTATAAAATAGACAATTGTTCAGATAAGAAAGAAGAATATGTAATTATTCATTACGACTCAATCGTGCATTCACGGATTATAATCCGAGGACATCCTGAATGGAAGGATTCACCTATTGATGCATACTTTCTAATATTAGCGATTCGTCTTACGTCACGATTCTTTATACAACCGTTTGAGATAAATTGTTTTTGTTACAAGGCAATCCTTCTGGCAACGATGTCGACCGGCTTCGTCGAAGGTGCGGAGGTACATCGAAATACCCGGGCCCCCCTGTCCCATAGGAGTCCATACCAAGGGTTGGACGGTTAGTGTCTTCATTTAGCATCTTTGTTCTGATGCAAAAAAATCCTGACATAACGACAAGGGGGATAGTGTATTTTTAATATAGGGAGGTAAAATAAATGAGTAGTGTCAGCGGGTGGAGTTACTGGCAAGCACGTAGGTACGGGTCCTTCATTTTACCTCGAGTGGGTGGAACCGCATTTTCCGTTTCGGCGTAAATCGACGGCGTGGAGCGGGAAATCAGCACCCAAAGAAATAATACCTTATTTTAATACTTTACGGATATCCAAGTATCTTTTACAGTTTGGTACCTACATTATACTACACTATAGATTCAACCATCAAATTTGTCAATTAAATTGCGTGAGAAACTTTTTAAAAAAATCATGAATATTCAGCATTTTTTACAAGTACACGGAGAGAAATATTCAACAAAAATTGCATAGCTTTTCCGTAATTCTGGAGTGTAATGTGGTTGTAGGACATGTTCCGTAATTTTTACCTGAATCTCCTGTGATAAATTACGATACCGTCACTTAAACTTTCTGAGTCGATTCCGCAATCGGTGAGCCAATTGTGAGTTCCGTAATTTTTACTGAACATTTCTGTCCGTGTACTGGATTCCAGTGCGAATTTTTCCCATTCAAATCTCAGTCAATAGGATTCCACCATTCGACGTCACATGGTACAACCTACAGGGTTTTCAACTGATTATTTTCCCCATCACCCTTCCGAACAATAGGATGGCCAAATTCGACGTCCCGTGGTCCAATCAGAACAGAATTATATCGATAATACCCCGTCGTTCGCTAATTTTCCCGCTGCCAAGCAGAATAACAAAAAATTGTCGAATTTACCACGATACCACAATTCTATTTATTGAAATGGTGATGCGGGAAATAATAATAATCAAAATGAATCGGAGTATTTCCCTCAAACTTTCCTACATATGAACGAATGCGTCACGTTTCGCAGGAAAAATCCCTCGCGCAAGTGCTCGGGATTTTTTTAACTTGCGAAACTTGACATATTCGTTTGTATACAACGAAGTTATCGGGAAATACCCGATCATTTTGAAGCTCTCGGGGTATTATAACCGATAATTTTTTAATAATTTTCTCTGGTAGTTGCTACATAAAAAAAACAAAAGATCATTTAATTGAGTGAACCGTTCACCGAAACTGACAGATTGATTTCGTCTGATGGTGCAATTCACTTGGCCGAAATTTGGATGGGAAAATTCTCTCCCGAATACCACTTGAGCTTCAAAATTAATCAAGTATTTCCTTCAAAGTTCCCTGCGCACAAACGAAGTCTTCAAGTTTTTCAGGAAAAATGACGAGTGCGAAGCACGAGTGATTTTTTAGCCTGAACTACTTGACTCCTGTTTGTTTGCAACGAACCTATCCGGAAATACTCGATAATTTTGAAGCTCTCGTAGTATTACATATGAAAATTCTCGGTGGATCAAATAAAAATTCAAATTCTCAATAATTGATGCTGAAATAGAGTACCCATTTAAGATTTAAAACAAGACGTTTTGGCTTTAGAATCCAGTACTTTGGATTTTCAAAATAAGAACCTTTGGGTACTGAAATCAAGAGGCTTGGGTTGGTACACAGAAAAAAAATTCGGTGTTACTGTCTCTACTGTGAGGGGTTATATGTTCCGGTGTTAACATTAATTTTCTCGCTCGAGTCCGATTTTGGTACAGAGTTAATTTGTATTTTTCACACCGAACTTGATTAATATGTTCACTTTGACACCGTGGCAGTGTCAATTTACCCTCCACTCGCTGTATTACCCTCCGGAATGAATGAACTCCGTTACCTCACACCGAAAACGGTGTGGATTTATATTCACTCCGTTTGGTGTGGACTCAGTGTCGAAATTCACTCTGGATTTTTGACTGTGTACTGAAAATTATACATTTGTTCGCTGTTTATAACTAAGACCACTCGATCCTCCAATTGTCTCTTATCCACCCTCACTAATTAACTGCCACACTACGGAATTCAGTACCCATTCCTGGGCTGCGCAGGTCACCAATGCATGAAGTCTCAATTAACAAAGAACGAAATCTACATTAATGTTAATAAACCTCCCAATCAACCAATTCCGCTTGTTTTGTGTATTTCAGCCCCTCACCAAGTGAACCAGCGCGCATCCAGTCAGCACGAATCGTCCACCCCCCAAGACTACAATCAACTAGACGTCAACCTGGCTTACAAACCCTTCGACTCCGCCCCAGCCCACATAAGACGCCTGATCTACGACGCCTACGGTCCCCAGCAGCCCTACGTCAACCCTCACGCCTTCTTCTACAAGAACTACGTCGGGCTTCCCGACGATTTCCTCACATCTGGTGACCACCGTAGAAGAGCAGATGAGGAACACGCGCACTCAGTTGTCTCATCAACAGCCGCTCCCATCTCCTACAGGACTGCCTACCCCTTGCACTCCGAGACTGTCGCCAATATTCCCACCAAGGTTCTCCAGAAAGGAGGAATCAAGTACAAAGAGGACATCCACCAGAAACAGCAATTCTACTCGCCTCAACGAACTTATGGATTGAGGAATCCTCTTCAGTCTCACAGAAACTCGGAGCAGACGAAGAGGTCACCTGTCTCAGCATCCTCCGAGGCCCAGCAAGACCAGATGTACGACATGCCAGTGGCACTTCAGACTCTCCTGAGCTACCAGGCACAGATCCCCTACAATGTCCTTGCGAATCACATCATCTTCGAGACGAAAAAACCTTTCGTACCAAAACCCCTGCCAGAAGACGCGAAGTACTCATCTCAGTATCCGAATAAAATATTCTACATCAGAGCTGATGGACAGGTTCTCGAGGGTGTCCCGGCGATGGGAATCGGCGCGGGGGAGATCAAGTACAAGGACGCATCATCTCAAGGTCACTAGTGGAGTAGAGTATTAGAGAATAGTTGGTAGGAATGTTGATGGATCTGTTCTGTGCGGAGTAGTAAAAGGAGATAAATAGGAATTTGCATTCGCGTAAAAACTTCTTGTTTCTAACAAATTTTCTTGTGTCACGGGTCATATTGCTTCATAGAGAAGGTTATTGCGATCAGAGCAAGGATAGACTCGTGAAGCCGAAAAGTTTTGCTCTCACAAATGAAGTCTTTGTAAAGACTGAGAAAATACATATAACAGTATATTTCAGGGCGAGTGCCATGGGGTTTTTTACTCGCGTGGAGTTGGCGTCCGAGCTGAAGGCGAGGACTGGCCAACCACGCGAGAAGAAAACCCCATGGCACTAGCCGTGAACGATATTTTTCCGCAGTGATTTTCACTTTTACGAGTTTGGGGAAGGGCCAATACCAATCCCCGGACGAGGAAAAGTGAAGATCAGCGCGAAAATTGTTTTTTGCCAAATATCCATTTACTACAGAGAAGAATTTATTTTTTCATTACCGTATTTCTCCAGTCGAGTCATTTCCAGGCAATCTTCATTAGGTTTCAATTATGACAATTATATTGCTCTCGAAGATGATCATGTTAAGTATGACCTTGAGTGAACTCCCTCAATAATTATCAACATTAAAAAATTACTTGAAATTCATTCCTCTAGAAAATAAGAAATTTCGAAAAAACTAATAATCATTGGAGGAGTTCATCGAAGGTCATGCAACATAGTCATCTTCTAAAGCAACATGATTGTCATAATTGAAACCTAAATAGGCTCGCCTCGGAATGACTCAATTGGAGAAACATGATTTTGAAAAAATCAATGCTTCTCTCGAGTAAATGAATATTTGACAACAAAAATTTTTTTCTCAGTGTATTTCTACCAGTAAACTTCTTGCTGATGGTTAGGTAATAGCAGAGAAAATTTGTTGTTAGTAAGTAAAATCAGATGAGGAATGAAAAATCAGTAATTCAATGAGACAAGAATTATGAAATTATGATAATGAAATTGTGATAATAAATTTTTCAATACTGAGCATTAGATTTGTTAGTGATTTAGCCAATAACATCGTGGTAGGTTCCCGCCATGCCGTCATGATTGGAAATGGCAATGTTGTTACAATTATGGCGATATTCGCGGCGATGATTTCAGCGACATTGTGCGATAGTTAGAGCAACATTGTATGTTGCGCAATTTGAGCAATGTGCATTGCACTAATCTAACCAATAATTTTATCAACATGAAGAGCGATGTTAAGTATCATATCAAGTCCCATCGACACAACGTGATTGCGTGAAGTATTGAACAATTTTAACGTTCACCATTTGAAAGTCTGTTATTTGAATTCAATAATTCTTGAACCATTGAATTCCTGATTTTCTATTCTATACCCTCTTAAAATTTATAAACAAGGTGCTGACGTCACTCTATATACTGTAGTTGGTAATGGATTTTCCACCGGGGCATTCATTTTTTGATTGTGTTAATTTTCCGATTTACGCACGCATGAAAAAATTCAATAGAAAACCTAGCGAATTCGCTAGAAAATTCTATTGGAATTCTATAAGAATTCCATAGGATTTCTATAGGATTTCTATTGGTATTCTATCTAAAAATTCTATTTGTTTTTTGCGCCGATTCTATCGGATATTCTATAAGAAACAGTTAATAGATTTCAAATTTCTGTTTTAATTTTTTTCTTAGATTTTTCTATTAGCATGATTGGGCATAAATTTTCCAAGTTTTTTCTGCTGAATTTCGTTTCTTTTTGCATTGCAGAATCCGAGTATAAAAAACTTAGAAAATTGATGCCCAAGCATTCTTATAGAAAAAATATCAAGAGAAAAATTCAAACAGAAATTTAAAATCTATTGACTTTTTTTTATCGAATATCAAATAGAGTGAGCGCAAAAACAAATAGAATATTTCAATAGAATTCCTATAGAATTCCCACGGAATTTTTTAGTCAATTCGCTAGGTTTTCTATTGAATTTTTTCATACGTGTGGTTTTGCATATATCTTCGAAGCTTCCATTTTCAAGATATTTGCGATCGATTTAGAGAGAAATGCCAGTGCACATTTTTCGTGAATTGTAAACTTGAGTTATTGCATGATTTTTATTATTGAATGAATAAAGTTACAGAGAATTGAAGACACATATACATTATGATGTCACAGCGTTAAATATGGAGGTATACAAATGCCTATATTTCATTATTTATCAAAATAGAGCAATTAAAAAATATAATGCAAAAATTTTCAGCTAAGATTGCTTAACCGTTGAAGTACTTTATGAAGGTTTGATCGAATCAGATTGGTGTAACCGGTCGTCAGCACTTTTAGGATGATTGAATGGACAGAAGAATTTTTATTTATAACTAAGAACCTTAATTAATCATTCCAAATGTGTTGACGACACTTTTTATTCTGTCGACACGATTATATTCTCATATAAAAGATATTCGCAACCTAATGCGCGAATGAATTTCGATTTATCTCGTTCCATCACTCCAGGATAGAATGAATTCCTAGAGGATTTATCTTCGCAATTCAAAGATGACACAGATGTATTTTTGTGAAAATAGTTTGTTGCTAGAGTGAGAATGAGTTTTTCTCTCAATAAAGATGTAGATATCGACAATTATACCTCTTACCGAACCGTTATCACTATCATTTTACCTTTCGACGACCATTTTTTGCTGTATTGAATGGCTGAATTGGGAGGAGTTATTCTTATTTGATTTCACTTTGCACGATAGGACTGGCGCTTTCCTCCGGATCAGGAAGATAGTTAAGGTACTACCGTAGCGCTCCACTTTCGTGGCCTTCAACGCACACTGCGCGTGTGTAAACCGTTGAATCCCTGCTTTCGTTTTTGTATCAAGTCCCATCACTATTAGTTTTACCGCAGTAATCGTAAATTAATTCAACAAATTAACATTCGAACATTATTTCAACGCTAATTTCGTCTGATGGCTTTTTTCTTTATGAGTTCTGGTAGATCATAAAATCTTGGCTTATGTTTCTGCATCAAGTTGAATAAACATTAATTTTCCGTCTCGTGTCTGTCTCATTCCATCATCAATAAATTTATAAAACTATAAAACTTCAATCATCTACACTGTTTTGAAGAAATTTGAATTTTATGAACTAGTCTAGCAGCAATTTTTAGAACAGTCATATTGGGGTAGATTAAAGTGTTCAATGCGTACGTTAAATTTCAAGTTTGAACTGAAAATTTAAGTAAATTTATGCATTTGAAGTTCAAATGGAATGAAAAATTAATAGTTTATTTTAATTATTAATTGAAAATTAATTTCCAGTATTGAATGTTCCCCAAATTAACTAATTTTCACTGAATAATTCGCTACACTCAATAATTCGCTAATAATTCGAATCTACACTGCGGTCTGTACCAAACAATAAAAGACACTTAGATATCCTCAATAAAAAAATTCATCAAAAAAATTCTCCCCAGTTTATCGATGATTCGCAGCCCAATAACATCAATGGAATTTCACAATGAATGGTTCACTGAACCTCACACCAATTTCCGCTCTACAATTACCCATTTACGATGGACTCAACCCAAGACTGGCAATTCTACCTGAATAGGAAACCCACACCTCCATTTAAAAAAATGAAATATTTCCCCTCACATAATTCTTCCTCATTCGTTCATTAGCTGTCGGACCGATAATAAAAAAATGTTATAAAAAATTTACGTAATAATATGAAAGAGTCAAGCCCCTGAATGTACACTCATGCCGTACACTTATTTCCCTTGTATTTCGCACAATGTACGTACGAGTGGAAATTTCCATGTGTTGTGGCGGCACGCAGTTTGAGTGTCAGGAGACGGGGAGATTTGAAAAGTCAAGAAACTGCTGGAGCATGGAGTAGGCCCCCCTCGCCAGAAGGTGGAGTACCATCCCCCGTTCACTATTAAATCCCCCGCCTATAAAGTTGTACCGTGAGGCGCGCGCCCGCCTCAGAAACACTCCACCCTTCGTCCCATGATCCTGCATTGAGTATTTCCACCATGAGAGCATTACAAGTAAGTCATTATTCAATTTCATTTAATTATCAATTAGTCAGGCAACGATGTTTTGTTTTCATTGATTTTTGCCTTAATTCGTCGTGCGATTTTTTTCCAATTTAACATTACAATTTCCCGATTTACAACCACCGGTGAATTTTAATGAACCTCGTAAAGGCGGGTTTACGTACCTTCCCAAAAGAATCGTGAGTGCAATTACGGTGTTTTTGCAATAAATGTAACGTGATTGCGTGATTGGTCAAAATAATGTCGCAACGATGTTTTTTCCCATCGCAAGTTGAACTCTCTTTTTACCATTTTTAATTTAATGATCTAGGGTCAATTGGTTAATTAGAATCCGAGTGATTAAAATTGTTCGTTAACGACGGGGTAAAGGTAGATTTAGCAACGATAATTTTCCCTTAATGACTCGAATTATTCTAGAAATTGTTAATATGAGAGGAATGAACCTCGCTTAATTATTCAGAACTTCGCGGAATCAGGAAATAAAACTAGTTTGACACTTGTGTTGATTATTCTCGATAAATTATTCGTGTCGCAGAAATACCAAAATGTTTATCAAATTTATGAGTCGAGTGAACGAATGGTTTCAACCAGTTTTCAGGTAGAATGTTGATTGCACTGGGACAGCGTGACATTTTTCAAATAGCTGGATAGGAACAGGGAAAGGCAGGACTTAATCTATATATTTCACTTTCTATTCCACCGCGTAATATCGCAGACGTGAGCTATAAACATCTCGAATCGATGCTAGTTAGGGCGATGTGTTTCAACTCTTTATTCTTTTAATTCTAGTTTACTTTATTCCTCTGTTGTGGTTGATTTACAGTTGAAATGCGATACTACATCTCCATGGAGATGGTTGGACGCGGTAAAAAGGTCAAGATCCCATGGTTTATTTCCAATAGCATCGTAAATACTCGGGGATCTAGTGTGCATGGACAACTTTCCCTTCCACTTGTCGTAATGCAAATTCAGTTAAACGCATTGCAGTTCAATGCCTCTTTCACACATGCATATTCAATAGTTTGTTAGACGGAGATTGACATTGATTTCGTTAGAGATTTATTGTTCGTAATTTTTGCAGCCGAATGCCAGCTTTGTAATCGCCCTAATTTAAGTTTCCAAATGTTCGTATTGGGGTAATTAAATTGGGTTTAAAAGGATTTTTGTGGCCTTTTTTTATTTTTTTTTCAGAATTTCCGTATAACGGTTCAATCAAATTTCATGAATTTTGTCATGACCATAGGCTTTAACCCATTGCTTCGCGTAAGCGTCGAATCGACTCGGTGTGAGAGGAGTGGGGGGTCCGTCCGAGCATTAGTGCGCCATAGGAGAAGCACGCTGACGCACACACACCGCTACAAACGGCGAAGAGTGGGGTATCGCGAGACGAACCGAAGGGTTAATAAGCTCTATTTATTGATACCAATTCAGTAGCGAAACGATAAAACGATTTAAGTCGACTTAAGCTGAGTTTTCGAGGAATATCTCTAAACTAAGGAAAATAACGACATTTTCATCGTGACCTTTTTCGTAGAGTGAATTAAGGGCTACAAAAAAGGTCATGACAAACGTTTTGCTATATCCCGTAGATTTCGAGATATTTATTGAAAATTCGACTTGAACCGTTTTACCGCTTCGCTTCTGAATTAAAATTAAATTTTTCATACAGATTCGAAAAAATTGATATTTTTCGAAAAATTTATTTTTCAACGATCGCTCAAAAAATTGTTATCATGATGTAATTACTACTTAGTTATGGCTAAAAAAATTGATAACAATACCCTCTTGATTCTGTCAGAATAGGATAGGGGCGGCCAATTTGTTGTTGAGTTGAAGCACATTGTTTATGCGATTCGAAAGAGAAAATCAGTTTTTTCATGATTACTGAAAGAATCATTAGCAATAGCAATTAAATCAGGGCTTGAAAAGTATATTTCAATGCCTTCTTAATTAAGTTGAAAAATTGTGAAAACTGTATTATTGCTTATCAAGTTACACGATACCATCATGAGCTTTTTATATAAAAAAATCTGTCTCTATTAAAGTCAGGTACCAGTCCATTACATTGAATACTTATTCGTATTGATTCATGGTCTCGCCTAACTTTTGACAGAACCTAAGTTAAACTGGGGCTAAATCCTGAATAAATCTTAATTAAATCCCGGCTGATTAAACCTTGATTGAACCTTGATTACATCCGGATTGAAAACGAATTCGAGTCTTGAGAGGGCCTGAATGTAGAATTATTTGACAGAACGAAATAATACGCAATATTTTTATGACATTTCAAATCATAGTAGTACTTTGTCATGAAAAAATAAACGAGAATAGGGAAGTAAGAATTGAAAACAGAGAACCCATTCGGAAGCAAATTCCTAATTGATTAGAAACAATGGCTATACTCATTTATAAAGAATGCGATTGTCCACTTGGTTTTTAGATATTACTACTTGTGGTGCCTTTGTGCGCTGCCCAGTTTCGCATTCAGGGGCCCAGCGACGGAAATCGCCGGGCGCAGGGCCTGAAGTATGACAATGAAAAGGGAATTCAGTATGATGATCAGAGAGGTAAGTTAAAATTCAAGAGGGAAATTGAAAATTAAGTATGAATTAAGGACAGCCAATTGGTTCGGACAATTTACTTCAGACAGTATCCTCTTGCTAGTTTGATGGACCACGAGAAAGGTCATTTTTTTCTAAATCTCATAGTTTCATAAGCATCTAAAAAATTATCTGAAATTGTGGGGCTCATCTATTTGCTGTAATAGTATGAATTCAATATATGTAATTTAATATATCTAATCAGGACTTTTTGGTGTGGATGCCTATGGTAATCCCCCTGGGCATATTACATCCGTTTTTTATCAATTGACATTTGTAGATCATATGCACGGAGAGAAATATTCAATAAAAATTACGTATCTTTTCCGCAATTCCGGAGCTAAATGTGGTTGTAGGAAATCTTACGGAACTGTCACGTAATTTTTACCTGAATCTCCTGTGAAAAATAACGATATCGTCACTTCAATTTTCTGAATCGATTCCGTAATCGGTGAGCGAACTGTGAGTTCCGTAATTTTTACTGAATATTTCTCTCCGTGTGTGGAGAGATTCAATTCATCCGAGTCCTTTTTTTAGTGAATTTTGTGGTCTACAAAAAGGTCTTTTCACATTTGTTTCTGAACTTGATAGTTTTAGAGATATGTGCAAAATGATCTGAATGAAATTTTTGGGTTGATCGGGGTACGCCTCTTTCTCGTGGATGTATGAATTCAATGTATGTAGATCTAATCAGAAAGCTTTGGTGTAGATATCTCTGGGTAGCTCACCGAGTTAAAGCAATGGGATCATAATCCGAAGGTTGTGCATTCAATACCCTAATACCCACCTGGAGGTATTACACCCGTTAGTCTTAATCAGCACTTTAGAGGCGTATATTTGACGTTTATTTAAGGCAATGAGTGTTCATTAGCGGAGTTGCCATATTTTGGCTATTTATAGCCAAATTCTGTACAATTTTAAATGGAGTGATGTCACGATCTGGTAACACTGTTAATCATTAGTATACGGTAGAGCGTGACTTAAGGTATATCTTTTGAAAATATATGACCACGTGTCCAGATGGACTCATATTCCGCACGAAGGGATCCAGAGTAATTCATCACGGATCTGATTTTAGTTGACATTAAGAACTTCTGAAAAGGTTCGGACAAGACTCTAATGACCCGACAAAATAATTATGACAATAATATATATTCTGACAATATAATTATGTTCATGTCTTTATTAAAGAGGTATTCATTAAAAGTATGTAGATCTAATCACGGAGCCTTGGTGCAGATATCTCTGGTAGCTCACCGACTTGGAGCAATTGAATGATAATCCAAAGGTTTCGGGTTCGATACCCATCTATCTACATTACAGTAGACTCTCGCTAGTTGCCCTTCGAAAGGGCTGTAGGGGTACTATTTCCAAGAAATGAGCAACTTTCCACCTGCCCCCACTCTTGAGCCAATGCCGATTCATTTCTCAGAAAAATGAGAGGGTATGAATAGTCTTATTTTCGAATACAATTTTTTGGACCTCTGTATTTAAGTAGGGAGGACGAAAGAAAGCAATGTGGCGGCCGAGAGTGGGGGGCAGCGCTCGAGGGTCCGAGAAGCGATTAGGGGAAAATGAGCAACTAACGGGCGTGCAACTAGCGAGAGTCTACTGTATACGCATTTTCATTAATTGCAAATTTCAGGTCACATATTTGACATTAATTCCGAATTAAAACGGTTAGTAAATGGCCTGACGAGAGAGCTAACAGAAAGATGAGAACGCTTACTGCGGTCAATATCTTTGTCCCTCGAGGAATATTCCTGAAGAATAAATCCATACGTTCGAACGGAAAAAATGCACAATCTGTTGCTTAGAGTGACACAAAGAATGACACAAAGACTAATTAATTCGTTAATAATGGCAATATAATTATGTTCATTATGTTATAATTACAATAATTTCTCAATAAAGTGTGAAAAGAGTTGCGCCTGAGAAATAACTTCAACGTTGATTGAATAATCTGCATAAAATCGCCAATTTGTTTTCCTTCACGATTGTTGCCTGCAAAACTATTGCGAAATCATTTGAACAATTCACTCACTCACTTCAGTACCTTTCACATGAGTGTCTCTAGCATTCACCCGTACATTAGCTTAATTCAATCCCAGCAGTCCTTACGCAATTACAAGATTGTCTTTCCCTATCAGATTCCTTAGGCACCGGTGATTTTTCCATAACCGGAGCGTCAGACGGAAGCTCACAAATTCAAGGAGCAAGCGACGGAAACTCGAATTTCCAGATTCATGGAGCCACTGATGGCCTTGCCAACTTCCACATTCGAGGGCCCACGGACTCTAATGCCCAGTTCCAAATTCAAGGAGCCACCGATGGAAACGCCAATTTCCACATTCAAGGGGCTACTGACGGAAACGCTGATTTCCAGATTCAGGGAGCTACCGATGGAAACGCTAATTTCCAGATTCAAGGAGCTACCGATGGACACAGTCAGAGTTCAATCCAAGCACCTCAAGATTACAATCAGAGAGCTTTGTCTTACAAGGACTCATCAGGTTCCAGACTGAACTGGAAATCGTATCAGCATTCAGCTAGGGCACAGCCCCAGGCCCAGTATGAAGAGCCTGTTCAGTACGCCGCAGCTCCCGCCCCTCGCCGGAAATCCGGCAGACGTCCACAGGGTCAAGCTCAGCCTATTCAGGCTCCAGTGGCGCCCGAGAACAACTACAAGGTCTTTAATTCTGCACCACCTGCGATTCAGCAGCTACTTCAGTTCCAGCAGCAAGCTCCGTACCAGAACATCATCCCTCCGCAATTCAGGTTTGTATCATTCGTGAAATCAATCCGAAGTATCTGGCCTCATCGAAGGATTCAACAGAAAGACGCTAAGACGAGACAAATTCAGTAATGAAGTGGCCAATCGGTTTAAGTCGACTTATCTCCCACTTGAGTTTTTGTTGAACAACTCGGAATTGAAAAAGATAGTGAAATTTTTGTAAGATCTTTTCGATAGTCTTCACTTTTCTTTACAAAAAAGATTTCCAGAAAAATTTCGCCAACTCCTTTAGAACTTGAGATATTCATGGAGAACTGGCGCTAGAGTGGAATTGACTTAAACCTTAAAGATGATTAACGCATCCGTTGATAACTTATTTTCGAGCTTTTGATGTTGAGTTTTACGAGAAAGGTCATTGCAAGGTTTAGACTAACGATCGCCTTCCAGATATGATTTCCACGGTCCTCCACCTGCTGCCCTCGCTGGTCAGCAAGAAGAAGCAGGCCCTGAAGCTCCCCTTCCTCAAGAACAACCGACGCGCTCGCAATATCGAGCGAAGGCTCGAGGACGCTCAAGGGAGAGACGCGCCGCTCAAGGTCAATCCCGTCAGAGACAACAGAAGAATCCTCAGAGGATCGCTGGGCCACCTGCTGACCCCCAACCTCGTCTATCTACTAATATACCAGCCACTATTCAAGGGATTTTGGACTTCCAGGCGAAGGCGCCTTATGTCAATCACATTCCTGAGCAATGGAGGTGATTTTTCTACACATAAAAAAACCTAAACGTAAATTACATTTTGATGGAGGTAATTTACGCCTCACGTCAATATGATGTCTGGTGGCGTTTTTTCGTCATAAAAATCGGAATTAAAAAATCGGTTTAAAAAAATCGTATTTCACGGTCAAAATGAAAACGTAAATTACGCCTAAACAAAGCGTATTTTATATTCATTAAAACGAAATTTACGTTTATCCAAAAGTAAATTACGCTTATCAAAAATACGAAAAAAATCATCGTAATTTACAGCAACTTTGAACGTAATTTGCAAATACGAGATCGTAAATTATGTCTATGTAATCGTAATTTACGCTTCAACTTCAAGCGTAAAATACGCTTCAGAAAACGTAAAAGACGACTTCTTAAACGTAATGTATGTTTAGGTTTTTCTGTGTGTGTGCACTTCCTCACAAAAACACAAATAAAATTATAGAACGGATGAATGGAGAAATGATTCGATTCTCTCATTTTTAGATACGAAAGACTATTAGAACAAGAGAAAAACCTTCCACCCCCTCAATACCAACGTCAACCGGAACCTCAGTCTGTTCGCCACAGCCAACGAGTCAGAGAGAGGAGAGAAGCTCAACACAAACAAGCTCAACCCCAGTACAGTCCGAATCTTCCAGCTCACCTACAAAAACTGCTGCACTTCCAGGCTTCCACGCCTTACACCAGTGTCATCCCTGAACAATACAGGTGAAGCAAACCTTACCAAAATTATAAAACGTTACAAATAATTAGCAACACCGAAAGTTTCCCTTTAGGGTTGCTTTGCCATCTAATTGATAAATCGCAATATAAAACCAATGAGAGAGAAAAATTGACAGCCTCTATCTAGATGTAAAGTAACCGTCAAGATTTTTTTTGTCATTTTTGTACCACGAAATTTCGACACTTCTCTTCTGACCACAAATGGTCAGTAATTGAGCTTCGGTCAGTGCCATGTAATTTACGTATAAAATGACGCAGAACAGCAATTCATAATGATAATGATCCTTCCATTAACATTGATGACCTCCGCAGTTACGAGAAGCTCCTGGCAGCGCAGAAAGGTCAGCACAGACAGAAGCGTCAGACCCCAAGATACCAGCACAATCAGCAGTCCCAGGTCGACCTCTCTCAGTACAGAAGAATCTCCCAGTCCCAGGAGCCCCAGCAGCCCCTCCCTCAGTACTCTACGAACATTCCAGGGTCGTTGAAGCAGCTCCTGAACTTCCAGTCCCAAGTGCCTTACGACATCATCGCGAACAGCATTCAATACCGTCTCGACAAGCCTTACGTTCCCCAGCCGGTGCAAGCGCCGCAGCCGGCGCCGATCTCTCGAGTCCCTCAGCACACTCAAAGGCCTCAGCCATTGGCTCAACCTCCTCAGTATCAACAGCCTTTAGCGCAAGCCCCTCAGTACCAACAGCCTCAAAAACCCATCTACCAGCTCCCGCAGAATCAATTCCCATCCCACCAATCCCAATATCAGCAGTCACAAGGATCGCTCTATCAGCCCAGCCCTCTTGCTCAACCTCAACTCCAACAGCATCAAATTCCTCAAGGTCCTCTCCTACAGCCCACACCTCTTCAACAGCCTCAACAGGCTCAGAGACCGATATATCAGAATCCCCAACAATTGGGACAGCAGTATCAACCGAACCTTCAGTCACAGCTGATTCGCTCACAGTTGCATCCTAATCAGCTTCCACAATTCGATCGGCCATATCAGTCTCCCTATGCACAACAGAACAATCCTATTCGTCCTGTTACGGAGAATCAGTATTGAGGAGGGGAAATTCGGGAGAGGAGCGATGCAAAATGAATTCCAAGTCGTTAACCCCTCACACGGAGAGAAATGTTTAGTAAAAATTACGGAATTCACAATTCACTTACTGATTACGGAATCGACTCAGAAAATTTAAGTGACGGTATCGTAATTTTTCACAGGAGATTCAGATAAAAATGACGGAACGTTCCGGAAAAATTCCGTGACAGTTCCGTAAAATTTCCTACAGTTGAGACTCCCTAACTTCTCAGCGATCAGCGACAGTGGGGAGAGTGTTCCCTTACTCTGAGCACCCGAAACGTGTGAGTGATATGCGTGTATCCCTCTCTGCGCTTGGTGAATGCGCAGTAAACAGTCTCTGCTCCCGCACGTTTTTCGTACTCCGTGTATCCCATATCACCTCTCACGCTCACTCTACTTGGGCGACACCCCTCTAGCGACAGAGTGGGGATGTCCGCAACCGCTCATTTCGTGGGATTTGTAGCCCCGACGTGGCGAAGTTAAGGAGACTCTACTGTACAATCACATTTCGCTCCGGAATTACGGACGATACGTAATTTTTACTGAATATTTCTCTCCCTCCACGTACGGGTCGATGCATGGCATCGACCCATGAAAATATGAATGACTCTCTTTAAAATTGATTATTTCCAAAACTATGAAATTCAACTCAACCAAACAAATAACAACGAAAAAAGGAATACTGTAGTTTCAATTACATATCGGTTTCACAATTTTCCGTTGATTTGAAGTCATTACATTCTAGTTGTATCGAGCGTACTCCACCCTTAGAAACAACAGGGTCCGTCCGTGAGGGGTTAAAGCAGATGAACCAACTCACTTTGTAGATGAGCTTTTGAAAAATACGCGGGTTGTGACAAAGATGACAATTTTATGGAAGCCTTCTTAGAGCTTGAAGTTACTCTATCAAAGCGATTTTGTGTCCACTTTGTGTTTGACATGTTTATTTATGTGTTTATTTGATGTTGCAAAGAGGGTCACATGAATATTGGGGAGGGAATTTGTGGGTGTAAAGGTCAGGGCTCTAATTTCTTGGAGGTGAATCTCTGAAATGAATTAAAATTTTTCCATCTTCTTAAGATTTGGAGATACTCATCAAAAGTTGATGTCGAGTCAAGACAGATTTTTCTCGTTTTATCCTGAAAATTTTTTGATCTTTTCTTCAAGATGATAGAAATTCTTGGAACTCGTCTCGTTAGTCTTGAAAATATTGAGAAACTACTTGAGAATTCATTTTGCCGTGTTCTTCTTCGTTGATGAATTGCGATGATTCAGAAATATTTTTTACTGTAGTTCTGCATTGAAGTGCAAAACGTAATTCAAAAATCGAATATGGTCTCTTTGTCAATTATCCAAACAGCTCACAAACGAGTGATTTTCAAACTAAAAAGAGAGATAATTTTGATGGTTGAAAAAAGTATTCAAAAAAACAAATTTTTCATTTTCCGAGTAGTTTTAGAATTGAGAGAATGAGATGAGTTGAGCAGTTGTAATTGATTAGTTGATCACAGCGATCTCTTGGCGCAGTGGATAAGGCACTCGACTCACACGCGAGAGTTTCTACGTTCGAATCTTGAAAAAATGATGGTGATTCGTCCATAAGTACAATTTTTGCTAACCCACCTGTGCGTTCTTCAAAGAGAATTGCTCTATTGCTCTACTCAAAGAGAATTAGAATTCAGAGAGAAAAAATCCTGCACCGCTCAGCCGGGATTCGAACCTGGATCTCCCAGTTACGCACCGAATGGAAATTCTCTCTCCAAATTCGCCTCACAACATCGCATAACCACCTTTAGGCATTAAATATTCAAAGAGAATTGGAATTTAGAGAAAAAAAAATCCCGCACCGTTCAGGCGGGATTCGAACCCGAGTCTCTCAATTATGCGCCGAATGGAAATTCTCTCTCCAAATTCGCCTCACAAACCAGTCTAACCATCTTTAGGCATTAAATATTCAATGAGAATTGGAATTTAGAGAGAAAAAAGAATCCCGCACCGCCTAACCACCTTTAAGTATCAAATATTCAAAGAGAATTCAATTAGAATTTAGCGAGAAGAAAATCCCGCACCTCCCAGGCGGGATTCGAACCCTTCTTGCTCACACTGCATCATCTTTCTCAATTAACTGACCACACCCATCTCTTAGCCAGTGTATCATGCACTCGATTCATATGCAAAAGGTTCCAAGTTCAAAACCTGCCGATTTAACGTCTACTTAGTCGCCAGTTCGGACTAGATCATCCTTTTTCCTCAATGACGCAATTAAAAACTCATTAAATCGTTACGTTTTCCTTCAACGCAGAATTAATCATAAGTTCTTTTTGTAATAGTAATGCCTTGTTTATGCAATGTGATACAACCGGAAGAAATCATAACACCCGATAATTATTGTATTTAAGATACTTTTTGTACGATTTAAATATGAAATAAAGACAACTATTTTAGATTAAACTACATTGTGGCTATTTTCATTAGTCTGGAAATTGAAAGTCATTTGAATAATATCCCACTGCGGTTGGAAGCTGACTGGTAACAGGAAATAAATCGGGAGGCGGGATAAGTGGGCGCGGCGTTACGTTAATAGGTAAGTAAAAGCTTGTACATGCGATGCGGGTCCAATGACCGGGGATTGAATGTATTGATTCCTAGATTGTTTCCAGCATTCGCGGAATTGAAAACTAGAACAAATAAATCGTAAATAAGTTATCGTAAATCATTTATTCTATCATTTTCACATTTCCAGAATAAACAAGTGGGAAATTGCTTTCGTCACAACATAGTCAACATTTTTTTGCTAATAAATTATCAATTTACTTCCGAATGGAATTTCTATGGCGATACATTTTAAATTGAATTCAATGATTCATTGAAACCATTATTTTTTCAGTTATCATCGAAAAACGATCGGGCATATATGCACATAGGCACATACATACATCCGCACACAGTCTAAAAAAATTGCATATTCCAACTTCTAACGCCAAAATTAGTTCCTGCCCCAAAAGACTGGAATAGTATTTTTTCGGCCTGTTGCGATGGGGTTTTTTACTCGTGTGACGTTGGCTTCCGAGCCCTAGGCGAGGAATGGCCAACCACACGAGTAAAAAAAAACCATCGCAACAGCCCAGGAACAATATTTTTCTGTAGTGATTTTCAAGTTTTCGAGTTTGGGAAGTATGTAATACCAATTCCCAGACGAGAAATCGTGAGAAGCAGTACAGAAAATTTCAATTTTTCAAAAATGAAAAATAAAACAGGTAAACCCTGAATACCGTATTCACAAAATTAATCAAAAGCTGATTTCCTCTTTGTTGATGAAGACAAGTATCGAAGTCGACAATCCAGTTTCCAAAGTCGCAACAAAGAACAGGTTGTCTCGTTTGCTTTATCAAGATGAATGCACTCGATAAGTATTTTTTCGACCGAAAAGAGACTTTGAACCAGACTCCAATCACTTCCTGTAGTTACCTTGTCCGGGTAACGTTACAGCATTACGTGATTTCATGTTTCAACGATAGAAAAAATAGATGCGAAAAAAATGAAGTAGTATTTACGATCAACGACCTACGAAGCCTGGTGGTGGCTAGCTACCCTGCTCCTTATAGAAGTGCGTTCGCCTCGGTTCGGCCAGTTTGTTCTCGATTTCCCCCGTGGAAATCGCATTACTCGTGGTATAGGATTTTAGTACAAACTTGCATTTAACTGAATTCACCATGAAGTACCTCGTAAGTGCCTGAATGACCGTTAAATCTGGGGGAAAGTTTTCTCATTGCCATTTTACATATAACTCCGGAATTATCGGGATGACGATGAAACAATTGTTAGAACTTATTCAACTTAGACTACAAATACCCGAGTCCTAGTTAGACAATGCAGTTGTTGCATTCTTGGAATTGGATTTTTATTAGTGAGTCGTGAGGAGGGGCACTCATTTCTCATGGGTTTCGTTCTAGATTCTCCTCTGCGTTTTGCTGGGATCTACTTTTGGAGGTGAAGATCACAGTGCAAGTAAGTCATCAAGTACTACATTACTTATAAACTATTTCCTTCTCCGGAGATAATTTCCCAAACATAATTTCCTATTCAAAATTTCCGTTGAATTTTTTTTTTCAAAACTCTTTCTTTCAAGACATGCGTCATTATATTCTCCACTTTTTCGTTTAACTTGAACTCAATTTTTATCAGAAGCTTTATGTTCTTTTCTATTGTTTCTATCGCTATTCTATTTTTTCTTCAGTTCGATTCCGCAGACAAGCGCAGAGACAAGCATATCACCCACCACCACAGCCTCCGGCAAATTACCGGCCCTTGAATCAAGCACCAGGTAATATCCAGCAGCTGCTCCAATTCCAGCAGTACAGAGAGCCGCTCGTTAACATCCCACCCCAGCAGCCTCCCAACCTGGGCAAGGCACCGAATCAGCCGCAATTAACCAATCAGGCTCAGGTTTCTCAGTACAAGCCTAATGTTCAGTATGGAGAGGCACCACAGCAGCCGTCTTACCAGAATCAGGCGGCTGCCATTGCTGCACAGTACAGACCGCAGGGACAGCAGTACAATCCACAGCAGAATCAGCAGTATGCACCACAACCTCAGCACCGTCAGCAACAATACCAGGGTTAATTTCAGTCTCTGAACTTCATTTTCATTATTCAATAGCTTTCGCAACATTTTTTTTTCATCTTCACGAGGTTTTCGCCTTCTCCTCTTTTTTTCTTCTTTTTCTTCCTGGTTTTCTTCTTTTTCATTCTTCTTTATCTCTTTTTATCTTGAGAAAATCGCATCTTCTGTTGAAATCATCATCCTCTCATTATAGATATGATTTTTTTAACGCAAATTATTATTTTAGCATCACTTCAACTATTATAAGTGGTTTCCATTTCTTCGGGTTTCAATGCTTTCTCTCTACTCCCCCTATTTTCTCGAACTGTTGAAAAAAGTTGAGATGATTTTTTTCAATTACTTTTATTACTTTTATTTTTCAAGGGGAAAATTGCGCCCTGAACATCTTTTATTTTCAATGATTTCTTCTACGGATAATACTTTCTCTTCCACTTTATTCTAATCTTTTCATCTGCTACTTCTTTGCTTTTCTTGTTATTCTGTATTTTTCACACGTTTTGAGAAACATTTTTCAATTTTTTGAACTATTTCTTCTAGTGGAAATCATCTTTGTAAGACTTGACCTTTTTCAACTCCAACAATTATTTCTTCTGTCGTCTATTTTTTCCTCTTCATTAATTCCAATTATTCTTCTTTCATTTCTATTTCTGCTGTATAACAAATTGTTGAAGATATTTTGCAATTTGTTAGATTTTAATTACGTGTTACTCCCTATTTTAGTCAATTTTCACGTTTCTTTTGCTTGTTCTTGGGGAATGACTGATCCGATTGACGCTAAGAAGTATAAAACTTTTGATTTTAAAAATTGTTCAACCGTAAAGTTTTTTAAATTTACGAAAAGTTTGGAGAAAACACATGAAAATGATTGCACGATGATGAAACTTCGTGAATCATTAAATAACACAATAAAAAACCGCATATTTTTGCGTCAATCCTAGCAACCGGTTGCCAGACAAACAAAAACAAGAAAATTAGTTGAAAGGGTGCAATATATCCTTAACAGAAATTACTTTCCTAGGCCTCATATGAGCTTCTAAATCTCCTTTCCTCTATTTCAATCACATTTTTTTCTCTTTGGAATTGAATTACATTTGCAGATTTGTAGAGCAATCTTCTTATTACAAATAACTTCTCTTCAACTCACATAAACACATCTGAACATCTTTTCGTAATTCTCAAAACTCTCAGACCACATATCTTCTTTCTTTCACTCTTAATTCTTTTCTTCTCCCATCATCTCAAAATTCCTCTCTTCTCTCCATCTGAACAACTCTCTAAATTCAAATGGAACCACTGAACTTCCTTTTCTATCCTAAATACTCTTTGCTTCATGAATTAACCGTAGTCTGGTCACCCTACGCGACCCACCGGTTGGTCACCGCCGCGGGAATTTGCCGCCGTCTTATTTCGGGTTTAACGTTGCCGAATTTACTCTCGACTGCCCGGGCGCGTTTAGCCAGTTTCCGGCAACGTTGCGTGACGGGTCATGCCATTTCAGTAGCGAAGTAGTAAAACGGTACAAGTCAATTTTGACTATTGACCACTTTTCAATAAAAATCTCGGAATCTAAGGGAGTAGCAAAATTTTTGTTATAACCTTTTCTATAGAGCCGATTGAGATCTACAACAAATGTAATTACGAACATTTCGATATCTCCTTTAGATTTGGAAATATTTCTCAAAAACTCAACTGGGAGATGAGTCAACTTGAACCGTTTTACTTCGCCACTGATTTAACATGCGAAAAAAAAATTCTTCGATTGGAAATAATTCATTTTCTTTCGAAGTTTGGAAATTATGTTGTTCTAAAACCATTTCATGTAATGGTATACACTTCAATTGAAAAATTCAAATTTTTAAAAATTTTCCGATTGTCTAGTGAATGGTAATCAACGAAAAACGACGCGCTGCGGCGTTTCCCTCATGTGATGACCAATCTAGAGTTAATAGTATATTTCAGGACGAGGGCCATGGGGTTTTGCACTCGTGGGGGGTTGGCGTTAAACATGTAAAATGACCGCCATTTTTTAGATCGCGTCATATGACCCAAAAATGACGGCCACGTGGCGCACAAATTTTCTGACTACAAATGATGCTCACAAATAATTTCTAATTTGTGACGGTCATAAATGAAACAAATTGATTAATCTCTACATATGAAAAATGCGCATTAGGCTGATACAAAATCAATTCAAATAAAAATTGATAAAAGAATGAAGAAAAAATGAAGTTGTATCTATATAGATGAAAAATGACTGTCATTTTCTCTTGATAAATTCTGACGGTTATAAAAGAAGGGGGGAATTGTGACATCCGTCATAAACGTCTCCTCATGTGACGCATTTGCATTTGTAGTTGGCGTCCGAGCCGCAGGCGAGGACTGGCCAACTGCACGAGCAAAAAACCCTGCGGCACTAGTCACGAACGATATCGTTCAGTAGCGATTTTCACTTTTACGAGTTTGCAGAAGGGCCAATGCCAATCCCCAGACAAGAAAAAGTGAAGACATGCACATAAATTTCCTTCCATTGTCATTTCATATAATTCAAGTAATTTCGAGTAATGATTTTCAATCTAAAATTACTTCTTCAGAACATAATATTATAATATTTTCCTATTTAAATTCTTTTAGGCCGTGTTTATAAAATATATACAAAATATATAACTACTTCAATGGCACAACGTTTCGAATGCACAAAGCATTCCTCTTCAGGTACATTTTTATTTAAAAAAATATCACAAAGGGAAAATTACCAATCATATAACCAAAAAACTACTGTTGAATAATAAGTTACAATATAAAAATCGCCCAGAAGAACTTAAATAATTTGAAGCATAAGGTCGAGAACGCGCATTTCATTAAAATAATATTTTTTTCTATTCTCTATTTCCTCTTTTCATCAACCAAAAACTTCACCGCCTCTGTCAACATTCTCTTAGTGAAATGTAGATGACATTTGTTAAATAAAACTGTGAATTCAAAATAATTCCTCTGGATTATTACACCAGCCACTTAAATTTCTAGTTGACTACAAATAATGAAAAAAAATTCTAGCGTAATCTATCTCATGCAGACTGAATGTGAAAGAGAACACCGTGCCAATTATCGTCTCGTTTCACTGACCCAATGAATCTGGTGTATCTACTTGGTTACCCGGCGTTTCCTGGATCGTTTCACTCATGTTCATTTTACTTTCACTCGCCGGCGCTCGGTGAAGAGGGGCGGGGAGAAACGTGTGTTACAGCTTGTACCGGTGCACTTTTAACATGGTCATTCAATACCGTACAAATACGTATATCGATTTGATTACAGACATGAAGCCTCGTATGTAATTCGTGAGAGGTAACGCAGTTGGATGGATGATTGTAGCAAATTTATTCAGTTGATGGTTTTTTTATGTACAATGACCGGAGAAAGGGTATGAGTGGATAATTCCAGGGATTTAAATTCATTCGGAATCATTCGTTCTTGAGTGGTGTTTATTCATTTTAATGAACTGATATTTTCTTGTCTAGAGTGAAGAGAAATTCATTGGAATTAAGTGAGTTATTAATAGTTAGATGATTATTATGATATTTTATAATTTTTCATGTCAATTAGTTATTCAATATTTGAAATTTGATTCATTTTTTGAGAATATTTGAGAATGTTTGAGGGATTTGTGGAGTATTTACGTATGCGCTCCGCGCGCATATCAATCCGGTGGGTCGATCAAACGATTCATTAATACAGTTCTCCATTCTAATGAAATTCACATTAATCAGGAGATTAAGTATTCTCATTGAATAATTGATACAAATTTTTGCGCAATATTTTGAACCCGTGACCGGGGTCGCTGCGTTTTCGACGGAGGCAGGAGATTCCAAAAATTTTAAAATAATCGACGCTCTCATCGTCCGCTGGAGTTTTTACTAGTCAACATAGTAATTTACGCTATTTTCTGGAGAAAAATATAGGAGGTACGAGAGTCTAAACTAAAGTTTTAAATCGTAAGGAAAAATTACAATTTAACATAGTAAAAATTCATACAATTTGAGTAATTTATCGTCGTTCAGTAGTAAAAATTGGTAAACAATAAATGTTTTTTAACACTTTTGAAAATTATTTTTTCGTCCGCGCATTTTACACTGTATTGTCCGTTAAAACTTACTACGTTAAATCGTAAAAAGATCAATTCGCATCGCAACCGTCCGGTTAAAATCAATCAAATTTCAAAGTTTATCCGGTGTGGTCCTCGATTACTATCGTCACATAGTAATTTTTAATTTTATATTCTCTCCGTGTGCTGGAAATTTCAGTGGAAATTTTATACAATGTATTTTCAAATCGATTGAGATAACGAAAAATACATAATTTACTAGATGTAATGCGCGCAGAAACGTTATTAACAATTCACGGATAAATATTTTGAACATCAAATAAACCTCTGTGCCATCACAAGGGTGCCTGACTCGTCACTTGAGAAATCAAGGTATCATCGCACCAGTGGTTGCACACAAGGGGCGTATCTACGTGTGACGATGCGTCCTGACATCTCTCTTATTTCCCCTTCACCCCCACCCCACCCCTAGCCCGACTCTCCCTTTTTATTCCCGAACGATTACGCGTCGACGGTCTCGGTGCGTGCGGAAAGGCTCATCCCCCCATCGCCGGGTTTGTATGCGGCACGCAGTCACCACCCCTACCCCGGCAATCCTCCCCTCATCTCTACTACTCGGCTGTTTCGTACCACTGAAAATACGTGTATATACACTGGGGATGCCCTCACCAGCAAACAGGGGAAGAGGATTAGCGAGTCCATTAAAGTCGCGGACTCTATTATCCAGAGGGCACGACCATGGTGACATCAATCGCTCCGCATTGGCGCAGCTAGGCTTTTAGGACTTTTTCCCTTTCATTTCAATTTTTCAGTGGGATTTTTTCTTTCATGCGGCTTGTGGAGACGAGTGAATGCAAATAAAGGAAAATCCTCGGGAGCTAATGATAAATCGTGTTTTGGA